TTCGTGCTCAGGTCCTCGGTGCCGAAAGAGCCGACCCAACGCTTTGCGCGGGCCATGGGGAAACATGTGCCCCTTGTGTTGGTAGCATGGGGAACCTTCCGAAAAGGGGAACAGGTGCCACTGGGCTGGGGGGACCCTTTTCTTTTTCTGGAAGCCGTCTTATCAACAAGTGTTGGACAGGTTGAGATTGGTGCGAAGCACGCCAAACAAGCTCTGCACTGGAGCTCACTTGACACGACGCGAGCAAAAGAAGCTGAGGTAATACCAGTGCCTAGTTCTGATGCTGTGAAGGTTGAAAACAAACAGGGAACACCGCAAACATCAGAAGCCCTGTTCCCTTCGGAAGTGTCAATTAACTTGGCGTAGCCACCTCCACCATTCAGGGAACCAGCTAAATCGAAACAAGGATGAACTCACTGCACGTGAGTTCCAAAAAGTACTCTTCTGGCGTCGATTTGCCGGATACTCCGAATGGCTCAACCTAAACATAGTTGAGCCAAAAACACAGCAGAGCCAAAATACTGGCTCAACTGCAAACACAAAATGGGTGTTTCTCAAAATAGTGGTCCCCTAAAACAGTTGGTTTCCCTCGGCTGACCTTTACCTGCAAACCAAAAGCGAGTAAGCCACACAAATCCTTGGGGCCCCGGCCCCGAGCGTGAGGTAGGACTTCTCCTCTTTGGCCTTCCGAAGCCTGACATCGTTCGCGAGCGCGTTTGCGCCGCAACCAGCGACGCGACAGGTTCCCAGAGTTGAAATGGGCTACACAAGCGGTCGTCTTCCCTCCATGTGGCCGCATAAGAGTGGGCAAGGCCATGGACCCGCATAACAAAACCGAAAGGGCTGCCTTCCCCAAAAGGCAAACCTCCAGGCGCGGCGCAAAAGCGCGGCTCAAGCGCGGCGCGCCTGGGATCCTTGCCGATGGCCTTGATGCGCCGTAGCTGAGAGGCCGGGGAGTCGCTGTAAAACCTGCAGCGACCCAAGAGCCCATATCGTTTGGGTTGGGTGATTCCGTTGCTTGGTTCCCTCCGTTCTTACTGGGGAAATGCGATTGACCAGTCTTTCCAGAGTTGCCACCAAAAACACAAAGTCTTTGGAATCCGCTGAGCAGCTGACTGCTTGGACCTTCCCATCTCCCCGAAAAAGGCCCCAAACATGCCAGCGGTTTCCAGGTCGCCTCGCATGAAGCCAACGCAAAACTCGAGGAGTCGTCCAGTCTTGTGGCACGCGCACAATTGAAACCATAAGGCAAAGCGGGCGGATTGGAACTGGGTCCGAGCTGCTCCTCTTCCCGCGGGGTGAGGGCCACCTTGCGCCGAAAGGGGCCGTCCTTCCTGGCGCATCGCCAAAGGTCTCGCTCGCGCCTTTCTTTGACGTGGCCTTTGGATGTTCCAACCGCAATCGGAATGACATCCTTCCACCAACCAACATGGAAGTGCACAGACCCCCATAGAAAGACTACTTTGCCCTTGGAAAGGGGGTTTGTGCACTCTTCGGGGCTCACTGCTTGTTAACTGTTTTGGGGCTGCTTTGGAGAACTTTTGGTGGACGGTCACGGGACAATACTGGGACCGTGCCAAGGGCATCTGCACCACCCCAGAAATAATTTTGATGCAAACCCAAGATGAATGCTGACTGATTGTTGCGGGAGGTCCCATTTATAGAGGGGGGGGGCCTTTGCCTTTGCACACGGTCGTGGCAATGAACCTTTCTGTCATAAAAGCCCCCCCCAAAAAAAACGGGCCATTCCCCCAGTCACGGCAAGTGGCCACAACCGTGCCTTTGCAGGAAACACAAGCCCCGTTCCAATCCGCCCTGCGCAATCGCGCTCGCGCCTGCGCTCCGGCTCCGGAGAGGAGTCCTGGGGCTGACCAACGGCTTCGAAACCTGAGGCCCCGAGCCGAGTCTTCCCCGCGCCCAGCCCGGCCTGCGGATGGAACTCGCGCCTCAGGCTGGCAGGGACCGCATGGCCACACGGAAAGAACATGAGGCCGCGGCCTAAGAGTGGGGTCCCTACCTGGGTATCTAAAGATGAAAGGAATCCCTACTTTGCAGAGCCAGTGCTGTCCTTGGATTTCTGGACAGCAAAAGGATTGCGCTGCAACAGACCAGGGCTTGCAAGCCACGCAGTGGCACATTGTCACCAGTGCTGCCTAAACATCTTCATCAAGGCAACTTGTTAAGCGCCAAGAAATATTTATCAATTTCGAACATGCTGCAAAAGTGATTCTGAAGATGGCCACTGTTGACTGCCCTTGGTCTGAGCACTCCCTGTGACCAGCCCTAAAATACGGCATAGTACGGCGCGCTCTTTTCCCACACAGAAAAACCGCCAGTATCGGCACTCCGGTTCAACTTGATTAATAAGTATGCTGTTGAATAGTACTTTCCATTGTGGCCAGCCTTGCTTTACATCATTCCGCTCCCAGACTTCTCCACCTCCCAGAACCGTTTAATCTGAGGTCTGACCTTGTGGGGGGGGGGGGTCAATCCTACGTTAACATTACGGCCCATCTTGAACCTCTTAGGAGATGTTTCTATGACAGCGTCTAATTAGACCTATGACAAACAAATCACGGGGGGGGGGGGATCCTGCTTGCAAGCTGTCCTTTCACACCGGGCAGTGCATGAACCCAAAGACTCAAGCCCACAGACAACTCAGCACAATGCCAGCCACTCCCAAACGAATAAGCCAAGGACAGCAAAGAGAAGCCGCTTGACGACAAGCGGTCAATATATAAGCCGAGACGCTTGTAAGCCTCCCAGCGTCGGGTCTGGCGATACATCTGCAGCAGCCACGCGTCGCTGTGTCTCATCTCCTGCACAACAGAAGCGACCGGCCAGACTGAAAGAGGTAATACAACCTCGCCAATTCAGGGGCAGAGTTCTCAGGTCCCCCACACCGCCTCTAGATGTGCGCCCCATACGTTTTTGTTTGGTGCTCCTGGCAGGCTGCCACCAATGCCGCCATGAGCTTCTTGGAGACGGTGCGCAGCAAGTCCTCAGGCGTAGCCATGGCGTGCGTGGAAAAAAAGCAACTTAGGCCCACTCGCCCATCCGTTTCTCTCACCCATCCATTCTTTTCAGCCTGGAAACAGTAGCTTCAAACACACAAGTGGCTTGGACCCGCCGCAAAACAAGCAGCCAACCCGGTAGTCTTCAAAATGTTCAGAGGGATCAGCTTGGGTTTTTGCCGCCCAAACGAGAGTCCGACTTCTTGGCCCCCAAAACGCCCCCCCCCAAAAAAAAACACAAAAACGATTGACTCGAGCCACGTGCTTGGAGAGGAGGTACACCTCCGCCGAGGTCTCCGCTGCCAGGGAGGCTTTCCACTGCTCCCCGGCCGCCAGCTCGAAGCAGCCGTGCACCGCGAAGCGGCTCAAGGTGCCCAGCTGCCGGAAGTTCGACAGGCGACAAAGGGCCCCAGGAGCTCGGCTTGGGTTTTTGGGTCTGAAGTTGGCTTAGGGACCCTTTGGTGGACATCATTTAGGTGGAGATCCATGTGCACCTGCCACTTTGGAGGGGGTGCCCTAGTAAGATTCACAGCCATACTTGTGGCGCGCTTGAAAAACCGAAGTCATGGATCAGTGGCTTAAGATCTTGAGGAATTGAAAAATGTTTCGTGTCCTTTCTTTGGCGTGAACTAGAACTGCTCTCGTCACTTATACTATGTAATGGAATGAAGTGGCGGAGGAAAGCACATGTTGCAACCTATACCGTGTAGGTGTTGGACTTGTTCCGGTTGGCCAATCACTAGTGCCCACGTGGGGCACCAACGAAGGGTTCTCCTACATGAATACCACAAGAGTGCAGGACTCTTGTAGGGGTCTCTTTGTTCGGGCTTGTCTACTACGTGGCAAAGGGCTCACAAAGACACCCTCCCGTTGGGATTTGCAGCTTCCGCTTCAACTTCAATGAATCAAACCCTCTGAAATAGACACACGCCAACATCTTCCTAACAGCTGACAAACCTCCCCTCCCCCTACCCCCCACCTGCAGCAGCTTTGGCCGCGCCAGCTCCAGAGGTGCTGCCGCCTGGCATCCGACCGCGTGAAAGGTCGGCCACCTTTTGTTTTTCCTGGCGAAAGGGACCGGGAGACAAACAGGGAAACTATTTGAGTCATCAAAACCGATCGGTATCAAAATGGTCTACCCACCGTGCAAAGAATTGAGCAGGCGGCCTTCCCCATTTATGGCTGGGGTTGTCCCTTGCTCTCCAGCTACCCGGGTCTTGATTGTGACTCATTTGGGGTCCTTACTTCAAGATCAAAAAGGGACACAGAAAGGTCAAAACTGAATCACATGCCCCTACCAATTCTCTCTCTCTCTCTCTGCCAGAGGGTCTGCGACCAAACAAGGAGCTCACGTGATACCAAGGCAACCAAAAAACACTCAACTTAGTTCCCCCAGCTTCCCCGCCACAACGCTCCTGCCCTTGCACACTTTTTGGAACCGGGCCCGAAACACGATCGAAACAGGGAAGGAACCTATCCTAAACCCACCAGCTTGCAAAAGTGGAGGGGGATCGTGCTGAATGCCTGCCACAAGTTCCAAGTTCAAAACAAACCGCGTAGACAATTCAAGTGCAGCGGTATGCAACTGTATTGTTTATACATATCTATATGTATAAACAAATATGTATATATATATATATAATGTGCACGCATGTGTGCATGTTCCTTGCATGGCTAACGCCATTGTGGCAAAAACGGAATGCGCACGCATTATCTCGGTGGGGTTCTGCTTGGTGCTGCTTGTGGCTTGAACAGAGTTTCCGATTCTCCTCTTTGCACAGCACCCCGCCAAATGGAATTTCAGCATAAACGAGACTAACTTTTTACTCGGCCCAAAAAACGATGTTGGCCAGCAAAAGGGCAGCACGTTGGCTGCCGTTGTCCAGCTGGGGCCCCACCTCGAACTCGTCCTCGGGCAACGTGGGCATGCGGCTGAAGTGGTGCAAGGATGCGCCGTCCTCGGTTGCATCCATGTGCGGAGGCTTGCGTCTGATTCTTGCAAAAAGATTTTTTATGCTTTGCGAGGGTCCACTCCCAGCAATTCCTTGGTCGGTTTTGGCCCGGCTCATCTTTCTTGCGGCGCAGCTTGCTTTGTGCTTTGTATTGGGGCGGTGATTGTTATTGTTAAAGTCAGTCCCTGGCTGAGGGGAATACGATTCAAAGAAGTGGGAAACATCTTGCCGCAATCGCAGCACTCTCCCGCCTCGCTTTCTAACTGCAACTCCCTCACCCGGCTGCGCCGCACCTTCATCCTCTCCTCCTGCAAGAACAGCGCCCGTGCTTGAAGCCACTGCACGGTTGCAGCTAGTCGCTTTCATGCATACATTTCCGTGTTGGACCCTTAGGCAGGGAATGAGAATGGAATGACCCCTATAAACAAACAAACTGGTGATTTCCTCTAAGGGGACCATCAGGTTCATTCCCTCATTCCCTACTGAGCAACAATGGAATACCCCTCAAAACTTCGTCTCTTTTCGGGCCGCCTTCGTTTTTGGCAGGTTTTTGTTCGCCCCATTCGCTTCTGCTTTTGCCCCTCGCCCCACTATAGAAGGGTTGCGGATTTACTTGATATTTTCGTTTTTTTTTTGAGGTGTTGATTTCTGTTTTTCGTCCGGGCCATTTTCTCGCGAAATTGACGCATTTTACATCCCCAGCATCGTTTTCAACATCCCCCGCATGTCCGATCAACATTTCTAGCATCACCAACAAATCGTGGGTAAGAAAATCGAAACAGTAGGTCAAAAAATGATGATTCAAATAGGAGGGCATTTCAGTCCCTGTAAAAAAAAGTGGGGGGGTTGGGGGGGCGGCATCCCCCCCCCCTTGATGTTCGAAGAATTGATGATTCAACTAGGGGTGCAAATGATTCAAGAAAAGGTGCGATAGAATTTAACAGGGCGGCGGTAGGGTTGGCGGGGTTGGCTTCCCCTATGATGTTCAAAGAAGTGCATACATACAGACATGCATGGATTGCACAGATTACCTAAAATGTCGTATTGCAGCATTTTCTCGCGAAATTGGTGCAATTCAATCTCTGCAAGAAATCTAAAAAGTAGGGGGGGGGGGGGGTTGGGGTTGGGGGGGGCGGCAGACCCCCCCATGATGTTTGAAGAAGTATTGATTCAAATAGGGGTGCAATTACTCTGCAAACAATCTAAACAGTAGCGGCTAATTGGGGGGGGGCGCTTCCCCCCCAAGATGTTCGAAGAAGTAATGATTCAAATAATTAGGGAGGAACTGGTGATACTGATGATGCGGAAACCAAATCCAAAAACCAATGAAAGGGTGCAAAAGCCAAAAAGCCCAGAGAGGAACTGTGAAAGCAGAGGATGCGAAAAGCCAAAGCCTCCAAACGCTGCATAAACCAGCGAAAAGCCGCAAAAGCCAAAACGCCACCTGCCGAAGAGGAACTGGGAATGCAGAGGATGCGAAAAGCCAAAGCCAAAAAGCCACCAAAAGCCGCATAAACCAACAAAAAGCCGAAAAGCCTGGAAGCCAAGAAGCCAAAAGAAAAAAAGAAAAAAACAAAAAAAATACATACCCCTCCCTAGAGAAGTCTCAATTGCCTTGTAGCTTCCTTCTAAGGCATACGAAGCAAGCTGTATGAGTGCGAGCGCACCCGGTTTGAATGATTCCGCGTGATGTTTATCTTCACCAACATATTCATCGAGGCTCATGTGTAGACCTCGCTGTCCCGCGAAAGTAGAACCATGTAGAACCATGGGGACCTTTGGGCAGGTCACCGGTCTGGGAGGGGAGGTTCACGGTGCAGCGCTGTGCGAATGGGGCCAGGAATTGAGAGCAGGTCAAAGACGCCCTCCCCTCTCCCCCAGAGCAGCCTGCAAGTCCGGTGGCTCTTGCACCGAACCGTGCTTGGACATCCGCTTCTCCTGGCGATAGCATGTTGTGAGGGCCTGGGGACAAAGCATTTTTTGCCTCAGGAACTAGCCCCGTAACAAGTATGTCCCTTCGGTATGGCTTTCTTGCATCAATTGTTGGTTCAGGTCCCTACATCAATATTTCTTGCCGGGAACACTCTTTTTGTGAAGGGTGGCCCTTTTGCCATATTTAAGGCGACAAGCTTAGGCTAGGGCAGAAGGAGGACCACCATACTTCCGTTCCAAGAACTGTCCTGGGCTTCATTCCTTCTAGAATTGTGCCTACGATGGAGAAAATCCACCACCTCCTCAGTACCCAGGCCGTCTGCCTGCAGCTTGTCCTCCTCGGCCTTGGCCCCCAGGCATCGCAGCTGGCGCAGGCGTCCCGACCGCACCAGCACCGCAAAGTCCGCCACCTCGCCCTGGCGGCACAGCCTCGAGAGAAAGGAGGGAGAGGGGAAAACAGGGGAGATAAAGAAGAGGAGGGGCACTGTACAGAAACCAGAAACCTCGAAGACCCTGGTTGCCCTGTGCTGCGGCCTGGTTTGGCTGTTGTTTGCCCTTATTTGGCTGTGGTTGGCCGTAGTTGGCCTGGAGGCATACTGGAGGGGAAAAAAAACCAAACGCGGAGCCCGGAGCCCCTCTGAATCTGTGGGATATTTGGGGGGTGGCCTTTTGTGGCGCGACGACCCGGCCGGACACAGCTTCCCACCGAACGCATCTGGCAGATCCACCCAAGAGTGATCCCGGAAGTGCTTGCTGAGAGAAAAAATTGGCGTTTACTGATAAGAATAACCTTCGGCATGGATAGTGGGAATAGTAATGTTATGCACTATGCAGTCCCCCGAAAAAGCGTGTGACACGCCAAACGGGCAGCGGGCCCACCAGGGCCGTGGGCCACTTTTTAGGCCGACCTTCTTTTGAATAGTGGATCCCGAACCAACCAAGCAAAAAGACGGGGAACAAGTTGGGGGGAAGAAGAAGAAGAGCTGAACCCATGAGACGGCGTGGCTGGGGCAACGGAGCTGGGGCAACGGAGCTGGGGTTCGTTGCCGCGTGGCACGTCCTCGCTGCGCAGCACCTTCTCCCGGAGGCATTGGGCCAAGATCTTCACGTCCTGCTCCGTGGCCTTGCAGCTGCATCGGCCGTGAGTGGTTCCCCTCGGTCTGCACGCACGCACGCACGCACGCACGCACGCCCGCCCGCCCGCCCGCCCGCCCGCCCGCCCGCCGCCCGCCCGCACGCACGCACACAGGGTCACAAGGTTTGACATTAAACAAGGCCAACCATCAAGGGCGGGCCAGATCCCTTTTTTTTGCCGCGCGCATCCCAGATTCATCTGGCAGAACGTATTTCCATGACGTGCCTTGCTTGCACTGATTTAAACGAATTTGCTCTCACCTGCGTCTTCAAACAAGTCAGCAACTCCACCCGCTCAGCGTCAATCAGTTGCAGGAAGGGCCAGCATTAATTGCTGCTTGTGCGACGAGGCAGTCCCGGAATGCCGAGAGGCAAAGACATTGAGTTGTTTGTGTCGCTCTGGAGTTTGTCACCAGGACGAAGTCAGGAGGCGGCGGGAGTTGAGGCTTGTTCTGGCTGACAGCGCAAATCTGTGTCTTGGCTTCCACGTAGATGCAGAACTACGCTTGGAGACACCCGAGAATCTCCCAAAAGCGGGGGGTCGTGCCTGCATTTGCACGCTTGTCAGGTCACGTGGACCTTTGCCTGGCGCCCCAAACACAAGCGTGGGTTTGAAAGCCATTTGAACAGAGCAGAAATCTTTTGAGTTCTGCCGGCTCTGGGGCGCCGGGCGCCGGGCGCCCCGGCGGGCGCCTGGGGCGCCGGGTGCCCGGGGCGCCGGGTGCCCGGGGCGCCGGGCGCCCGGGGCGCCGGGCGCCTGCCTCCACCTTAGCATCCAACAAGCTGAAAGAAGCCTTGCCAAACGAAATGTCACTTCGCAACAAGTGTTTCCCATGAAGTGATGTCAAGCAGGACCTGGCAGAATAGGGGGACCGTAGGTGTCCCGTGGCAATTGCGACGCAGCTCGCTTTGCTTTCAGGGAAGTTGTGGTTTGGACGCTGTTTTCCTGTGGTTCTCCTTCGTTGTTTTCGGAAACGGCGCAGGCCATTTCTCAAGTGTCAGTGCTTTAGAGCTTCCGGCTCATTCTGCAGACATGACCCTCTGCTTGCTCTAACGTCGTACAAGCGCAGCGAGTGTGGTTTGTTTGCTTGCAGGATTGTGTGTCACAAGTGAGGCAAAGGGCAGCGCAGCCGGAGATACATTCACTTGCAGACCAGCTTGGGCGTGAACCCCAGTCAATTCAAACTGTGTTGCACGATTACGAAAAGTTTTGCCTGGTCCGCCGGTGCGCGGCCACATCGGAGGCGCGTAGCGCCTTCGCTCCGCTCCCCCTGGCTTGAGTCGCGGAGTTGCAGCAGAAAATGCAAGACGCTCGCGCCACACTCCGTTTTGTTGCGATTGGCAACGCACCTCTGGTTCTCAGAAACAACCGGCGCAAAGAGAAACAGCCACAGCGCAGGCGCGGCCACCTGGCGGCTCCTTTGATTTTTTTCGGACAATCGAGGGTCTCTTGCAAGGGACCCCCAAAAAACCAGTGTAGGGCCTACACTGGTTTTTTGGGGGTCCCCTGCCAAGGGACCTACAGCTGATCTGCGCGTCTTTTGCAACCTGAAATCATGTGGGGGTCCCTTTCAGGGGACCCCCAAAAAACCAGTGTAGGCCCTACACTGGTTTTTTGGGGGTCCCCCAGAAGGGACCCCCGTTTGACCAAAAAAATCGCAGGTTGCTGTGATAACCTCCCCCCCCACACGTGGTTAACCCAGGCTTTCCGTCTGCCTGTCAGAGATCTGCGCACTACGGCACCACCAACTTGACCGGACCCTCCCTTGTGAGCAGCCTCAAGCTGGACACAAGTGGCAGGCCACTGCTTGCAAACGGAAAGTCCACGACTTTGGCTGCGCAAGCTTGGCCAGCGAAGTCGAAGACAAGACAGCGGTCACTGCTGAGTTACGGGTTCACTTGCACAAGGGCATTCCTCTACTTGTGATGGGTATGGGAGCACAGACAGGTTAGTGATTGAAGTCAAACTTGGTGCAGAAGATCCAGTTTCTCGTGGGTTGGCTGAGCGCCCGCGCGAGTATAGGTGGCTTTGCTCTCGCCCGCCCCCTCTCGCCCAACGCCCACTTCTGACACACGTTTACACACGCGCCCGCCTGTTGTGTTCAATGCGCGGTCTTCCTCCAGATCCATACGCCTTTTCCCACCCCACAGACAGCAGTTTGCATGTGCACCTAGGCGACACAGTACGGTGGCTTTTTGCCTTGTTTCTTCCTTGCCAGGCGAGACCGATCCGCGCCTATGGTGAGGCCCTTCGCGCAGCCAACGCGGGCACTGCTGCCAGCCTACCACCGCCGCTTGCCCAAACCTGGCCATTGCGGCGACAGCCTGCAATACGCCGATCATTTTGCAAAGCCATGCTCAAAGTGCGAGAATGACAAATGGCGCGGAGCTAACTTGACAACCCGCCATCTTGCCAGCTGCGCCGGGGAAGAGGCCAAGTCTTCGAACCTCTTTTTGGCGCCTCGTGTGCCTGGAGGGCAAACAAAAAAAACAATGCTACGGCTGCTTTCGTCACAAGCAAACAGATGTTGCTTGGCTGTGACTATGTCTCGCCGTGTGGTTTAGCATGCCTTCCATGATCAACGTGCGCACCCTCGGTGGTTGGATCCTGCAGCGCTTTGCTCAGCCGCTATTGTTCGGATGCGGCCACGCAGTCTCCAGGTTGGAGGCATGCTTGGCGCGCGTGTCGAGACAGAGCTACCCATGTCTACATTCCAGGAGATGCGATGCATTTTCGGGGGCATTGCGGGACTTGCCAGTAAGAAGGTCATTGCGAGAGTAAGCCATAGTGCTTGGCCACGAATACGCGGGTTGCAATCCTGAAGCCCTCCAACTAGGCAACGTAGTGCTGGAAAGTATGCCAACGCGGCCTCGTGGCAAGAGACTGGATGTCTATGTTGTTGAGACGGAATAAGGTCTAAACAAGTGCGAGAAAGACATAATCCGGGCACTGATTCTTTGGCCTTGATTCCTTTATGTAAAATGTCAAATCTTGTGACCCTGACGCACGCACACACCGACACCGCACAACGCACAACGCACACCGCACACCGCGCACTTCTTGTGATTCTTGCGGCGCCTTGTGGGCCTCTCATGGAAAGCCCAACCTTTTGCAGATGCAACCCGCAGCGCGTGCGTGCCAAGCGCCTCGCACTGCTTCAGGGCCTGCAGCACGCGCGGACACTTCTGCAGGAACCGCACCCGCGCCTGCACAAACTTCCTCGGATGCGGTGAAACGCGCTGACACGCCGATTCGGAGCGTTTCGAAAAGCTGCAGGACTTGGCTGAATCAAAGCCGGTCACCCCCTGCTACCACAGAAAAAGATCGGCCAAACATCACTTTGCAAGACCTTAACTAAGAATTGGGAAATTGGGACAAAGAAAGGATCAGCCTTTGCCAAGAGAAAGGTGCCGCGAACACGCCAGCTCTGGCCTTCAGGCCAAATCCGATTCCCATGTTCTCCATCCGATTCAACCAAAAAAGCAAAGCCGGACTTCACATACCGCGGCAAGAGCCTCTGGAGCGGATGCCTTCAAAGCCTTGGCCACCTCTTGCGCCACAGTCACTTGCTTGCCCAGTGGGACAAAAGGACATGGACACCTTGTTTGAGGAAAAGGCTGTGAACTGTCTGGCAACTGGCACCTTGGCCAAACAAACAACCTGTTGGCCCCCTACTACGCCACATTATTTATTTCTCTTTCTCTTTCTCTTTGTCGATCTCTTTCTCTTTCTCTTTCTCTTTCTCTCTCTCTCTCTCTCTCTCTTTCTGTCTCCCTCTTTCTTTCTGCCTCGCTTCTCGTCCGTCACTGGAACGAGGCGCCTGTGCTCGGCGCTGGCAAACTTCTGGTAGTCCTCGCGTTTGGTGACCAACAGCCTTGCCAGGGCACGATGCACTAATGGTTGTAAGGCTCTCCGCAAGGATGAATCCACCCCTCCCCCCAAAGCAGGTTTCAATCCTTCTTCAGTGCCAATCAACGTGCAGCCGCCCGAACAAAGGCATCCTCTAGTAAAGCACCTTCCCCACGTCTGAGATCTTTGTACACCATGCTCATGATACTTTTGGCAGAGTCTTGTTGGACATCAGCGTGCAGCTTCTTGTTCTTCGGAAGGATTGCAGCATTCACACAATCGCCATCGCGGTCAAGGCACTCCGTGGTCTGGGATGCTACCACCGTGGCTGCACGAGGAGTAGTCTCCTCACCCAAAGGAAGCACGTGGAACAGGGGATTGCCTTTGACTGCTTTAAAGGAAGCTCCTCAAAGCGTAAAACTTCCCGTGGTGTGTTATTGCTTTATTGTTTTGTTGGGGGGGGGCTCACTTTAACGACGGCACGTAAAAAGAAAAACCAGTGCAGAAAAAGGCGGGGAAACCACGAGCACTTGATGGGGGGTTTGGCAGGAACCAAAGCGAGGCCTATACAAGCCCCTCTTGAGGCCAATTGGGGGCTTAAAGGGCTAGATTTTTGGGAAGTTCAACATTTGTGGGGCACCCCTGGCAAAGTGACGAGAGCGGGGAAGTCCCGCTGGAGCCTGCCACTTTGCAATGTTCTTCCCGTTTGCCCACACAAGAGCCCAGCAACTGCCCGGCTGTCCCCCGACTATGACAGCTAGACAACAGTTGGATTCTGTGCCGGTGCCTTATTGCCCACGCTGCACAGTTCTGTCCTTGATGCTAGCCACAGCTTGGCGTGATGGTGGCGTTCCGTCTTAGTCTTGACATTTTGTGAGCGCTGGTGCCAGCTACCAGTGGCTTTATCTCAATCATGGCCAAAACCCTGGGAAATCCGTCAAGCTAGCGAACGTTGAAACTTGCGCTTGTTGCTGGCTACCCTCCACCCCCACCCCTAGGACTCCCGCTTGAGAATCTCTCCTGCAGGGCCAGCTCCCCGAAGCCTTGGCCCTCCTTGAGCTGTGCCAAGGTCTGCATGTCCGGCTCCTAATGCGAAACAGACGCGCCCGGCGTACCTGCAATGAGGGATTCAAACTCAGCATGTGGGTTTTGAGAGGCTTTTGCCTGGGAGCGTGCGGTTTTGGCACTAACCTGAATCTGCGCTCAAGTCAAGACGCAACCCCACGTGTCCCCCCTTGGCGATTGAAGTGGCACCTCCTTGGGAGGCCGCTTCCACACGCTCACGGGCTCCACAGGGACCTGGGCGGGCGGATGGTCAATAGCCAGGTTGGACCCTTTGGCTGGATTCCTAAACAACTAGGCCATAAATCGTGGTGCATGAGAAGCAACAACATCAGTCTTGCAAGCACCTGCCGCAGACTTTTGACCAAGAACTAGGCAGGCAGAAACCTCTCATCCCTCACTAGCATCCACCAGCATGGCAGAGATCGAAACGCCAGCGTCCGGAGTGCTGATACCACCCAAGGAGGAGAAAGAGGGACACTGCGGTCACCACCATGGTGCCGTTGACAAAGAAGCTATTTGACTCATTTCAAGTTAACAGTTACTTGACATGAATCCAGGCTCAACTCAGTTGAGGGTGGCTGCCAGAGCTTGGACCAGGAGCTTTCATGGGATGGCGAGATCGTGAGAAGGAGATATGCCATGGCCACGCGCTACGGTGTGATAGACAAGCTCCAAGGCACTACTGTCCCATTTCACGATCGTCAAGCTCTGCGACAAAGATGCGTGGAACACATTCCTTCAGGCGAAATCCGAGCCGCACAGGTGAATGGGAATCTCATCGTCGAGCAGGCCCCAAATCCCACGATGTGTATGGCGGACCGTTTTGACAGACCATAGGCTCCTTTTACTTTCCAGGGAGGCATACGTTGGATGCACGCAGCTGAGCTGAAACCAGGTCCCTTGGGTGTCTGTGGCACGCTTGACATGCGCACAAGTGGAGACCAATCCCAGGGGCACCTTGTGTCCTCTGGACCAGAGACTTACCCGATGCTTGATATATGCAGCATGTCGCTATCACCTACAGAGATGCCTCAAGTTCACGTATTGGGCTCGTTAGTCTTCAGAAGGCCGCCAAAGACAGGCTCTGAGTCAAGAGCTCGGTGTTCTTCCGCTTGCTTCAGTCCCACGCGCCACTTCCCGGTCAAAGCGAAAGGGAAAAGTAGAGAATTACCAGAAGCGACTGGCATTTGATTTTTGGAGCCTCCGGCCTGCACGATGCAGGCCCCGGTGAGGATGATGTAAAACTTGTCACCGACTTCTCCCACGTCGAAGATCTGAGCACGGACGGAACGATTCCGTCACCTGGACCCCTTATCCTGTTGGCTTCCCCATTTCCGGGGGTCAAGTTGTCAAAGTCAGTGGTTGCTTGAATCTTTCACTTGAGGACCGACTAGCTCGCAACAGATCAACGATGAAGTAGAACCCGTGCCATGCCTTGGCCCTGTTCTTCACGGCCTCCAGAGTCATAACCTGCCGGGCGTGAGGGGGGGGGCAAGTGCACGGTGCTCACACCAGCAGCACCCGAGGATTCACCACTGGGCTGTTCAAAATGGAGGCTTGACCAATACTATGTGATGCTGTTGGAAAACCGCAGTGAGGCAGAGAGTACCCTTATGTTGGCCAGGAGGAGTTGCCTTTGAACACCCCAAAGAGTCACGGTCTTCGTAAGCCAACGCTTGTCAATCATTGCCCTCGCTGCAACTGGCAATGATGAAAGTGCAAGAGGGGGCTGCATTCCATGCTTGCTGTTGACAAGATAAGAACACTATGACTTATAAGCATGGTCATTCAAAAACAGCTAGCACATATCAGCTGTCTCGATCCGGCCACCCCCATGAAACCCCCCACGAGTCCTGAGTCGCATTTCAGTAGACGACGCCTCAGGCCGTGGGGCCGCACTTAAGCTCCCCCTGGTTGCTAGCAGCACAGGTGTGGCCCGCCTGGCAAAGGGCGCGCTGCTGCGCGCGCGGAAGCTCGGTAAAGAAGTTTACCTTAGCCGCAAGAAAACGCACTCGAAAAATCATCGTCTGCGACACTGCCTGATTCCACAAATGACCAGGCATACTTGTTTGTTGCCATCAAACAGAAAGCTTGGAAACCTTCCCGCGCCAATTCAGGCTGGTAAACCTGAGAGCTGAACGATTCAAGAGACCACAATAAAACAAGACTGCCTTGTGAAGCACTTGCCAGCTAGGCAATTGATCTGCTCAACTTCTGTCAGTCTGTGCTTGGCTCACGCCAAGGACTGTCACTTAAACTTGAACACTCTCAAACATGTCGGGTGACCATTAGCCGATAAACCAGCCATGGCTATTCCACTACCGACATGAACAAGAGTCCTCCGAGGCTGCACATCCTAGAATAGGTGAAAGAGAGGAAGGGGTGGCTTGGACGAGGGAAGGACCTCGAGTTCCCACATATATTGTTCATCACATGCATCTTATAGTAAGTCGCATGTCATTTTGGCGCCGAAAGATTCCCAACGAGAAGGAAAACGATGTTCTTCCCAGCAAAATGTCCCTGAGCTGAAGAAGCGGAATGCCAAGGGATAAGTCCAAACATGATGATAAACCAGACCACCCCCCCCCCGCCCCCGGCCATGAACAAAAAGGCACTCTTTTTGGGCAGTCTGCTTCTCAAGGGAACCCTCCTCCAAAAATGAAAAAAGGGCACCACTGGCCGAGGATAGAGCAGCTGGAAGTTCACGGCGGGTCGCATCCTGCACGAAGGCGAGGATCCGGTCCTCGGGCTGTTGGAGCAAAGGTCTCCCCATATCCCAAGAGGGGAAACTGGAAACTCCCTTCGGCCAGCATGGTGCTTCCAAAGGGGACAAAATAACCATGCTACATAATACATATGAAATACTCTCTTTTTTAAATATATGTATATTTATATGCACATCTATAATATATATATATATATTTATTTCTATGTGTCTGTATATGTGATATATATATATATAATGTGGGGCCACTATTTAAGTGAACCTTGAAAAATGGGCATCTTCCAAAGCACTAAGGATTCACATCAGGAACTCATCGTCGGTGAGCTCGTGTACAAAACACGTAAGCATTGATAAACACTTGGAACCGGCAAGGGCAACGGCCGGCTGTGGACAACCTTCGAACCTTCAACCAAGCTCTTGTTTGGGTTGCACTGTTAAAGATTTGGAACCAACCAAGTCGAACGTGAGAAAACATGTGTTGGCTCGTGCCATGCGCTTACTTTGCTGATGTCGCCTTAGAAAACCCGGCCCCGTGTGGGTCTTGCTTCATTTTGACGCACCACCACCATCTACTCAGGCCGTGTGATCGCCGGGGCCTTCAACTTTTCAGACATCTCGTCAAACTTCAAGGGCCGGAGCCCCCCTTGTCCTTCTCCTGCACTTCCAACTTTCATGGTCTAGACCACCCTTCTTCTCACTGAGCGAGGGGCCACCTGCTCCGCCGACCGCTCGGCAGGCGCCACGCTGCAGGCGTCCCTGATCAGCTGCACTTGGCGATTTCCATTGGGCGACTGCATGGGCGACTGGCCGTCCTTTTGCGGGTGGAGCCAATTAAATTCGGCATGTGAAGGGGCTGTTGCAAGGCAGATCTTCCAGAGGAATCAACAATGGAACTGCGCTGGTTCATCTTCGGAGGGCACCCCAGTGTTGACACATGACTGTTGACACATGTCCGTGATGGTGGTTACTAGCTGTCTCAGCAGTCTGACTGCTTGCTGTCCATGTGTGTCAAGACGAAGTTGCAAACAAATGAGCGAACATGTCTTAAACCCACTTGCAGGAGAATCATGTCTCATTTCCGGCTAATTGCCGCGAGCGCGCCGATGGCGCGATGGCCCGGGCACGAGCCCTTCCTTTGGAAGGGTCCGAAGCCTCCGTTCGAGCCAGCGGAAACGGCGGATTTCCGGCGGCCCCTGCTGCTGGTCACACCAATGAGCAGCCAAGATCGACCCAGAGGGGTCAGCATTCAACAGTACCCTTGATTGTCAACACAGCCTGCCCTTCAACACAGTACACTTGAGACCTATAGAAGCTGAAGGTGAATTCTGACAGGATTGTCATGCAGAAAAGAGTGGCTCAGCTATGGCTTGGCAAGCGTATCATTAACCCTAGTATGTTTGGAACCCTGCCAAACAATATTCAATACAAACCAAAAGGCAACTGAAATGCGAACCAAGTCTGAAGTTTGGTTTTTGAATCCGCCGCAGGTCCCCATTCCAAAAAAAATATCCAGCCTTCCGAAAGAGGAACAGTCATTTCCAGGGGTAATTAGACCCTCCAGCCATAAATTCCACGAGCTTCAACCTGATCTCTCCGTCTCGGAGAGCCCCTCACCTCCACGAGCACATCCCCCGACACCACCAGGTCCGTCGGCAGCGGGCAGGACACCACCGAGTCAGTGGGCGCGTAGCTGCTGGGCCACACCTGCGCTGCGCAAGGTGCCGCTGGTGCCTACCCTTAGTGACCTCCAAAAAAACAAGCTGGCGTCTTTGATGTGGTCAGAACGTTCCTTGATCTTTGATGCCTGGGTGATGGTCTCCGGTGCGTGTTTCCTATGTACGCTGATGTGTTCGGTCGCCGTCCTTGGCTGCTGTTTGGTGCTGTGCTGTATGCTCATTGTCGCACAGCTTCTTGCTGCGTGGTTGTGTCGGTGCGTTGTTGCAATGGGGGAGGATGTGGCGGAGGGTGCACAGCCGGTGAGAGGAGGGCCAAGTGTATTGCGCAGCGTCTCCATTTGTTCCACGGCAGTGAGTCCAGGTGAGCCCTGGACCCAAACTGCAGCGCAATTGTCAAAAAACACCAGCAGGTGTCCCGGTGGGGCAGGTGCCTGCGTTTGCAAAAGGAGCTCTGCCCCTACATGCTGGTGGCCCCCCTTTGAATACGGGTCGACCACTTTGAGAAACACACTTGCGGGTTGTGCAAACCAACGCTCGCCTCCTCACCCTGGCCCTTGAAGGACGAGTAGAGGGTCTCGCCCGCTCTCACCTCCACAAAGGGCCTGAAGGCCGCGCCTGCCAAACAGAGCTGTCCATCGGGGTGTTTCCGAAAACTGGGAGCCTGCTTTCGGTAGGAAAGCAACCCACACACTTTCTGGGCTTCTGTAAACAACACAAACAGAATCAGAACAAAGCGTAGAACCGTACTTATGTATGCACAGTGAGCTGCACATGAGTCATCATGCAAATGGCAGGGTCGGGTCAGGGTGTGTAAGATATGCCGCTATCGCTTTGAATGGGCCTAGCTGAGCCTGGCCCACGGCAACAGCATGCATGCACACTCATCCTCCTGCTCGCACAAGCCCCAAAGGCACATGCGCCTCGCCTTAGCTGGTTTACCCGCCCACTCTCGCATCGCTTCTCACTTCACAGGGCTCACCTTTCAACACCCTGTCCAAAGATCTTTTGACAAGGGAAGAAAAGGGACCCCTCAAACAGGGCTCAACACATTTTATCCATTTGTTGGTCCTTCCATTTCGGTGTGCCATAGAATGGGGGAAGCCCCAAAATGGCTTCGTTCTTAGTTGCCACCCACAAGCCGCGAGAATGAAAAAGATAAAAAAGGACGCGCCCAGATTTTCTCACGGAAGCGGTCCTTAGGCCCCTGGCCCGGCCTTCCGTCTCAAAGCCCGGCACGCCGCTGAGCATCGCCTTGCACAGCCGCAGGCGGCGCGCGGAGCCCGAAGCCGTGCCCTGGCAGAGGCGGCTTCTTTCCACGGATGGGGCCTGGGAATGACCCGCCCGCTTAATGGTTGAGCTTGGAAGGGGAGCAAGAAAATTTGAATGTTGGCAGTTAAGTGGGGATTTCCCACTAAACCACAATAAGCAAAATGTAGAATATGTCTCAACAACAACCATGCTGGACCATGCTTACACATGCTGAACTCTTTGGTTCAAACAACCCCCTTTCCAAAATCAAGGAAAGGGCAACCCCATGGGCAGAACGAAGTCCAACCAACCTGAAGTCCGCAGGCCTGCAAATTTCAGGGCCAAGCCCCCCCCCCGCCCCTCGGCCCAGGACAGGCTCTGCGAAAGTTCTTGTGAAGGTTCCTACTGTCTCTGGTAACATGTCCAAAGGCCCAGGGTACAAGAGTTTACTTGTCGGCTCTGGACCGGGTTCCACTCACAAAAGGCTTCCAGGGGATGGCGTAAGATTATGCAAGATTCAGAAGAAGCCTCTTTGGTTGAATTTGAACAGAGGCTCGTAGACTGCGACATTGAAAGAAATTGGCCTGTGGGGCCGTCACATATTGTAGAAAGTACACTTTGCGCGTTCCCGGAAGCACCTTCGTGACTCCTTCCAAGACACTTCAGTCACCAACAATCATGTCCACATGCCATGAAAAAAAACATGAATGATACAAGAAGCAGGACCCTGATACCACACCCCCACCCCTCACCTGCCAGCCTTCTCAGAGGTACTTGAGCTGGCAATCATGTCAGGAAAAGTGTCCAACAAGTGTGCTGTGAATGCTAAGCAACAACAACGAAAGCAAAGGAATCTTCTTTTTGTCTCTTCGCGATATCTGCAACGTGTGCCAAATCCGCAAGCCTGTACATGAACTCCCTAAAAAAGGAAGCCCTACCTTGCAGATTTTTTTAAGCGTGGCTTACTGTTGGCGTCTTTAGCTACGGCTGAGTTCACTGTTGCCACTGCTGCCACTGGCTTTCTGCTTGGGACACAAAATCCCACTGCCCGACCTCCAGGAACTGGGCGAAGTAGCCCAGGTACCGCTGCTGCGAGGGCAGCGGCGCCACCTCCACCTGGCGCTGCAGCTCTTTCAGCGCCTCCTCCGACGGGATTCCGATCTGGACACGGCTGGGCGCGACGAGGGCTGCCACTCCCTAGGGTCGTCTCCTACAAAAAGCCAGGCTTGGTTTTGCCCTAAGGTGTGTGTGTGTGTGTGGTGTTGGTGTTGTTTTGTTGGTGTGTTGGTGTGTTGGTGTGTTGGTGTGTTGATGTGTTGGTGTGCTGGTGTGCTGGTGTGCTGGTATGTTGTGTTGGTGTTGTTTTGTTGTTTTGTTGGTGTTGTGTTGTTGTTTTGTTGGTGTGTTGGTGTGTTGGTGTGTTGTGTTGGTGTGTTGTGTTGGTGTGTTGTGTTGGTGTTGTTTTGTTGGTGTGTTGGTGTGTTGGTGTGTTGTGTTGGTGTGTTGGTGTGTTGGTTTGGTGTGTTGGTGTGTTGGTGTGTTGGTGTGTTGGTGTGTTTGTGTGTTTGCGTGTTTGCGTGTTTGCGTGTTTGCTTGCTTGCTTGCTTGCTTGCTTGTTTATTTGTTTGTTTGTTTGTTTGTTTGTTGTTTTTTGTGGGGGGGGGGGGGCGGGGCCGGCTTGACTTTAGGGAAAGTGCATTTGGTTTACCGGAATCGGCCCCCAATGGCAACGGTGCATCAAAGGAATCGGACCAGCTCCTAAAACTTTCAATGCCCACCAAAAGCCCCCCCCCCCCGCCAGCAGGGGGAGAGGGGTGCTTGAAGGGAACCCAACATTCAAGGGACCAGTAATTTTCGGGGCCCACAGTTTTGACTAAACAACACAAGGAACAAGCCTGCTCCTGTTTCGCTTGAGCAGGAACCCGGGGCTTTTGACCAGAGCAACCTCATGTCGCCCGTCCTTGGGAGTGCCTTGGCCGCGGAAGGCTTGAAAGCACCCGGCAAAGGCGGCGGCCCGCGCAAAGCCTGCACCAAACTTCCGCCGACCATTCTAGGTGCCAGGGAAAATTCACATGGAAGTCTATCTTTTACACGGATCTCCTTTTGGGAAGCCACTCTTTGAGGTTCTGCTGGAAGTCTGCGGGGAAGGGCCGATTTGGAGAAGCCTAAGCCCGCGAACCGCCTTGATGGAGGTGACAGGCCTTGTGCCTTTGGGCGACGTGAAGCACGGGCGGAACAATGCACAACTCGGTCAGCTACCTGAAAGCTTTCCGTTGATGAACCCGAAGTTTCTCTCGAATGGGAAACCACTCCCTGGGCCAACAAAACCGCCGATTGAAACCAAAGCTCTCACATCACAAATCGTTAAGCAACTGGGGCCCAGTCGGATGATGGATTTCTTGGCCAGCCACCAGAACTGCCCAAACCGACTCAATCCATATCACCATTGCAAATGAGGTGCTCCAGCACGGTAGGCCGATTTCTGTTTAGAGTGTTTTAAAAGTGCCCTAGGGGAAGGTCTGCAGCTATCTTCGGCTGGAGCTCTTGCATCGAAAACCACTATCGAGGAGAAACAACTCGAGGTGTGTCCATACGCCCCTTCAACGTGGCAACGGCTTGTTGGAACGAGCGTCGCAAACGGGTCCCTCATATTTATCAGCGCGCCAAAAACACGCAGCCGTGGGATTCGGCCTTTACGTCGGTATTTTGGCGTGCTACTCTTTTCACCTTGGCTTCCATGACAAAATGGGGAATCGCAACTCGTTGCATTCTTCTGATGTGGATGGACAACACCCTTCACCAGTTGGGATGGATGGATGAAACCAAATGGGTTATGGGTCACAAGCCCGTACCCCCAGTGAACATCCCAATCCCCTCTACAAAAGACTAAAATGGGTGGTGCACCTACCCCAAAATGACACCGTTGGTGTTGACACACGGCCATATGAACTCTGGAGTAAGTCCACTCCCATTGATTGGCTCGCCTTCGCGGCCATGCACCACCACCACGTTTTCCTGGTCCGTGGCCAGCCACTGCTGCGCTGAAAGGCAGAGCTGCAGCAGATCCTTCCTCACGAGATCTAAGCCGTTCGGCCCAACCAACCGAACTGGTGGTGTCCGAGTACATTGCAATGAAACCCACACGATCTAAAGGACAAAAAGGGTGCGGTCTTTGTTTTGCTTGGTTCCCTTGTTTTGGGAATCAACCGCGCGCCGAGCCGGGCGCTAAACTCGTCATCAGGCGGATCATTTGGTCCATGGACAAGGCAGACAAACAACGAACCCGACCCAACTCGAATTTTCTACCCCAACGCGGCCTGCGCACTGATACCCCACAACCGAACGCGTCGATCTGCCGGCGAGGGACAAAGGCGGGAGCTCTAAGCCGTTCAACGGCAGATCGAGGACCTCGTCGACAGGAACGCTCGACAGGCCGGCCCGGGGAAATCAAGCTAATCTGATTCTCCGCCGGTTTGCTTGATTATCACAAGTCAATCTGATGCATCCCAACTTAAAATCGATCCGCGGACCTCGACATTCTTCATCGCCAGTCTGTCGAGTATCTACGTAGGGCATACAGGCCAATTCTTAGGTTCAAGCGTGCCTTGGTGGCATCATGTGGCCCGGGAAAACCACTGACCCTTGTGCTAGGAAAACAATGGCCTGCTTGCTTGATGTTGCTGAAGCTTTCTTGCACAATAGCGACGCGCACACCGCTTTGCGCCTCGCCCTCGAACTTGCCACTCTCGTACGGCTCCTGTGTGCAAGCATCACACGAGCATACACGAGCAGACCCTGAACACCCACATGGTGACTGTGTAGAAGGGGTAACCTTCAAAATGAAAGAGACCCATGAACCCCACGTGGTCACCTATGAACAAAAAGGCCGCTTCTTGGTCCCATCTTATTTCCGGGCAATGAGTTGAGAGTTGTTCACATGTCATTGGCCATGAGTAACATGGACAAAATATCTGGATCTCGCTCCCGAAGGCGCATAGATCACAAGTGTCTGCATCCTGGTCCTCAAGATTCACATGGAGGCCCAAACCCCAACCAAAATGACCAAGTCAGCGCATGGATCCATTGATCCTAAAAGGTCACTCGCTGACTTCCTCCCAGCTAGGCCATAAGGATTGAAAATTGCCGGCTCGGGAAGCTTCAGACCACGCCTCCGAAAGATTGAAGATCAGCATCTTCTGCGCATGCGCTGCATTCAGTCGCTTCGCCTCAGCTCTTTGAGAAGAAAAGGCTTGTTCTGATCCCCTGACTGACTCACTTCTCGCAGGGTTGTGGCATGGTAAAGCCTCTGGTGCTTCGATGAAGCCTTAAGAACATCTGTTTTGTCACACACTGCTTTGCGCAGCCCAAGCAGCCGTCACAACACTCGAATCACTCCATCAATTAACGTATGAAAACATCGATCAGTCGACTGGGCTAATCAAGTGCTGCATTGAGTTCCAAGTGCTTTGGCTCAAGAGCGCGCATTTCTTTCCTGGGTGTTTGAAATACCTGTCTTGTCGCACGTGTCTTTGCATCTGCGCTGCTCGCACACCTTGGGCCTCTTGGTGAACATCACAGAGAACCCCACCTCTAGACGACAAACAAATTCCTCCATTCAAGCTGTTGACAGCCAGGGCGCCAATCGCTCGATGGTCTGCAGTGAGGGGTACTCCATGATCATCAGATCCGGACGCCTCAGACAAGCCCCATGAACATCGCCTCAGGTCATACCCGGCACTGGAGGATAGGCCGGCCAAACTTTGGGACTGCGACTGCGAACAATTGGCTCTCTGTTTCTCTCCTTCCTCTCTCTTCCTCTCCCTCCCTCCCTCCATCCCTTCCTTCCTTCCTTCCTTCCTTCCTCCCTCCCTCCCTTCCTTCCTTCCTGCCTTCCTGTCTCTCTTCCTTCCTTCCTTCCTTCCTTCCTTCCTTCCTTCCTTCCGTCCGTCCGTCCTTCCGTCCTTCCTTCCTTCCTTCCTTCCTTCCTTCCTTCCTTCCTTCCTTCCTTCCTTCCTTCCTTCCTTCCTGTGTCTCTTCCTTCCTTCCTTCCTTCCTCCCTCCCTCCTTCCCTCCCTTCCCTCCCTTCCCTCCCTTCCCTCCCTTCCCTCCCTCCCTTCCTTCCTTCCTTCCTCCCTTCCTCCCTCCCTCCCTGCCTTCCTTCCTTCCTTCCTTCCTTCCTTCCGTCCTTCCGTCCTTCCGTCCTTCCGTCCTTCCGTCCGTCCTTCCGTCCTTCCTTCCTTCCTTCCGTCCTTCCTTCCTTCCTCCCTCCCTCCTTCCCTCCCCTCCCTTCCTTCCCTCCCTCCCTTCCTTCCTTTCTTCCTTCCTCCCTCCCTCCCTTCCTTCCTTCCTTCCTTCCTCCCTTCCCTCCCTTCCTTCCTTCCTTCCTTCCTTCCTCCCTCCCTCCCGTCCTTCCTTCCTTCCTTCCTCCCTCCCTCCCTTCCTTCCGTCCCTTCCTTCCTTCCGTCCCTTCCTTCCTTCCTCCCTCCCTCCCTCCCTTCCTTCCTTCCTTGCTTCCTCCCTCCCTCCTTCCCTCCCTTCCCTCCCTTCCTTCCTTCCCTCCCTTCCCTCCCTTCCTTCCTTCCTTCCTTCCTTTCTTCCTTCCTTCCTTCCTTCCTTCCTTCCTGTGCCTCTTTCTTTCTTTCGTCCTTCCTTCCTTTCTGTCTTTGCTTTTATTGTTTCGGCCTTTCCTTTCTCTTCCCGCTTCCTTCTTTCTTTCCTTCTTTGTTTCGTTCGTTCTTTCCTTCTTTCTTTTCTATCTCTCCCACTCTCCCTCTCTCTCCCTCTCTGCCGTTAGGGTCTTTCAGGGACAGCCCGGACAAACACTAAATAGCAGCCACACGCTTCCACCTCGGCCAACCGTCATCCTCAGCCTCAATCTGGGCACGATGACACTTCAACACCACCAACCCCACCCGCCAGCCAGTGGAACAAACAACAAAACAACAAAAGCACTACCATCCAAGTCGACTGGGGCCTAAGCAGCAAAACACCCACAACGCCACAACACCCCCTCGAAGTCAATCATTCAACAATCACGCATCCGAATTAACACAGAATAGCTGGGCTAGAAATCGAAGACTTTGAAAGCGGGTTTGCCTTGCAATCAGGGCAAAAAGGCCACCCAAATTCATCCAGTGCGATTCGGGCCTCCTGCCAATGCTCCGGTGATCTCACGAACCCCAACAACTGGATGGTTGTCAAACGTATGGGCCTCTTCGACCTGGTTTGCCACAGGCCTTCAAATATGTATATATATATATATATGTGGGTTCCAGCTAGAAATGAACAACGACAGCACATACAACAGCTTGAGACTAACAATGGCTTTGATGCTTCAACAGGAAACTCTTAAGCGGCAGTTTCGCTCCGGTAGGACAAGTCAGACTAAGACGGCGTTCTTCCCATGCCCAGCGGCACTTGGAAGATTTGGCAGTCCAGTTCCTCGAAGGTGCGCCTGTACTCAGCCTGCACCTAGCCGTTCCAGGGTCTGCCCCCATCTCCGGGAGCCAGCGACAAGGCTTTTTCTGCCATTCGGGGCGGAATACTTGACTTCTGGAATTTGTGTTTTGTCTTAGCCCTCCAAGCCTTGAATAGAGGCACATGGAAACCTTAAAAAGCAGTCCTCGTGATTTTCCTTGCGCACATTTTTGTTGCAGCTGCTACCGTGGGGGCAGTAGGACCTCGTTTTCAGTTTGTCTGATCTTGTCGTATGGGTTATGTTCGAAACTTCCCGTCGAACTTCTTGAAAGTGGCCAAAATTCTGAGGCTGGTCAAGCCGTTGTTTGTCACGCAAACGCCCACAGCCTCAACATACCGGGAGCCCAAAAAATGCGCTTCGGCTGCCTTTGGCATCCCTTCCTTCCAACCCTAGGGAAGCGCCAATTTTGGCCACGCAAAGCTTCGGGGTCGCTTTTCTCTTCAGCCCAGGCACGCTCTCCGAGACCTTGTTGGCCGCGGTGGCCACCTCCTTGGCGGCATCTTTGGCCTTCTGCACGATGTCCACCTCCGCACATCGTGCTTTTTGGCGGCAACTCAAGCCAGGCGGCTTGATCGAGCCACCAGATCAGGACCGGAGTTTCTCCAAATAGGCACCCAAAAAACACATCGGCTTTTTTTTGGCCACCGCGTTTCTACCAAAATAGGAGGTCCGCCATGTTCAGAAAGCTCCGAAAAAATGCTTTAATCAGGTTTATACAACTTGCACTCGGGCGCATGACAAACCACGCGCAGTGCCGCCTCCCCCAGTTTCTGAATGAACTCGGCGTCCTGGAGCTGGTCCTCATAAGGGCGTTGAAAGAAACTGACCCCATCAGCACCCAATGACTGGCTTTCTTTCCCGGGTGATTGCTCCCGTGTGAAAACCATATGAATAATCAGCCTTCCATGATTTTCCGCAGGTTCCAACAGGTGTCTGAAAGGAGCAAGGAGTTGAAGGGGCAACACAGGCGTGTGGCCCCGGGAGTCGCCTTCCGAAGCACGTCTGGCTCCAACAGGGCCAACACCAGATTCTAGCAATCCGGAGAGTCAAGCTGATCCTTTGGGAAAGCCAAGGCAAAGAACCGGTGCCTACGTTTTAGAACCTTTTCGACCTTAATGATTGGAGCGATAGGTAGCACATGCAGGGTGAGACATTCGTTTTCACCCCTTTGTTGTTTTCGGAGCACCATGGTCGCTTAGAGACATGCGGCAAATCTTTGGAACATCAGTCTCTGGACAGTCCTGGGCCTTCTTCAGCGTGTCCGCCGCCTTCGCAAGGAGCCAGGCCATGGCAAGTGAAGCGAGGCGCCGCAAGCCAGGCCGTGCGTTCCGATGGCCCGGTGAGTGGGCAACAGATCCGTGATCAAACACATTCAGCTACTGAGCATGTGCCCAAGGCTTGGTCTTTGGCTTGAAAAGCACAATGGGGCCAGGGAACAGCTCTGCCGTTGCCACCAAAAGAACTATGTCTGGTGACCGCTTGCCATTGACACATGCACATTTCGTGCGAGCTCCCTGTGCGGAAAAGAACAGTATCCTCAAATCGTCTCAGCATCTGCAACTGTTCGCCATTTTGCCGGCGGCCCGAGCACAAGACGGGTCCACGGCAATGGGAAGCTAAGGAAGCTCGAACAGCACCCGGTGCCGCAAAACATCTTCGCTTGCCTGAAGACCCTGAAATCTAAAGGTTAACCTGTAAGAACCGTGAGAAAGGATGGATCAAATGTCAAAGGCCTGATTAGGACAAATGAGAGCACAGAGCAGCATCATCAGCATCGGCCTTTTGGCAAACACATCAAACACAACAAGACATCGGCCCAGTGAGAGATGCACAAAACAGAGCCTTCCTCGTGGTTTCCTGCCAACTCCCCCTCCGGGCCCCAAGGAATGTCCTGTCCAGCGCTGAGTTGCAGACATGGGAACCCCGAAGATCCTCCTCGAACTGCTCGGCTTTGATCCATGGTCGCTCTCAAGTCGTTCTGGTGCCTCTGCGTTTCATAAACGACAAACATCAAAACAAAAATGTGTCTAACCCTTCGGGCCCCAACTTCAACGACTATCGGTTCAATCAAGGGAAGATCAAGCTACAATGGTGTCGATTTTCCTGACAAGCAAGGGAAGTGAAACAATCAAGGAGCAATCAATTCTGCATACCTGGAATTCCAGAAATTCGAATTCCCCCCCCCTACCACGTTTAAGAGACCGGATTCCGGATTTTGGCACCCGCAAGGGCCTTCACAAGTGCCACTTCGGGGCTCCGTGCTTTGGCACAAGTTCTCCCCGAGCGCCCTCCGCCTCGCGAGAGTCAACATCTGGAGATCGCGGAACGGGCAGTGGATTCTATGCCAGATTGAAAGTAGATAGCACTATGCCCCTGCGTTCCATAGCAAATTTCAATATACAAACCTAAATTTCTAAATGAGCAGAATGACGTACGTAGTTTCACCAAAGGCCAGCTTTGCAGTTCGCACGCGGCCGCTCAACAAAACAATAGATACATATTTTTCCTTCCTGCCTTCCTTCCTTTCTTTCCCTTCCCTTCCCTTCCCTTCCCTCCCTCGTCACACAGGAATCACTCGAACTGCGCCGGCGTTTTTGCCCGCCGCTCAGTAGGTGAAAATCCACTGCAGGGGGCCCTGTCCCTGGAGCAGGGACTGGTAGACACTGCAGGCGTCAGTGATCGGCACCTTCTTGGTCTCGATCCAGTCCTCTTCTGCTCAAAGACTTCCCCTGACCCCCAGACCAAACCCTCTACAAGAAAAATAACAGTTAAGCCTTTTGTAGAGTCTAGTTGCCCCTAATTTACCCTTGATGTTTGTCTTATCCTTATGCTTCAGGAGTCTGGTGGTACAACCTTTGATCTGTTGACCCTTGCTGCTTCCAAAGCTACGACCTGCACAAACTGCTAAATTCACAAGCCGGAAAAAGGGATCCTGAAGAAACAATGGGATCCTTCACCATTTTGACTCCGCTAGGCTTACTTGGCTTGCAACCGGCACGTTTACTTTGCAGGGTACGCCTAACAAGAACAATCCCAAAATCAAAGTTCAAGTTAAAACTCGCCACTCAAGCGAGAACCTGACTTGCTGAGCCCACAAGTTGAAAGATTGGCCCGTTCCAAGACTGCAAGCAGCATTCAACAAGCAAAACCAGGCCCATGCAAAGGATCCTGACCAACCCTACCGTACATATCCCCAGAGTAGCCACATCCAATTTTGGAAGGGAAACCAACTTCTTTCTACGGCCCACATCCCGCCCTGCGCTCTTGGCGCAGGCATTCCCCGCATCTCAGCCATAGCTCAATCATTGATCTTAAGCGAGGTTGTAACTGCCATGGCATGGGATACTCCAAAATTGCCATTTTTTGTGCTAGACCCGCACAAGTGTTCTTGAGAGTTTCCAAAAATAGCCGCTTCAGGATGACTATAGTCATTCACCATCCCGAAAAGAAGTGACCCCCATCCCAAGAAATGTGTCTTCGGTCGCAAACCAAACATTTTGCGATTTGCCCCGACATCCAGGGACAGCCCTCACCTAGTCCCTCCATAATTTGACACACCCTCCTACCGAAAAACGAGGGCCGGGGATGTGTCACCCATCCAAAACAACGAAACTTTGGATCCCGTCCCAAACCGCCAAACCTCCGGCCTTGGGCCTTACTCTGCGCAGCATCTCCCAGCTCAGAGCCTTCCGGCGCTCAGGGCTCCAGCGCGCACTCAGCGGCGCGCTCACGCGGCTCACCTCAGGCACCCCCAGTGAACATCCCAACCCCCACTAAAATACAAAATGGTACCATTGGTTTTGACCCACAGCCACATGCCCCCAAGGTCAAAAAGCAGCTAACTTAAGGGGCCGCAAGAATTTGTGCGGTCGCTACTGGGGTCCTGTGCTGTCCTCCGCGGGTTTGCTGCCGCCTGGACCCCTGAAAAATCCTTACAAAAGACATCTTCCATCCTTTGGTTCGTTCAGGCCACCAGGCCAATTCAAAATGTGCCCGGATATACCCATGTTTGCTTCCCTGTACAGACAACCAAAAGGAGTGCGTCATTTTGAGCCACAAAAAGCTAATTCTTCTGGACACCGCCAGGTTTATGGCTTCCCCCTTTGTTTTCCCATATCCTTGTAGCGAGGTGGTGTTTATCAGCCTCACCTTTTTTAGAACATTGACTAACTTGCAGGTATGGACCAAAACCAAAAGAACAACAGGTGAAAGCTCGATTCAGTTTTTTTCCTGGGACCAGTCTTGCATTCTGGCTTCACCCATTGACAGGTCTCAGCTGTTCGAACCACTGGTAGTCGAAACGTGGAACCCTGACCAAGAATGCCCGGGTTTCTTTCCGTAGGCCAAAGCATCCCCCGGATTCGCCGCTGAATTCGCCGCTGACTTCGCGCGAGTCGAGAGCGCCTGGGAGGTCACCAAAGTCATCTCTGCGCGGTGGAAGCGCAGCCCCAGGTCCAGTCGGACCTGAGGCGTTTCCAGGCAGCTGGATGACTTAACGGAAGAAAGCAAAGGAAAGGAAAAGAACGGAAAGGCAAGGAAAGGCAAGGAAAGGAAAGAGAAGGGAAGAGAAGGAGAAGGGGAAAGGTGGCCACCAAACAGATTACAAACGACAATTCACATACTTGGGGTAAAGGAGGGCAAGGACTGTATCGCGTGGAAGCCCATTGAAATCCATTGAAGCCCAAACGATTGGGCGCAGAGCTGATGATCTCTGCATCACCCGAAAATGAGGCACCCGTTTTTTGAGTAGTCACGTTCTGCGCTAGTGCCCTGTATTTCTCAACTCCTGAACAGGATCCGAACTATTTGTTTGACGTTAACATGATCTTTCAAGCAAGTGTGAAGTCCGGAAAGAATTTCCCGGCACATGCGTTCAGTGTGGATAAGGCGACCACGTATTTGCACGGCGCGACTGAACTTTCACGAATGCACCTCCCAAGAAACCAAGGCACTTCCCCCGAGCCGCTTCTTAGCCTGTTCGTGCCTCTTTTTCTGAAACTATTTAGTTTCTTACCCGGACACGCAGGCCTTTGTACGGGGAAGGATTGTCGTCCAAGCTGTTTCGGATCAGCAGACTGATTCACATAAAGGCAAGGACCCCTTTGCTTCATAGAGCAGGCTTCGCTTAGAAGAGGTGAGGATCCCTTCCCTCGAACGGGCATAACAGCAAATACCTTGCGAGAAAAAGGGTCAAACATTGCAACCCATCTTGGAGCAGGGTTGTAAACTTCTCTCAAGCTGCTTCCCCACGACTAATTGGCTTGGAAAGGGAAGTTGGCATCAGCGGGTAGGACCCCTCACTGCCACAACCGACACAAAACCTGAGTCATAATCAAACCCCGGTATTAAAACCATCCACCCAGAACCATGCAAAGGATTAAGAAGGCGGCCGCAACCATTTATGGTTGGGATTGCCCCTTACTAACCTTCACCTACCCGGGTTTTGATTGTGGCTCACCTGGCTCAAAGCCAAGGAATTCGCTCAAACCGCCGGCTCCAGGGCCAGCCGCCCACCTCCGCCCGCCTCCGCCCGCCTCCCCGCCGTAGAGGGAGCCCACCACCAGGCGCCCGCCGCGCTGCCGCAAAACGCCCATGGCCTGCGCCAGCGCGGGCGCCGCGCCGCTCACCTCAGTCGGGCCGCGGTCGCGCCCACGCGACTCTTCTGGTGGGACGAATCTGAAAAAAGTCGAGATTTAATTTAAGAATGTGGTTTGTTCTATTTTGGGATTTATTTATTGTTTTGTCTTGGCCTCTAAAAACGCGTATTTTGAGCTTTTTGGATCGGACCGGCCCCGCACCAAAGGAAACTCCAAAAAGGGGAAGCTCAGGCATCCTCGGTAGGTACAAAAAGCACATGAACTTGGTGGCCCATGTCTCCTGCGTCAGAAAGTTGGCTTTGACAATGGGAAAGCACGTGTATTTTGCCTGGCCTGGAGATTCCCACGGTTCAACTTCAACGTTCAGCCAAAAAGCAACCATATCGACCATATGGTTCTTTCTTGAAATGAGGAATCTCGTTTTGCTTGGTGTCAAATCGAAGTACGTACAAGTAAACGCTCCACAAACCAAAAAAAACACCCCATTCAGGAGACATCCATATGAGCAATGATGCACCCGAAGAATGCATGGCCAATTGTGCAGCTTCTAGCTCCTTCCCGGCCAAGGCCTCACACCCCAAAATGGGGAAGCCCGTGCCTCCAGGCACACGTCCAGATCCGCGGCTTTCCCTATCGCCAGCTCCGAGGCCCTGGGGAAGCGCCGCAGCAAGGCGTCCACGCGGGCGCGGTCTGGGTCGAAGACGGCCACCTCCGAGGGAAGAGTGCCCCACTCGGCAAAAAATATATATATAAAATCAGAGAGGGCTGGGTTACGCGAGAAGCTCCAAGTTCCAGTTTTTGGACAAAACAGGTGGTGGAAAAGATAACTTATTCAGATACAGATATTCTCCTGTCCAACCCTTGGCGATTGAACTGATCCTCTGTTGTTTCCACTCTAAACTTTGATGAAGCCAGGATGAGTTCAAGAAACAGCTGTTCAGTTGTTCCATCAAACCAAGCACGCATGGCTCGAGGCCTGACTGATTTGCAAGAAATCACCAGCATGCCTCCTGAAGGGGGAGGGGCTATGGGTATGCGCTCGCTTGAGGGTTTTCCTTTTTTTCGGGGGGGGGGGGAGGGTTGAAAGGGCTGAAGCCAAAGAGAAGTCCCATTTTGTGCTTCCCTCGACCCCAGCGAGCCATTCAGACATCAAAAGGGGTGGCCCTACTCTGAACAATGAAAATCCTGCACCAGTTCGGCCGGACCAGGCACCGCCACCCGCTGACCGCGGGTGGCGGTTTTCATCCAAGGCACCTGGTGCCCGTGCTCCAGCAGCAGAGCCGCCGTGAGCATCCCCACGGTGCCCAAGCCGAAGAGGCCCACCCGATCCCCAAGCACCGGCTGGGCGTCCTTGGCGGGAGCTTGGTCCTTTCTAGGCCCGTGACCATGCCCCCCAAAAAGCGCTGCCACTCCCCCCCCCCAAAAAAAAAACATATGCTCTTTGCTTTGCTTTTTCTTTAAAAGAAAGTATACAACCACTCGATGTAGCCGTTTTATGGGAAGTGGCGGTTTGGGTGGCACCGGGGATTTCCTTTTTGAACGCGGGACCTGCGGCAGGACACCACTGAATGCCCGTCTGAGGGAAGCCTAACTTCACGGGTAGCGAAGGGGTTCTCCTGTAACCGCATTCGGAGGACGGCCACGTGCGGCCCTCCAGATCTAAGGAAAGGTCTCTGGCACTTCACGCTTTCTGGGCCGGTTTCATACCCAATTTGGAAGGCCAACCATTTGACAACGAGGCACCTGGCAAAGGGAGATTGCCGTCTCCATGTTGGCAAAGAAGACGGCGTCCTCATCCGGCACATCCTGCAGCGCGTTCCTTTCAAGGGGGCCTTGTGCAGGGGGGTTAATTGTGGCGGGTTTAATCAGGGGCAAACATTAGATGAGAGCGCTGCGCATGAACAGGACGCTGTGTTGGCAAGCAACGACAAAAAGTAACATCAACTACTCAGCAAACAAAATGAGCTGTCAAGCACACATCTAGCTTTATCTCTCTCTCTCTCTCTCTCCCGCATGTTAAAGGCAAACTAGGAGGCCTTTCCTGAGTGGCACTTGCCCGCAAATGAGCAAACCATCCAAGGCCTTGTTCAGGTTCAATGATAAACCGTCTCCCCAGAGCTACCGCACGAAGGGTCCTCAAACAAGAACCAAATAAACGTTTTGGGCATTAAAGTTGCTTTCTCGTGGTTCCCCAGTGCAGGGGCCATCCTGTCACCATGGTCGGAGTCAGTCCCTAGTTGCTGTTACGTGGAGACTTGAATCGTGGAGAGTTGCAAAAGGAATGGGGGCAGTGAGCCAGCAAAGTTTAACTTGGAATTGTAGGAGCCACTGTTTCTCAACAGTTTGACCCGCTCTTTCAGCTAGCCCCCCACGGTTCCTTCAAAGACCAGATTCCTCGGAAGACTTTCCTAAGGCACGCCTCTTTTGCTGCTCTTTGGGTTTTCTCTTGGAAACACCCATGTGTTCCAGCTGCGTTCCTCAAACCCATGTCTCAACCGCTCCTCTGGGATAGCCACCGTCGCCCCACTTGGCACTGCCGCATGGCTGGCATGAGGATGAAAGCAGAAGACCCGGCGCCCGGTCTGGTCGACACCCACTAGGCAGTAGCCATACCTGAAGCATTGAATAACATTTGGGGCAACAACCGCAATCCCCGTCCCCATGGCCCCCCTCCCCTCGAATAGCATTTCAATGTTTGCCCTGAACGGGAACATGTCAGGAGTCAGGAGAACGTTCCTGGCAACTGGCCCAACACACATACGTTCGATGGGGAGTGGCGTGACCAGCATTGTACAACCAAAGGGCTTTGGCCTAGAATCTGGGGTCACGCCGTTCCCTGCGAGGCAACTTTCTTGTTGCAAACAATTTCAAAACCCCTTGGAGGGGGGAAGCCTGCGTCGAGTTCGCGCTCCTGACAAAAAGTGTTGCCCCTGTGCAAACTAAATGACGCTGCCCCTGTGGAAATACACAACGGATTTGCAGGCCGCATGAACAGCTCCTTTTGGACATATGCCGCTTCAACATCTATGTGTGACTCCCACCCCGAGATCTGGAGATATTTGGGCATTAAGACCAGGTCCGCCCGTTTGAGCGGCTGCAACATAAGCTCATGTTGACACATCCCCATTTCGTGCCCACACAACCAAAAGCCTGCCGGCCTCAGCGGCCAGCAGCTGTCTTGCAGCGTGGGCATCATGGTGTCCAAAGCCTCGCCCTCCGGGCCCTTCAAAAGCATTCGCCTGAAATGCGCCGACGGATGGCCGAAAGAGTGCAATTCTTCTCTTGTATGTCTCTCTCTCTCTCTCTCTCTCTCTCTCTCTCTCTGTCTCTGTCTATATAAGTATATGCATGCATGCACGTATGTCTGTATCTGCATCTGTATCTGTATCTGTCTGTCTGTCCGCCTGGAGGCACGCACCCACGTACGTAGGCATACATGCATGCGTGTACGCAGTAGGTAGGTAGCTAGCTAGCTAGCTAGCTAGCTAGCTAGGTAGGTAGGGAGGTGGGTAGGTATGCATGGATGGAGGTGTGTATGTATGTTATGTCATGTGATGTAACGTAATGTCACCCAACGTGACAAAACATTATGTATGTACGCACGTATGTATGTATGCACGTGTGTATGTATGCATGCATGCCAGCGCGTATATGTGCATGCGTGCATATGCGTCTGCAAGTGTTGCATGTGTATGTGTATGTATGCGTATGTCTGCGCACCCACCCGGAAACTTCGCCCCCGCACCACCTAAAAGCGCCCCTGCGCGCAAGGGCCCGCCTCTCAGTGCCCGCAGAGATCCTGAGCCGGGGCGTGGAAGCGAAATTCTTGCCAGTCAGTAGGTCAGGTGCGGGCTGGTTGGATTTGGAGTGGGCATTGTCAAGTGGCGCCCCTTTCTGGGGTGCAAGTGCACGAAAACCTGCGACTTGACAGGCTATGCGAAGGCGGTGACATCAGACCCCGGAACCCACAGCCCCATGCCATTAGAGGATGGACCGTGTTCCGCGTGACCCAAGTGTTTTCCGCAGCATCCCTTGCGCTTGAAGATTTTGAAACCTCCCTTGGCGATGGATGGCCTTTGAGTTCCAAGAAATGAAGGTGGCTGCAAGAACGCCGGTTCCCACGCAGCTCACGGAACAAATGCTTTTGGGGGGGAAATAACATGCAAACAAGTTTCCTACTGATGAGCGAAACGCCAAACATCTGCAGCAAGTATGCCAAAGTGGGGCATACTAGACGGCCGCGTGTTTGCATGCCAGAAAGGAACCAAAAAGCAACAGAGCAGCGCAGCAAGACAAGAAAGAAAGAGCAAAGAATACACAAAGAAACAAGCCAACCAAAAAACAAACCGAACAAGAAATGCAAAGAAGAACCAAATGATACCAACCTTTGAGAATCATACCGACAAGGGTAGCCAACAAACAAACCAAAGAAGCCCAAAAGACCAAGACCAGGTGCCCGGAGAGGCGGGCCGTGACCAGCAGCTCCCCGTCTTTCAGCTGCGGCCTGGATTTAAAAGGTTACCAACCCAAAGCCCAAAAAGGTTTCTAGGTCCTCCAGTAGAGAGGATAGAATAAGTTGGTACCAAATCTATTTTAATAGGGGAACCCTCCCCCGAAAAAGGGTAAAGGGGCACTACTGGGGGACCTAGGTTTGGTGGAGACCCAGAAGAGTTGGTACAGAACGGCGTGGTGGCTATGTGGTGGTTGCAAATCCCCCCCAAGGTATGGTATAAATGCGCAGGTCGGCCTTTTTATTTGCACGTCATGTGTCTCTACTTTAGCCCGGCAAACCCCAAACCGGCCCCTGGCAACACTGCAGGAAACAACCTGAGCTTCCGGTAACTCGAGGCATCACAGAACAAACCTAGAATCTGAAACAAAGCAACCACTTCCCTACACGGGAAACTAACCTCGGTTGCTTTCTGCTCCCCTGCTAAAAGCTTCACTTTTAGTGGTTTACTGGAAAACCCATTAGTTGGCAAAAAGTTAAGGTCCTAACATCCAAGCAAAATGCACCAAAGAAACAGATGCCCTTAAACCAATCTCCTTCCTGCCTACCAGGCCGAAGGCTCCAACCTCGCCTGGGCTCCCGCAGCACCCGCACCCGGCCCGGCGCGGCAAACTCCACGCAGGTCCGATCGCCCGCGCCGCCCGCCTGAACCAACTGAGGCTTCTCTAGGTGGGGCTGCCTCGTTTTGAGGGTACCCGTCTTTGGGAGGGTGCAAGCGCTTTTTAAGATGCACCCATATTGGCATGTGTTAATATAGGGATGTGGACTCCCATGGTGCGCGTGCCTTGGGGAATAAATACCTGACTGAACATTAGTTGCTTATATGAAACGACGTTGCACCATCAACCTAGTGCAACTGTTGTGCTGGTTTGCCCTTTGCCGTTCTGCCATGTCCCATTCAGTTCTCCCACTCATCAAGATACCTTCTTACAAATACGCTTGGAAGATTGCAGGGCGAACGCTTTGGACTCTCATAAAACATGGGGCCAGCACACCAACAAACCAGTGGAAGTGCAGAGGGACGAAGGGACTTGGTGCATCTCAGATCTGCCCAAACCTGCCTGACCGGTCCTACCCGCGGCCCGCGGCCGCCTGCATTACTGGCCGCGGGGCTGTGCCGGGCACGCGCCCCAGGAAGTCCACCTGGACATCTGACAGGAGTCTGAAGGCTTGGCCTTTGCACAGCCCAGCGCCCGGCTTTTGCAACTCTTGCAGCTATTGGATTTTTCCAAAAATTGCAACAATTGCAATCAATAATTAACTAATCCCAGATTTGGCCCCAAGCCAGGCCAACTAATTCCAAGTTTCCTGGAACCCACCAGAGGTTCGGCCTTTTAAGAGGCAAACCACATTCCCTGAGTAGCACCTTGGCTTTGCGGAGGCACTCTCTTGTTTTGCCTAGCGCCTTCTTGAAACTTACTCAGAAAAATGGTCTATGTACAAAGGTCCCTCAGATTCATTGTGTCGCAACTAGGGGTGATAATTCCTGGCTACCGTAGCCCGATCGTCTTGTGATTCACCACATTTGTTGAGCACCGCTTGATGTACCTGCAACTGGCTTGATTCTCAGGTGCCCTAAGCAAAGCTTCCAGCGCGAGCAACGCCTTCCAAGGAAGTGCTGGCAAAACAAGTAGGGTATTCACCCTCGGAGTGGCAAACAAGTCACAAAACGGAGGGACTTGGTACATGAAAAGGGACTTCCAAAATCGAAATGGAGTAACTATCAGCGGGAAGTTTCACAACTTCAGGAGGCAACAACAGGGCAATAACGCAGTTGCCGGGTTGACTTGGTTGGTTTCCAAAGGCAGCTGCGGTCCGTGGCGCGTTTTCCACTCGCAGCCGCAGCTCCTCCTTCAGCTGGAGACCGCTGGAGATGGCGGCCACCGCGGCACGCAAGTCCTGGAGGTCCTGGAAGCCTCGCAGACTAGCGGAGCTTTTAGAAGTTTGAGTTCTCAGGGATTTGGGGGGTGGGGGGGAGCCTCTTGAACAGCAGCTCTTTTCAGTTTTGCTTCTGAGGGGAAGCCTGGAGCCAACCCAACTGTTGGCAAGGATGATCACCCCCTTAAAAAAAAGCAGGAGAGCCTGGGCTTGTGCTCACCCATGTTCCTGTGTTGCATCCAAGGGGGAAGGGGCACCTTTCTCGATACTACATGGGGTTGCGATGCTATTCTCTGCTGAAGGGGAAAATCGGAAATTCCCGGCCCCATGCTTTACCCCCAGCCCCCTGCGCAGGAAGATGCGCGTGTGCCCTGGAAACGTCACTGCAACAAAGGACAACTCGTCTAGAACTGGTAGACAACATGTTACCACGCAATCCAAACATCCGAAAGGTCAAGACTCACGCTGCATGCTTGCATTTACACACCTCGGACTGTAGAGCAAAATGCAGCAACATATGCTTGACAACTCACAAAAAGGATGCATGATCGCATCTGGGATCAGCTGCAAATCCTTCATTTTATCAGCAACGCTCATTCGTTCCGAACCCAACCCTAGCCGGTGTAAAGGGGAGGATGGGGTTGTCTATATACACGGGCCCTCACCCGAAAGCTGGCTTCATTCCGTTTTTTTCCTTGCCCAGAAAAAATACAAGATACGGGCAAGATACGGGCAAGATACGGGCAAGATACGGGGATGTCTTTGGGAGAAAACCACGTTTTGAGTGGAGCCATGTTTGGTTCACGTTGAAGGGAGAGCCCAACCACTTGAGGCTTCCAATCCGCATCTGGCGACTAAGAAGGACCACCCCGCCTAGGGCGTTGGTCGCCATAAAGGACACCAGCTGACGCAGCAGCGGATCATCGCCGCGCAAGTCCCAGGGCGAGGCTTCTGGCGAGGTCGACCCGTGAGATGCTGAAAGTGGCTGAAAGGAATCGCCCGAAGATCACAGGGCCCAAAGGACTCTTGAAAATATCCAGCTCAAGGCTCAAGCCGTAGGATCACCCCCACGCGCCTACAAGCCTCTTACGTGGCTCTACCTACTTTGCTGCGTGCATTGATCGGGCTCGAGCAAGAGCTTATGGAAAGAGGAATTGTCCGAAAGAAGCTCCCTCTGAGGTGTCAACTTCAAGACGAAGTGCAGGGGGGAAACGCCCGCGTTGCCTCGAGGCATGCCTACTACATACACGGAGGACTGGAAACACGCAGTCCCAAAGAGAAGCAACTTTGAGAAAGAGATCCCTGCGTGTGTTTTTGTCCCTTCTTGAATCAACTTACAGAGAATTAAGCTTGCCGCGGCCCCAATCAACCTGCAAAGTCATGGAAGGAACCCATGGAAATTCCACATGTCAGTGGGTTAGTAAACACTACTGGGAGCGCGCCAAACATTGCGTGCCAAGCCCCCAAGGCCCAAAGCAACAACCCCCTCATCAGACTCTTCTATGGCTCTGGAGAAAACCCGGCCATTCTTTGGGTGTCCTTCAGGTTTTTGTATCACAAGTGATGGACAATTCAGCAAGTCCATCCTGCGACCAACTGGTCCCCCAGGAGGCTGTAGAGCTCCGTGACGTTGGTCACCTCCCATGTTTCTGCCCCTTCTCGACTCTGCGGCCTTTGGGGGGGGGAAGGGTCAAAAGCGGGGCCTTCTCCACAGATGGCATAACAGCAGGAAAACATGTTTGCCCATCTTAAGTTGCAGGCAGCAGGCTTGAAGACGGTGTGCCTTGGACCAAGTTGGGGAGATCTGGGGCCGTGGGTCAGGGGAACTGATCAATGAACTCCCTCGGCGAACCAGAGCCTGGGTGCTTCATGAGCCGCAAAACCAACCCATCACAGGTCGATGCAGCCGACACGTTGTGACATATCCGAGAAGGTGGAGTGGATGCCCTCTGATCGGCTAAGTTGTTTGGCAAGAAAGAAGCCACTAAATTTAGTGTGTTTACCAAGATATCACGTGGTGAAAGGAAACAAAGGGTAATACAATCGGAACCTATCAACACCTAACAGCCCAAAGGTCAAACGCCTTGCAAAAAATCAGTGGCAAATGAAGGAAATCGCGAAATCGCAACTCCGACTGCAGAAAACAGGCCCCACCTCCTGCACGCCTTGAAGACTCCTCCCCACGATAGGCCGAAGGGAACAACCACCCGCTGACAGCTGCCCCAACATGATTCGCCCCCTTCCAACTTCAAAAACAAAATCCATCAGAGGTGGCGGTTTTTTGGTGTGGCTGTGAGGACAACGCAATCCCCCCCCACGGCCCCTGCTCCCCCTGGCCTGCCCCCGGCAGGCCAAGGACTCGTCGTACCTGGCCGCCAGCAGCTGCGCACAAGACGCCAGCGGGCCCTCGAAGCTGGTGACCCCCGCGTAGTGGATGGGGAAGTAGACCAAGGCACCCGCCTTCGGCGGTGTCGCAGTCCAAACCTCTACCCAGGTTCTTGACGCATTGTGTGGGCTCTAGGTGGCGTTCCCCCTCTACCTGGCACCTGGGGCTCATCTTCCAAATGCCCTCCCACAGGTGCCATGTTGGTGGGGAGGAAGGGTACACGTCTAAGGGAAAAAATGGGCAGCTTTGAAAATGGTCTTCCCGGGCAAGACGGGCCCGTCCAAAGAATGCGTGTACATTGTGCACATTGAGGGCAAGACGAGCCAAAGGCCAATCCTGGCGCAGCATAGGTTACAACAATCCCAACCCCGAGACTTGGCCCACGGTGCCAGTCCAACCAAAGCACAGTCGGCGGAGGAACCTTGCCATTCAAACAGCCATTTGCGCACCTAGCCCTGTTTTGTCCAAAGGCTGCATCCCAGCTCCACTCTACAGAACGCAGCAGTTCGCAACATGCCTCTTCATAACGGATCTCTTCTCCATGAATGCACGGGGCATGGCTTTGGACTCAACATCTAGGATAATTCAAGGAACCACCCAACTCTAGCTCTAGCTTTGCGAGAGCCAAGCTTGTGCAATTGCGCCCGGCCGCAGAACAAACAATTATGCGGAAACAATAAGCAAAACATATAACGATACAAGCTTCTCTCACGCGCAAACCAACACAAGCAAACAATCAATCAATCAATCAATCAATCAATCAATCAATCAATCAATCAATCAAACAAACAAACAAACAAAGGATCAAACAAGCAATCAAACAAACGAACAAGCCAAACCAAACCAAACCAAACCAAACCAAACCGAACCGAACCGAACCGAACCGAACCGAACAAACAAACAAACAAACAAACAAACAAACAAACAAACAAACACCTGCGCGCAACACAAACTGCGGGGGCAACCCTTCATCCGCGAACAGACCCGACCGATGCGTCTGCCTGGTGTGTCCGCAGGGCGGAGGCCAAACGCTCTACATCCAGCAGGTCCAAGATGGAACAGCCGAGGACCTGACGCGAAACCTTCCGTGAGCATCCTGGGTTCAGTGGCCAAAACCAGTGAGGACCGGGCACGTAGGCCTGGAACAGGCATGAAACAACCATCCGTCGCCTTGTGGTTTCCCCTCGGCCTACTCGCCCGAAAGACACGGAGATCCAAGGTGATCACATTTTGGGCTGATCAAACAAAGCCACCATGTTTTGACTTGTCCCAAGGAAGAACCCTGCTTCGATGGAGACAAAACCTTGCAAACTTGAGCAATAGGGGGGCTTCAGCCAGCATAGTACGCAGGCCGGGTGGCCAGGGACTGCTGGCCCGCGGCGGCCACGGCGGCCACGGCGTCGTCACACCTCGGCTCAACCAGAAAACTTCGGCCTCCTGCCCGGGTGCATAAGGGATACAACTTATAACCATACCGTGGGGATACAAGGGATACCCAGCGGCATGTGGCTGAGCTCGAAAGGGTGCCCTTTCGACAGGGGGGGGTTAGGGAAAGGGGAGCTTGGGATCCTATGACCAGCCCCTAAGCGTGGCCCCCAGGAAGTGATGTTTGAATCACCCAAAAGAATGATGGGGAACCGCAAATATGAGTATGAGACGTGTCCCTTTCATCTCCCCGAAAAATACGACCCCACAAGCAAGGCACCACCAAAAAGATGATTATTTCTACCAGGCCCAAGAAAGACCTGCAGCCTGGGGCCACTGGATTCCCCAAAAGTTGCAGTTGCCTGGTGGGTGCTAAACAGGAGCTAGGGAAACTAAGAGGGGATGGATAATTCATGTTTCCAGGCCAAATTGAAGCAACGGGCTATTCAGCTAGCACGATCGGCCAAAGGGATACCGAAAACCACCTGCATCACCCCCGCCAAAGCGCCGCAGACGCACGTGCACCTGCGAGAAACCCGAGGGAGAGGGAAGGCTTTTCGGCCGGGTGAGTCATGGAAACACCCCGGGGCCAAGCAGAACTGCGCCACTTTATTGGGCGTGTGGGCAATGTGTTGGGTCAACCGAAGAAACGGTAGCACAGCATTTCCCTTGAGAGTCAATGAGGGGCTGGGAGTGGCTGTTCATTCCAACTTGCTTTCCTGATGCCTCTCCAGTGCAAGCCCTCACCAAGCAAAAACAAAGGTTTCCCAAGTGAAGGAGCGAGCCATGGGGGCCATGCGCAAAGATTTGATGGGATGTCCGGCCTCCGTCGGCAGGCGCGTCGCCTCCAGCCGCTGCTGCGCGCACTGCAAGAGCTGCTCATCCTGCGAGCCAAGCCTCGGCCTCCAATTCTGGGCTGCCCTCTCATCCCCTGCTAAAAGTTTAACGTTCGTGGGTTAAATGGAAACCACCACTAAACACTAAAAGGCTAAAAAGCTAAGGGGATGGCTGGGAGCCACCAAGAATTGTAGAAGCACCCACAGGCCACGTGTAGCCCAAACGCCCGTGACCCTCTCATCTTGACCCAGAGTTTCTGGGCTGAACCAATCTCCTCTACCAGGGACCTATGTCAGTGGACAGGGGAGTTGCAACCGTTGCCATTGCAGTGGGACAACCGGGGCTGATTGACGTGTAAGCGAAGCTCCACCTGTCATTGAGGCTGAATATCCAGGAAGGTCTCAGGAGCACAGACAGGAAGAATCACTTTCACTTTGCAGTACATAGGAGAATGCCTAAAAATAAGAAACCCTCTTTCTGGCGGATGTTAAAACGAAAAAAGCACATCAGGCCTCTGCTAGGAGTCGCCTTTTCAACCGCACATGTTGGTATGCTTTCATTGCTTCAATGTTCCTGTGTATTTCTGAGGGCGGGCAAACATTAAAAGCAAACACAGACAAACCACACCTGTGGACTTTGTGGCGTACATCAGGGCCACCAGAGCGCCCAAGGCCTGGATATTAAGCCCAGCTACAAACCCTGCAACATGCGAAGACTTGAGACCATTCTTTTTAGGGGGGGGTCGGGGTCTAACAGACCTTTGGGGATGTGTCAAAATGTGCATGACCCCTTATGCGAGGTCCATGGGTGGTGGGATGAAGGAGGGACGGTACAGCTGGATCTCCCCACTCACTCCAAACATGGTTTTCGCGTTAGGTAAAGGCTTGGCCGAAAAGCCCGCCTTAAATGGATGACCCTTCTGGCTACGGAGCACAGTCCTTGTCCACGGCAGTATATGCGATTTCTCGGCCTGCCAACGGTGAGGGCTCAACCAATTCCCGCGAGCGGAACTGGCCAGAGCCTGCACTTGAAACGGACTTCCCTCTCCCTCAAACTGGTGGCTTTGAACTACTGACGCGATCAGCTATCTGGTTTCGGCCGAGGAGCTTCCTTAGCAGTAGACAGCTTGTTTGAACTCATGACGCGTTCACGTCCGAGTCTCTACCGCAGAAAGCTACGTCTGACGAACTTTAGGACGTGAAGAGGTTTCTCAAAATAGGCATCCGCCTCCTAAAATGGTTGCTGTCCCCATTCGTTTGCGATACCATTCAGCAAGTCACACCCCAAGTGGCGGATTCAAGGGAAGCAATCGCAGTTTCTGCCTTTGATCACCTCTAGCACAAAGCAGGGGAGCCAAAAAAGGAGTTCGCACACGGCACGGCCTGGCAACTGCTCCAACAGCACCGGCAGCATGGAGAGCCCGCCGCAGCCAAGGTCGAGCACCGCCAAGGGTCCTGTGAAAAGCCGCGGGGCAGAGTCGGAGCGTCTTTCCTTCGGCATCGCTTTTTTTGAAGGACGTGGTTGCCTGTTGGGTAAGCGACCTAGCCAAGTGTGGCCTCTGTCGAGATCCAGGGAACTGAAGTGCGGGACCATCGCCCCCAGATCCGCAGATCCGCCGACATCTCCGGCTCTTGGCTTACTCACATCTGAAATCGCAAGCCTCCAAACAAGTGGAATACACGTGTTCCGATTCCACATAACAAACCCAACAACCAAATCTTTTGGAGTTCTACATGTTTGAATCATGCTCGGCTTTGGAGTGAGCTGTTGCCTTGGCCGGCCCAAAGACGCGAGTGAACCCCTCACCTGGCATCTCCGCAAGCTCTTGCTTCAGCCGCTGCAAGCAGGCCGGCCCCAGGCTGGCGTGGTCCGCGCGCTCTTTGGCCTCCCAATCCACATGCAACTTCCCACCAAAGATGGGGTTGCACTGATTCCCCCAAGCTACCCAAGGGACAAGTGTTGCTTGTGCACCTGCTTTTAATGGTTTATACCGCATCTCCGAATCGCCAATGTAGGGCATGGGGCGAGCTTCGCTAGCTTCGCCCTCATTGACGCCTGCAGGTAGTCGAACTTGGAAAGCCTCCAGCTTGCAGGCACTACCTCGAGCGATGCCGGGGTTGGGTCCAGGGGATAGTCACGTCACAGTTGGGTTCCTCGGACCCTCCACCCCCATCCCAACCCCAACTGGACGAATTTCGTTGCACCATGCGATTCAAAGTCACATCCATGCCAAGGTGGAGTCTGCGTGGTCAAAACTCCCACAAATGATACAAATTCGTTACACGCTGCTTGCATGACCGTCCTGTCCCTGACTGATAAGGAGAAGAAAAAAACACCTGCCTTGAACACAGCAGAAAGGCCGATTGGCTGGCTGTTGGCAACCCAGCATCCGTGGGCAAGCTGTGCCCCAAATGACCCATCAGAGTTCAGCAGAGAGCCCAGCGGACTACATCCATCTTGAGAAAATCATGGAGGTGCATTTGAGAATCTTGTTTCAACTCAATGGTACAGGCAGGCCTAGGTCGATTGCGCTTGTCAGCAGACAAGAGAGAAGTCACTTCTGCGCTTTCACCCCCATTTTCACCTTTTGGCACCTTGGGCCCACAAAGCTTGCCAACCAACCATCTTGTTTGCAAATCCATGAAGCCACTTGGGTGTCCCTTTGGTGGGTTCCCTGCCCTGCCGGGCTGCTCCCAGCTCGTCTGCTACGAGCATCATCACGTCCTCCTCGCGGCCCCTGCAAGCGACGAGGGAAAACGAGACGCTGGTGGGGAAGCGTCGATTCTTTGCCAGGAAAACCAAATGAAAATGAAGCTCTGAACAGTGAAAATCCCTGAAACATGCTGGCTTCCTTTTGGGCTCTGTTGGGGTTGTCCCCAAAGCCTTGCAACCAATTCCATTCAGTCCTGACTGACCATCCCCAGACTCGGCTATGTCTGGGGTCCCGGCACGCGCCGCGCGGACAGCCCCGGGACTTGCATAGCAGCATCGCAGTTGGCCACGGCGTCGTCAAAAAGGACGCCGGGAGGCAGCTGAGCGAAGTACCTGTCCGAAGAAAAAAGAAGTTCAGATTCTGGAAATGAATGGACCACCTGGCAAAAGCATTCTGCATGTGCGTGTGGGCGGGTTGAATAGTTTTGCTCATTTACAAATCCGCCCAGGGTTTCTGTGGCTGCAGCAAGCATGACACAGCATACACAAACAGGCGAACGGAACTACACAATGACTTGCACATGTCAGTTTCTCTAAGGAGAGGGCCGCCCAACTCTTGCCGAAACTCCACCCAGCTTGCGTCCTCTGACCCCAACTTCATGCAATCATCCCCCCTTGTTTTCTGCAAATAAGACATGCAAAATGCATCACTAGAGGCGGTTTCTTAGGGGGTGGCAAGGGGATCGATCTCTGGATCGCCTGGGATCCGGCTTGTTGAGCCAGCCGTTCGCCGCCTCCGGGCACACGATGCCAGCGGATCCTCCGAAGAGGTCCTGGGAGACGCCCAGTGCCTGGCGATGCGGACTACACATCCCGCCACCTTTGGGCGTTGCACTTTGGGCGCTGCCCTGGTGAGCTGTCTTCCCGACCGGACCGTGGGTTCCCTGGTTGAAATGATGTTGAGATGTGTCACTTGCCCCCCAGGGCCCACCTGAAAACTGCAAGGGCAAGCATCTGAGAGTTTTGATTCATCATTGGTGGCAAGAAAACCATCAAGCCCCTAAAAACATGGGGAGACCTTTTTCAACACGGCACGTACGGAGAATCAGAACTCCAGCAATCGCCTGGAGCACGCGCTCCACAAAAAAGCGCGGGGAGTTGCTGGCCAGGGTGAAGTCCACCTGAGTCCTTCCAGCAAGCGGCAGAAGAATTTACTCCGTTGGCCGGTCAATTCCCATGAGAAACTGATCAAACAAGGTACCCTCCCACCAAGTAACATGGAACCTGTCCCTGTACAAGGAAAATGGTCTTCCACGACCCCCCTGCCGGGTTCCATGTTAATTGGTGGGAGGGTAAGATGACGAAGGCTGAAAGCATGCCTTGACAGTCTGGGGATTTTTGGGTGGCACTTGGGATTGTCTGCAATCACGGTGAGCAAAAATGGATGGTTTCTCTTTGAACCCTAATTAGGCGTCCTTTCGGATACACGGCACTGACTGAAACCAGTGACATCCATTTATGCTCAAGCAACCCGAGCTCAAACACCCACCCCGCGTTCTCCAGACCGGTCCCAAGGTTCTCCAGCTGCCGCGCAAGCAGCGGATCTGAGCGCAGGGCCTAAAAGGAAAAGGGGGCGCTCCTTTCTGGGGCCAATGAACGAGAAACCCGCCAAAAGAACGGTGGCGACCGGCCGACCCTATTGCGGAACAAAACTCATCCCCGAAGTCCCACGGCATCAGCCATGCTCGTGGCTCTTACAAGGGGTTTGCCCGAAAATTCTACCGCAACATTATGTGAAAGAAGGGAGTCCCAATCCACTTTTTCAAGCAAGATGGGGGGGGGGGGCTGCCGCCCCCCCCCCAACCGCCCCCCCCCAACCGCCCCGTAATTGAATCGTCACTTTTTCGACCATCATACGGGGGGAGGGGCTGCCGCCCCCTCCCCCCCTCAACCCCCCCGCACCTTTAATTGAATCATCACTTCATCATGGGGGGGGGCCCCCCCCCCCCCGCAACCCCCCCACTATTTTTTATAAACTTTTTGCGCCTAGTTGAATCATCACTTTTTCGACCATCATGGGGGGCGGCAGCCCCCAACCCCCTCGCGCCTTTAATTCAATCATCACTTTTTCAATCATCATGGGGGGCCCAACCCCCCCTGCTATGTTTTAACTTTTTGCCCCTAATTGAATCATCACTTTTTCTATCATCATGGGGGGGGGCAGCCCCCCCCCAAACCCCCCCGCTACTTTTTTGATTTTGGACACAGATTAAAATGCACCCCTACTTGAATCATCACTTTTTCAATCATCAGGGGGGGGCTGCCAACCCCCCCGCTACGTTTTAGGTGTTTTACAGGGATTAGTTTGCTCGTATTTAAATCCCCACTTTTACCATGAGGCCTTGCCGCAGAGGAACTGATGATGCTGAAGATGCAGGAAGCCAAGGCCCTTTTGCTGGTGATGCTGGGGATGTTGGCTGGACATGCGGGGGATGTTGAGAACGATGCTGATGATCTTGACGGACTAGCGCAAAACACGCACATGTTGCGAGAAAATGCTGCAAATTACAGCATTTTAGTAGCCAGGACGGGAAAACAAACAAAAATACAAAAATAAAACAGAACTTAGTAAAGTGCCCACTGACTGGGGTGTCCGGTTCAGAAACGAGGCAGACTGACACGACACGCAAAGACCAGTGCTTCACACGGCGGAGTCTAGCAAGTGCAAACACTTGCTTAGGACGTTGGTTGGGTTGCCCATGGGGGCGCCATTGTCACACTGGAACGATCAATTAGGGGCAAAAAATCTAAAAAGTAGCTGTCGCATGATGATCGAAAAGTGATGATTCAAGTAGGCGTGCATTTTAATCGAAAGGGGGGTGGCGGGGCACCAGGGAGGAACTTGCGATGCTGAGGATGCGAAAAGAGAGGAACTGTGAGTGCAGAGGATGCGAAATGAAAAGCCACAAAAGCCACAAAAACCCACGTAAAAGCCACAAAAGCCAAAAAGCCGAAAAGCCACCCACCCCGAAAAAACAAAAAATAAAATATAAATAAATAAAAAACGAAAAAATCGTTTAGAAAAATGGCCCTCCTTTTACTAACGAGCGACAAACGTTGACCAACTACTGGAAACTTGGGCTGAGCTGTGGATCCTAGTGTTCGCAAGATCCTGCTTTCAAACGGGCGCCTCTGCGGTGAGTGGGTGAGGGAGAGCGGTGCGAGAAGAGTGAGCGTGGAATCTGTGAGTGCGTGAAAGAGGGAGGGAGCGAGTGAGTGAGTGAGCCATCTTGCCGCAGCCTGGCGGTCCTGTGATCACAGACACAGAGCTTTGCACCGATCCCAGCACTTCTGCCTGGCAATCTGAGAGGCGACAGCCAATAGCAGCAGAGACAACTTCCAGCAACGCTGCCCGAGGTTCACCTGGATGCCCCAGAGCTGCACGAAGCGCAGACGATTGCTCTGGGCCGCGTAGGCCGACAAAGCTGCGAAAAGACGCTGCGCCAGTAACCAGGTCCAAGTTCGCTGCCAAGGCTGAGCTGACAGCCGCCAACGTCTGCCCGACAGCATCGAGCTTGTTCAGTGCCGGCGACAAGCGCTGGCACGCGAAGACGTACTCGTGTGCGTCCAGGCGCGGCAGTACGTAGACATTGTCTCGGTCTGCTTGGCCGCGGGGCATTACGGCGAACGATGCTGCGTGACCACATGCTCCGAACCAGCTTCTCTGGACTTGCAGCCATCCTCAGCTGCGTTCACAACGAAAACCAGCCAGTTCAGGCATGTCTTGTCGGTGCTGCCAAAGATAACCAAGTTGCATCAATCGCCCAACTTGCCCGTGACGGCGAGCGCCTTGGCCAAGGTGAGCCCACAGCCAACGCTTGAGCCTCTGTGGTCTAACCTGGCGCTTCCAGTCACGGCCGCATCGGCGGCGGGTAAAGTGCCGGAGGTGCTGTCAGCCACTGGTCCAGGCCAAGCCACTGCGGCTCTTGCTGCAAAGCCATGACGCCAATCGGACGCAACGGAGGCCAGGGCATGCTGCGAAAACTATGAAAGTTCGAACCGCTGCTGGTTTTGGGCCGCAGCTGCACTGACATGCCCTTGAGCTTCTGTCTGCTGACGGTTGCTCTTCTGCGCGCTCTGAACTTCTGCCTTCACAAGCTGCAGCTCTTCAAGCCCACGAAGAACTTCCCCGGTGGCAGGCAAGCCATCGATGAAGTTGCCATTCGTAGGCAGGTGACAAATGCACAGCACGCTGACCGCACTGCGGCAAGCGCCGTGCTCTGGTCGACACAGCACCGCCACGCAGACCGCCGCGCCTGGTTGTGTGGGACGGAAGCACGCTGAAATGGGCCAGCTGCTCGCGGTGGCCTTCCACGGAATGTGCACCCATGTTGCCGGTGCCTCCGGGAGCAACGTGCTCTTGAAGTTTCGAGCAAGAAACTAGGATGTTTACTCCCCAGATAGCTGAAAGCTATAGGGGTTCTAACTTCCAACACAGAAGGGAAAGTGATTTGCGAGATTGAGGGTCGGGTGCTGGGGGGCATGCAGTTTGTTTGGGGTGCTGGTGGAGGTGCTGCTTTGCGAGCTTGACGGCCGGGGGCTAGGGGGCATGCAGCTTGTGCTGGTGGAGGCGCCGCTTTGCGAGATTGACGGACTGGGTGCTAGGGGGCATGCAGTTTGCGGCGCTGATTAGGGCGCTGGCGCCTGTGCTGTTTAAGGTACTGATGGACAGCGGGGGGACATTCAGTTTGGGGTGCTGTTTGAGGTGCTGGTGATGGCGCAGGCGCATTCTTGCAAGATTGATGGTGATGCAATTGATGGTGATGCAGCTGTGTTTGTACTGTTTTGGGTGCTGTTTGGGGCGCTGCTGACGTTGTGGGCGCAATTTTCTGGAAATTGCCGGCGGGTGCTAGGGGGCATGCAGCTTGGGGCGGCGCAGGTGCTGTTTTGGGTTGCTGTTGAAGCTGCGTGGGCTTCTTTCCCAGATAACTGAAAACCATAGGGGTTCTAACTTCTAACGAAGAAGGACGGCTGGGAGCTAGGGTTCTGGCGCGGGTGTGGTTTTGGGGCGCTGTTCGGTTGAGGAGGAGCTGGTGACAGTACGTGACGGCAGGGTGCTCGGGGACGTGTCCGGAGCTGGCGCGGGCGCGGCCGCTGTTGTGTTTTTGGGTGTTGGTGACTGTGCGGGCGGATGTGGATGGCAGGGTGCTAGGGCGGGCGCTGTTTGGGGTATCGTGGTTGTCGCATCATCATGATGCAGGCCGCACAATCATGATGCTGTCCGGAGCATCATGATGCTGTTGAACCGATTCGGCCGTTGTTGCTGCTGGCCACCTTGTTGTGCTTGGGGTTGGGTCAGACGCTGCCTGTTTTCTCCGTCTCCTTGCGCATGCCCGAGCCCGGGCCTCACTTCCTTGCCTTTCCCCGGCTTGAGCAACCTTGATGGGCCTTGCCCGGACTTGAGCGACCTTCTCGCTGCATGCCCTGCTTCCCCTGAAGCTTCGCGGCTGCCGGCCCGGTAGCAGCAGCGTGCATGTGAGGACGCTGCCCTCGGACAAACAGCGTGCGTGTGAGGAAGCTGCTTGCAAAGTCCTAGTGCCCGGGACGGCCCTTAAGCATGGTTGCAGCCTTGTTTCACCGCATGGGCAAACGCAAAAAAGTGCGCAGAAAAAAAGCTGCTCTAACTGTCGCGCGTAATGGTTCGTGGCTGGTGTGTCATCATGATGTTGTCAACCACGTCATGATGCTGCTACAATCGCTGCGATGCCGCGTTGTGGTTTGCGGGTGTGGTGGCGGGCATGATGCTGTCAACATCAGGGTGATGCCGAATTTCATTACACTGTCGCAAGATGATTCGTGGCTGTGGTATGATCAGGATGCTGCCTTTGCCACCACCATGATGCTGTGAGCATCATCATGATGCAGCCCGCATCATCATGATGCTGTCGAACTCATCAGGACGTCGTCTCTGCGTTTTTCTGCTAGATATGTAGCGCGGAGTCGTTTGTGGCTGGTGTATCAGCATCATCATGTCAACATCATCGTTTTGCTGATGAACTCACTAGGACGTTGTCTGCGCGTCGATTTAGCGCACTATGCTGAGTAGCTGTGGTATCCTCATGATGCTGTCAACATCATCAAGATGCTGTCAACATCATCATGATGCCGCGGGAACCATTATGATGTTGCATCATGGTTCGTAGCCGTGGTGGGCTATCTGGGGTCTATGCTGGCGTAATTTATATTTTTCAGATAGCTGAAAGCTATAATAGGGGTTCTAACTTCTAATAGAGCGGGGAAAGTGACTTGCGAGATTGATGGGCTGGTGCTAGGGGGCGTGCGGTTTGGGGTGCTGGTGTAAGTGCTGATTGGGCTTGTGCAGGTGCTGTTTTGGGGGGTGACGGTGCGCGCGCATTTTTGCATCTTGACGGTAGGACGCAGCGGGGAATGTAGTTTGGGGTGCTGCTGATGGTGCTGTGGGACGCAGTTTGTAGGGAGCTGTTTGAGGTGCTGGTGACGGTGCGGCCGCATTTTTGCGATACTGACGCCCGGGTGCTATTGGGCATGCAGGCGACGGTGCAGGCGCATGTTTGCATCTTGACGGTAGGGTGCAAGGGGGCATCAGCTTAGGTGGTTTGGGATTCTGTTTGGGGTGCTGGGTTGATTTCCGCAAGATTGACGGTTGGGTGTGTTGGGGGGGTGCTATTTGGGGTGCTCTTCAGGGTGATGGTGCGAGTGCATTTTTGCTCGATTGACGGTCGGGTTTTGCTTGGGGCGTTCTTCGGGGGGGTTCTTTTGGAGGTGCTGGTGTGCAAGCGCTGCTATTTGGGGTCTATGCTGGTGTAATTATGTTTTTTGTTTCTGTTTTTTGTTTTATTTTATTTTATTTTATTTATTTTTTTTTTGGGGGGGGGGTGCCTGCTAATCCTGGAATGCCCTGCGAGCATGCATCATCCTTTTTCAAAGCATGTCCATCAAACGCTGTCCACAGCCTTTTTGAATGAGCCCGCTTGAAGTTGAGCATTCTTCCTCGTTCCTGCCACCGTTCTGGATGTTCCGGGCAGGTTGGAAGAGTGATGGTGTTTTTGGGGCTCGGTCAGCACCCTAAAATTACAAATTAACTTGGAAACACCCAAATAGAGGGCGCCATAAATTCACCACCAAGACCGCGCAGCCGGCAGCGCATAAGTTTCTGATCTGCTGGCAAGTGGATTAAAATGGATAGCTGCGTTGCAAAAACTAGATGCTGATCTGTACTTCCTTCCACCCTTTTTGGCAACAAAGGTGGCGCGGAGCGCAAGGGCTGGCCATATCCTCAGGCTCCAAACATGACTTACCTGGACGTAATTGTGTGACTCTACATGGGTTCTCAGAGCTGGGCCCTAGGGCGATTGCAACCGGGTTGGGGCAAGGATGGGCTACTTTTGAACCCTCCCGCCCCTTTGAAGGGAAGCTAAGGTGCCCAAAAGGACCTTGAGGGACTCCTCAGCTTGATCTGTCAACAGGCAAGCAGCCGAGGTGTCCACTGCGTCATACACGCGCCGGTAGAAAGCCTCGATGTCGCCAGCAAGAAATCCTTCGGAGATCAGTCCTCGCGAGAAAGTTGAGCATTCCAGGCGGCGGGAATTCCCCACTGCGTCCCCCAAATCGTTCTTGAAGGGGGTAGGACGGCCCCACGGCCACAGCTCCCTCAGCGGACCAACCTGAACAACCCATCAAACTGCCAACCCAACCACCAACACCCACCCACCCACCCACCCCAACCACCAAAGCCCATGCAAAAATCAAACCCTCAAACCCTAGAAAACTCCATGGCCAAAATTGCAATATACACAAACATAGGGAAGCCACCTCACTTTCCCCGTCCCATCCGCCCGCTTCCTCGCATGGTGGAGCCGTGGCTCTCGTAGAGCTCCTGTCGCAAACCAACCACCTCGAACCCTCCTGCGAGCCGACGTGGAACAAATCGTTTGTTGCCATGGGCCCGTGTCAGGGGAAACCAGAAGGTTGTTCAACTGCACACTCTTGCCAACAAGCGCAAAACGGGTCTGGGGGAAATGCAACCTCTGATACCTGGGAACAAATGCCGGGAGTGCTTGCTGGGGAATTGGGGGAGTGCTTGCTGGGGAATTGGGCAACACAAGGAAATCCCCCATGTTTGCAATCTCCAACCTCTCTTACAGTGCGGCCAATATTGCGAACTGACTTTCCAAAATCGTGCAAGGTCCAACCCGGCGGCAGGAGCTCCTGGCACTTGTGCCCTATGCCCAGCTCCCCGCACTGGCGCTCCAGCTGGTGCACAATGGCCTGGAGCAACTGGGGGGTGGCCAGTGGCGTATTTTGGAACGGGCCGATGGTGCACCAGCAAGCCTCGACTGTAGGGAAAGGGATGGGGGGTTGAGGCGGCCTGGCTTGAGGAGCATGGTTGTCCAATGCTTGATGGACATCGTTTTGGGGGGCTGGCTGGTGGTTGCATTCCAGGAAATCGAAGAGTAGCGCGCCTGCATAAAGATGTACCATTCACTGACCTGCAAGGAGGGAAGCTTTTCATATCCTCCAAAAGGTGCTTCATCATGGTGGAAGTACTTGTTTGTCTCCGTGGTGTAAGGTTGAGCCGTTCATTGACCCCGCCTTTGGGAACTTGCTTGCTTCCATGGTAACGTGATGTAACGTGAAAGGTACCAGAAACGGCAACCCAACATTGAAACTCGACCGGCCCTCGACAAATCCAGATCCGCAATCCCCAGAGGCGCCTAGCACACCCTTGAGATCCCAACTTGGGCCTAAGGCAACTGCGATCGGGAGGGACATGGAAAAGTTGGGTTGGGGTCTTGAATTCAGCACCTTGGGCAAAACAAATGGCGGAAGGCAGTGTGTGTGTGTGTGTGTGTGTCTTTTTGAGGGTTACCCTTTTTGGGGTAGTTGAAAAAAAAAAGGAACACCGGCGCGCGCGGAGATCGTCGCCTTCTCCACCTGCGAGTTTTTGTACAACACCCCGTCCATGTCCTGAGTGCTTTCTCAGGGAGCACATGGAGCAGTCCCACTTTCTGGTCGCTTCAAAATATGGGTGTTTGTTTCATGGCTGGATCCTGATTTCAGGCTGAAAGACAAGTTTTGGGGCACTCCCAGGTGACTCTGAATTGGCTTCGGTGCCATGCGCGGTGCGCTACAAAATCAAAGGATCGTCTCTGGCGCCTCGGGGCCGTGAAACATGGATTCCGACTCGGAAACCACGAAGTCGGACGAGCCTCTCTTTGCGGGCATGTGATGTCATGCGCTGTCGTCGATTTTTCCAAGGGTGGAGAGGTAGCATATGGTAGCACCCAGGCCCTCCGCACTAGCTCAACCCCCGAAAAGCCGCTGGGACCTGCTCCGTGCCGCTGAGCGCGTTCGGTTTCATAAGGCGCGGTGTGCAACAGCTCAACACGCAGATTTGGCGCTGTGCTGGGCGCGGCGCGGATGTACACTTCGCATGTACTCTTTCCAGTTCATTCTCTTGCGCAGTTCCCAGCTGCAAAGCTGGCGTTCGCTCCTTTCCTGCTGATTGTCCCCGATTGCACGAAAAAGTAATCATGTGTGAAGCATCCTAGGGCCCACTTGTTGGAAGCTACTTAGAGTCACCTTGAGTCACCCAGCATATGCAAAGCCCCCGTAGAGGTTGGCAATTCCAGAACGCAAACTGGCATGGACCTGAGGGGGAAGGGCGCAGTGGGCGTAACTAAAAATTGCAGGGACAAGAAGCACGCGGTGCCCGGAACAATTATAGTGACGGACATACACTTAGAAACAGTTTTGGTTTCCAAAATTTCCGACAAACACTTAGAAAAGAAAAAAATAAAAACAGTAAATTCAACACTTAGAAACGGTTCGGCCGACCAACACTTAGAAACGTTTTCTTCGCCTTTATGGCGATTCTGATGCATATTACCAGCCGTCAAAAACTTAGAAACGTTTCTAAGTGTTGCCCGAGAGGTACCTGCGGCGACGAAGCATTGGTCACGGGCGTTGCCCCGAGAGAGAAAAGAGCCGACCATGCAAGAAAAAAACAGCGGAACTAACTATATATATATATACATACACAATGAATCAGGCACACAGCACACATGATAGACTTAAGAGATCTTCGGGCAGCCAGACAAAAGACAACCTACAAATCACGAAAAAACAACGATTTTACCAAAAAAAGGCTAAACAAATGACGAGATGATGAAACAATGATGAACCAATATGAGCACAGTATGCAAATGATGAAACAATGAACAATGATAAACAAATTATGATTTGCTGGCATTTTTTGTTTTCAGAACTTCCCATGAACATCATCTGTTTTTCATCATGTGTCCATCCCTCCCTTGATTCAACAGAAAACAACAGGAAAAAACTGCGCGACACCGTGGACAAGAATGAAACAAATCATAAGGTTAATGAAACGGTTTCGTGGGGTTGCCGGAAGCTTGAAATCAGCTGGGGGCGAACAAATAGAAACGGTTTTTTCAACCCGCTTCTTTTTTCAGAATCTACCAATTGGACTTGTTTGTGGGTATACATGCCCAATACTCCATACATGTCAGCACTGTGTGAGCAAGGCATGATCTACTTACACAAACACACACAAATTTATATATATATATATAGACCTTCATCCTGGGAGCATTGGTGCTTTCTTGGGGTTGCCGGAGGCTTGAAATCAGCTGGGGGTGAACACTTAGAAACGCCTCCCCCAACCCCCCCCCCCTCAGAGTCTACCAATTGGACTTGTTTGTGGGTATACATGACCAATACTCCATACATGTCAGCACTGTGTGAGCAAGGCATGATCTACTTACACAAACACACACATATTTAGATAGATATATATATATATATAGACCTTCATCCTGGGAGCATCGGTGCTTTCTTGGGGTTGCCGGAGGCTTGAAATCAGCTGGGGGTGAACACAGAAACGCCTCCCCGAACCCCCGTGACCAGTACTCCATACATGTCAGCACTGTGTGAGCAAGGCATGATCTACTTACACAAACACACACACACACATATATTTATACATGTACAGACCTTCGTCATGGGGGGATCGCTGCTTTCTTGGGGTTGCCGGAAGCTTGAAATCAGCTGGGGGTGAACACTTAGAAACGCCTCCCCCAACCCCCCCCCCCCCAGAGTCTACCAATTTGACTTGTTTGTGGGTATACATGACCAATACTCCATACATGTCAGCACTGTGTGAGCAAGGCATGATCTACTTACACAAACACACACATATTATATATATATATAGACCTTCATCCTGGGAGCATCGGTGCTTTCTTGGGGTTGCCGGAGGCTTGAAATCAGCTGGGGGTGAACACTTAGAAACGCCTCCCCGAACCCCCGTGACCAGTTCTCCATACATGTCAGCACTGTGTGAGCAAGGCATGATCTACTTACACAAACACACACATATATTTATACATGTACAGACCTTCGTGATGGGGGGATCGCTGTTTTCTTGGGGTTGCCGGAGGCTTGAAATCAGCTGGGGGTGAACACTTAGAAACGCCTCCCCCCCCAGAGTCTACCAATTGGACTTGTTTGTGGGTATACATGACCAATACTCCATACATGTCAGCACTGCGTGAGCAAGGCATGATCTACTTACACAAACACACACACATATTTAGATAGATATATATATATAGATAGACCTTCATCCTGGGAGCATCGGTGCTTTCTTGGGGTTGCCGGAGGCTTGAAATCAGCTGGGGGTGAACACAGAAACGCCTCCCCGAACCCCCGTGACCAGTACTCCATACATGTCAGCACTGTGTGAGCAAGGCATGATCTACTTACACAAACACACACACACATATTTATACATGTACAGACCTTCGTCATGGGGGGATCGCTGCTTTCTTGGGGTTGCCGGAAGCTTGAAATCAGCTGGGGGTGAACACTTAGAAACGCCTCCCCCAACCCCTCCCCAGAGTCTACCAATTGGACTTGTTTGTGTGTGTACATGACCAATCCTCCAGACATGTCAGCACTGTGTGAGCAAGGCATGATCTACTTACACACATATTTATATATATATATATATATATTTTTTCTCGGGGCATCGGTGCTTTCTTGGGGTTGCCGGAGGCTTGAAATCAGCTGGGCGTGAACCACACCCCGTCCCCAGATTCTACCAATGGGGCTTGTCTGTGCATGCGCATGACCAATACTACATATATGTCAGTGCGTGTGTGAGCAAGGCATGATGTATTTACATACACGCATACGTACGGAAGCCTGAAATCAGCCGGGCGGTGAATACTTAGAAACACCCCCCCCCCCCCGCCCGGATTCAACCACTTGGGCTTGTACGTGTGTATATATTACATGACCAATACTCCATGTAGGTCAGCACCTATGTGAGCAAGGCATGATCTACTTACATACACATATGTATATAATTATATATATATATATCTCTTCGTAGTCGGGGCATCGGTGTTTTCTTTAGGGTTGCCGGAGGCTTGGAAGATTGAAATTAGTTGGGCGGTGAACACTTAGAAACGCCTCCCCCAACAGAGTCTACCAATTGGACTTGTTTGTGTGTATACATGACCAATACTCCATGCATGTCAGCACTGTGTCAGCAAGGCATGATCTACTTACACACACACACACATATATATATATATACACATACTGGGGGCATCGGTGCTTTCTTGGGGTTGCCGGAAGCTTGAAATCAGCTGGGGGTGAACACTTAGAAACGCCTCCCCCAACACCCCCACCCCAGAGTCTACCAATATACATGATCAATCCTCCCCACATGTCAGCACTTCCTTGGGGTTGCCGGAAGCTTGACATCAGCTGGGAGGAAACGCCTCCCCCAACCGCCCCCCCCCCCAGAGTATAGCAATTGGACTTGTTTGTGTATACATGACCAATACTCCACACATGTCAGCACGTGTGTGAGCAAGGCATGATCTACTTACACAAGCACACACACACATATATTTATACATGTACAGACCTTCGTCATGGGGGGATCGCTGCTTTCTTGGGGTTGCCGGAAGCTTGAAATCAGCTGGGGGTGAACACTTAGAAACGCCTCCCCCAACCCCCCCCCCCCCAGAGTCTACCAATTGGACTTGTTTGTGGGTATACATGACCAATACTCCATACATGTCAGCACTGCGTGAGCAAGGCATGATCTACTTACACAAACACACACATATTTAGATAGATATATATATATATATATAGACCTTCATCCTGGGAGCATCGGTGCTTTCTTGGGGTTGCCGGAGGCTTGAAATCAGCTGGGGGTGAACACAGAAACGCCTCCCCGAATTTCCGTGACCAGTACTCCATACATGTCAGCACTGTGTGAGCAAGGCATGATCTACTTACACAAACACACACACATATTTATACATGTACAGACCTTCGTCATGGGGGGATCGCTGCTTTCTTGGGGCTTGAAATCAGCTGGGGGGTGAACACTTAGAAACGCCTCCCCCAACCCCTCCCCAGAGTCTACCAATTGGACTTGTTTGTGTGTATACATGACCAATCCTCCAGACATGTCAGCACTGTGTAAGCAAGGCATGATCTACTTACACACACATATTTATATATATATATAGACATATTTTTCTCGGGACATCGGTTGCCGGAGGTTTGAAATCAGCTGGGCGTGAACCACACCCCCCGCCCCAGATTCTACCAATGGGGCTTGTCTGTGCATGCGCATGACCAATACTCCATATATGTCAGTGCGTGTGTGAGCAAGGCATGATGTATTTACATACACGGAAGCCTGAAATCAGCCGGGCGGTGAATACTTAGAAACAGCCCCCCCCCCCCGCCCGGATTCAACCACTTGGGCTTGTACGCCCCCCCAGACTACCAATTGGACTTGTTTGTGTGTATACATGACCAATACTCCACACATGTCAGCAGGTGTGTGAGCAAGGCATGATCTACTTACACAAACGCACACACGCACACGTTTATACATATGTGTATATATGGGCCTTCATCCTGGTAGCATCGGTGCTTTCTTGGGGTTGCCGGAAGCTTGAAATCAGCTGGGGGTGAGCACTTAGAAACGCCTCCCCCAACCCCCCGCCCCCCCCCAAGAGTCTACCAATTGGACTTGTTTGTGTGTATACATGACCAATACTTCATACATGTCAGCACGTGTGTGAGCAAGGCATGATCTACTTACAAAAACACACAAACACACACATAGTTATATATATATAGACGTTCGTCATGGGGGCATCGCTGCTTTCTTGGGGTTGCCGGAAGCTTGAAATCAGCTGAGGGTGAACACTTAGAAACGCCTCCCCCAACCCCCCCCCCCCAGAGTCTACCAATTGGACTTGTTTGTGTGTACACATGACCAGTGCTCCATACATGTCAGCACTGTGTGAGCAAGGCATGATCTACTTACACAAACGCACACATATTTATTTGTATATATATATATATATATTCGTCATGGGGGCATCGGTGCTTTCTTGGGGTTGCCGGAAGCTTGAAATCAGCTGGGGGTGAACACTTAGAAACGCCTCCCCCCCCTTTTCAGAGTCTACCAACTGGACTTGTTTGTGTGTTTTCATGACCAATCCTCCATACATGTCAGCACGTGTGTGAGCAAGGCATGATCTACTTACACAACACACACACATATCTATATATATATATATATAGACCTTCGTCATGGGGGGATCGCTGTTTTCTTGGGGTTGCCGGAAGCTTGAAATCAGCTGGGGGTGAACACTTAGAAACGCCCCCCACCCTCCCCCCCCCGCCCCAGATTCTACCAATGGGGCTTGTCTGTGTATGTGCATGACCAAAAATTCCTATATGTCAGTGCGTTTGCGAGCAAGGCATGATTTACTTACATACAACACATACTTACATATATATGTATATATATATGTGTATATATATATATGTATATAGATAGACCTTCCTCCTCGGGGCATCGGTGCTTTCTTGGGGTTGCCGGAAGCTTGAAATCAGCTGGGGGTGAACACTTAGAAACGCCTCCCCCCCCCCCCCAAGAGTCGACCAATTGGACTTGTTTGTGTGTATACATGACCAATCCTCCATACATGTCAGCACGTGTGTGAGCAAGGTGGGGCCATCAAACAAGGCGTGAAACACATGAACGATCATAAACAGCTGTTGGGCTAGTGCTGCAAACCGTTTCTAAGTGTTGAAAACAGTTTCTAAGTGTTGAAAACCATTTCTAAGTGTTGAACTGGGTTGTAGCAGTCCGGATCAACACTTAGAAACGAAAGGTACCTGCTGGGGACAGCAACTAGAAACGAAAAAAGTACCTGGCGCCAAAAGAAAATTTCCAAAACTGTTTCTAAGTGTATATCCGTCACTATACCCCTCTTCAGAGGATGATTGAGCCTAAGGGGAACAACCTCCCCTTTCGTCTGGAGTTCATGTCCTCATTGGGCCCACCCCGCCCCATGACGCCGGCGCCCGGCCAAGGTGCCAGGATCATCCGCCGCGCAGCGAAGCTCCGCAGAGGAAGCCTCCGTGGTCGAAAGGCCGCCTCGACAAAAGAGGAGCGGACAGCCGAGGCCGGATTTTCACCATCCCTCAATTTACCTTTCTTGGACATCCAAGAATCGCACTTGGGAACCCACAAAATGTTAACGACTACTTTGTGGTGGAACAGTGGATGCCTAAATGATGCACGCAGGGGAAGAAGGGGAGACCCTGTGATTTCTCAATTCAACGAGGTTTTGGTGGTTGCATGTGGAAATCGCCTCATACTTTGCTTCAACCAACCCTGCATTAGGAATTCCTGCCTTTGCACATGGATGGGTTGTGGTGAGCTCCTTTGCAATCTGCAGGTGATTCCAGACGTGAAGGCGAATCCACACTGGCAAAGGTGAGCCTGAGGGTAGCTTCTGCCTTGCAACCTCGCAAGTGGACTTTGGCAAGGGTTGGACTCAGGGCAGATAAGCGGAAAGCCATCGCAGTGGAGCGCCTTTGGGCAATGAACTTTCTTCATGGTGAAGGCCCAAAGATGTGAGCATCCACTCAAGGGACCTTCTAGGGTGTTATGCCCCAGTCTTTTCAATAACCAGCTGTTTCCCCTGGGTTTTGATGGCTTCCTGAAGCAGGAACCCTAATAAATTGGACACCTCCCCTACTGGCCCATACTCTTGCAAAAAGACTCTCCCATACTCCCCCCATGCCAGGCCACTCGCCCGAGCGACCCCAGCATCGCCAGGAAACGCGCGGCGCAGAACGCGGCGAAAGCCCAAAGCTCGCCAATGGCGATGGGGTCGGGGGGATGGGGCTATAGGCTGTGAGTTCTGCTCACTTGCTGAGCAAGACAGGTGGAAAACCAAAAAAAAGCAGTGAATCACCAACTCGGGCAAGAGTCCACGGATGGAAAGAGGTTGCTTGTTGAAAACAAGGCCAGCATGGCTGCGAGAATGCCGGTTGAAAGACTGCCCGGAGCTCCATTGCCTTTTTGTCGGCTGGGGCAAGTGGAGATGCTGCGCACGGCGGTCCTAGCTTCTCATACAAGCAGTTATTGCCGTCTACATTCCCATTTCTGCACGCCTGAGCCAAGGCGTTGGCTGCAGAGAAGCCAAGTTTGAAAGTGACCAACTCCGGGCTCCTGCAACTGTAAGGTGGAGGCAACTGCCAAAAATTTGGCAATCCGATTTTGCAAACATACCTGCTCGCAGAAGGGTCCGCGCGGCAAAGGAACAGCAAGACTGACTGTGTTCGCGAAACAGTACTTTCAGGTGCATCACCGGCTTGTTGGAACGGGAGGGGGGGCGATGTACCTCCCTTTTTGTCTCCCTGGTAAGATCAAGGTGACTCGAACAGGCGCAAGGAAGAAGGAAGCCGAAAAGCGGAAATTGCTTCTACCCTCTAGTAGTGGAAAGAGGCAGCCCATGCATGTGCGCATACATGTATGTGATTTTTCTTTCGGCCAACTTGGCGAACATGTCTGGCACTTATGGGCAATGTACACCTTCTTCCAGCTGATGAATTGGAGCAAACATGAGGGGACACAAAGGGCAAAGCAAAAGCTTTGGCTGGTCGAACTTGGTTGCCATGGATTCCATCACAGTCCTGGCGTGTGCTTTGGGCATGATTCTGCTAACCCGTCTGCCGTCATGAATGCCAAACTCACCTTCCTCCGGCTTTTCGCTCACTCACTTCTTGGAAGTATATATATATATTACAACTAGGAACTTTGGGCCGAAGAGGGAAGCATGTCATTTGCGCAAAATGTGGAGGCGGGTTCTGGGCCCTACGGTTAGCCCTGCAAGCCAGAACACGATTAGCCCAGGACCAGTCTACTAAGTGGCACGTCTGGCATTGATCTTTTTGCCTGACCGCAACAAGCACTGGAGAGAACAGTCAGGTTCAATGACGACGCTCTCCTTTGCTTCTCTTACGACCCTGACTTTTTAATTAATGACGTTTTTGGCAGGCCCAACCGATTCGGCGGCAGGAGTCGGCACTATTCTTGTTAGAACGACAGGGGGACTTCAAGATAAGATAGGAATGAGTAAAAAAAAGTCCTTCAGATTGAAGTCAAGGGGTGCAAAAGCATCCTTCACCAATGGGCGTCACAATGGCACACCTGGAGAAGAACGGCATCATTCAGCAACACAACCGAACAAAGAGACCGCCAAAGCCGCCATCGCGGGATGGAAAGAACATGTCCCAAAGAATGTCTATTCTCATTCTCTCATGGGCCCTTGGTTTGGCAAGGGTGCACTTCAAGCCTGGCAGACGGCCGAAGAAGAAGCGAATATGTGGAGCCACTGCTAAACCACTCAGTGTCAGTTTACCTCTGCGTGCACACATGCCTTTTCCGCCCCGCGCTGGGCTCAGACGGATTCAGGCCACTCGTGGCCTGTGAGAAAGAAAAAAAAAAAAGGGAGCTCGCCGAGTGAGGGAAACGTTCAGCCCAGTGGCCGTATTTTGGTGGAAGATGGCCATTTCGAGACCGCTGAGGCCTGTGGTTAGGGTCCAATGGAAGGTCACATCCTCTACATTGGGACGCTAGAGCTCAACTATTGGCCTTGCAGATTGAGAGGTGTAGGTACTGAGGCGCTGGCTGTGTAAACAGCCCGCCCTTTTCGGAAATATCATGCTAAAGGCAGCAATCAGCTTGAACTTCCGTTTTTGTGTTGAGTCACTCAGGATTTGTCGTGTGTTATGCCGCTCTTCACATGCGTGTTGTTCACGTTGATTGGAAGCAACCGGCTCCGCTTTCTACTTTCAAGTTGTTGATGCATGGGCCCAACTGCCGTCAGGGTTCCAAACAGGTCTTGTGACAATCTTGTTGGACATGTCAAGGGCCCTTCACTATTTCTTTGGAAGGACAAATCCACACTTGCCCCGAAAAAGGCTGGATTTGCACTTTGCCGAGTTGTCCTCCTCAAAGAGGCCATACAGTCTCAAAAAAGGCACCCCTACTATCCAAAGCCTGGTGGGGGGAAATCTACCACCTGTAACCCGAGAACAAAGAAAAATAAAAAAGTCTGGAAACCAACAATCCTCCAAGAAGTCGTAAAGGGACCCAGCCCCCCTGCCCCTGCCCCACCCCTCCCCCCAACCTCAGGTAGGCAGCTCCTTGCGCTTGAGGTACTTCTTCCGCTCGAAAGGCAGCGGCAAGGCCTTGTCCACGGCTTCCTGCGACACCTCGTTTGGGCGTGCACGTTGGTTGCTTCATTTCTCGAAGAAATTGAAAAAACATGTTTCAAATGAACATCCCGCTCCGCCATTTGGAGGTGAATGCACTTTGTGAATGTGCGGTTTATTCATTCATTTGTCTAGCTATACGTGTATATAACTCGTATGTGTAGCTGTGGACTGCACTTTGAACTCGCCTGCACTATGTATAAAATTATGTCTTTACTCTGGAAGGTGTTCTAGCTTCCCACCACAGCGTGAAAGATACGAGTCGATGGAGATGACTGCGAGCTTTCCCTGAGGACGCTAACCAACCAGAAATTGTGTATATATCTTGGTGGCTGTGGACCTCTGCAAAAAGTGCAACTTTTTGTGGGCCCAATGAAAATCCAAAGTTTCCCAAAAAGTTAATGTCCAAAGATCCAACCAAATAACCATAAAGATAAACATATGCTGTGTGAACTGGGGAGTATACAAGGTAGTATGTGTGGGGCCCGTGGTTAAGAAGCAGCTTTGCATCATGTTTCTGGAAATCACGGGAAAGAAAGGTTGAAAGTGGTCCTTCCCAAGGTGGGCGGCCCTTTGCTTTGCGCAAGCGTGCCTTCACCGTGAGCACCACCGGTGGGTCTCCTTCTTCGCCTGAGCAAGGCGACCAGAAAGCGGCAAAGGCGTCGGCCTTGAAACATTGCATGCTTGTTACGAAGCTCACTTGCCGCCAAATCAGAACAAATTGGACCTAGATGTTCGTCCTTTGGGGAGCATGGACAAGAATTCGGAAAGCAAAAAGACAAAAGGTCGTTGCTCCTTGGGGCAAGTGAGCAAGTCGAAGTGAGTTGTTGGGTTGAGTGTCAGGAACGGCAACACGTGACACTTGGGGATATTGTTGTCACAGGACGCGAAACAAGAACAATCCAAGAAAAGGTTCAAAGCGTAATTTGTGTTGGACCTCTTGGGGTTGTCAAAAACGAGCAATTCTGGGGCTAAAAATACAAAGGGGGGGGTGACTAAAAATCGACAACTTGAATCCACAGGTCGCCTTTGGACAACCGCGAACTCTGAGGTTGTCTGCGATTGTTTGTCAACCCCCAACCTGCTTTCGGACCCCCAGCCAGGCCGGAGACAAAGTCTCGAAAGGTCAGAACATGCACCCCACAAATGATTAGTCATGAGTCGTGACCATTCCCTTCAAAAAAACACAAGGGACACATAACGCATCATCAAACCACACATCCAGATCTCTCGAAAGGTCCGCTTCCCCTGAAACGAAAATACACACGCCCACACAAAGACACACTAACACTATAACAGGGCGACCAGGCAAGAAAACGAGCAACGAAGAAAACAAAAACCATGAAATTCCGGTCCAACGGCCCGGACCCCGCGGGCCCGACCAGCTGCCTTCGCTCTCCCTGCGCTGCTGCGGGCTGGTGAGCGGCGCCCAGGGCCCCGCCACTGAGGCGAGGCCCAGGATGTGGCCTCCGCCCGGTGGGAGAGAATAGGGCGCGTCGGTTTGTTGAGAACCCCCCCCCCATTTTTGTTCATCAAAACCAAGAAAAAAACAGCAAAAAAAAGAAGACTGGGGTTTCCTTGTTGGTGTCCATCCAAAGCCGCCAAAAAGAGGGTGCGATCGGGAAAAAAAGGCGAAACGCGCCGGGGTGGGCGTAAATTTCTCATTGGAGGTCCTGTGGTGGCAAGATTCGGTGGGGATATGTGGGGATTCATGTCCACCAACCACTTTTGAGGTGGAAGTTAGCCAAACCATCAAACATGGGAAATTCGCCATTACGATTGTGCTTCAAGGCAGCGGTTTGGTTACGTTCTCTGCAAACCCGGCCGCATCCGCGTATGTTGGCGAGTTTGTGCCTTCTGCTGTTCGCTGCTACATTCCACGGAAGTGAAATGGCCATGGGTCAAAATCCCGTACAGTGAACATCCCAATCCCCACTTAAATGGACTGGTGCCTACCCAAAATGGTACCATTGGTTTTGACCCACAGCTCAAGGCGGAAGCGGCACATGTCTGCAGATCTAAGGCTGCGGCGCTGGGGCCACACCTTCCAGGGCCCGCCCTTCTCGGCCGGCTCCGCCTGGGCAAAAACGGCCGCCTCGCCGGCTCAGCTTCCGTACGAAGCTCGAGGGGGGAACCGAGCGCCCAGTCGGGTGGAAGTGGCCCAGAAACTTTGGAGCCGTCTTGAAATAAGGATGCTAAAGAGCTTGAGGGATAACCCCTTGTAACATGCAACATGTTTCAATCGCTAAGCATTGTTCAAACCAATTCCCTAGGCTCCTTGGTGCTTTCCTTTCAGAGGGACTTGGGGTTGGACGGTTGGACGGTCCATGTCGGCGTCCCGCCTGGACCAGGTCCAAATCCATGGCCAGCAAGAAGCCGTGGCCCCAGAGCAGCAGTTTCCGGGGGCGCCGCTGGAAGCTCGCGAGCCCGCAGACCTAAAGCGCGGGGCGCAAAGCGCACTGGCCCTCGACAAGGCCCAAACGCCTCCCGCTTTCCCATCCAAACTTCCCCACGTCCCCCCACAAGGGCAGAAGGACGCCCAGAATTTGACATGGCCCCAGGAAGCCCAGCCCGTCTCCTTCGATTCGGGGCGCGCGGGCGTGGGGTGCGAGGAACTTCTGGGGGATGGCCACCTCGAGAGCGCACGTCACGCCCTTGGCCTTCACGTCGAAGATCATCACCTGGCCGTTTCAGCGTCCCTCGCATTGGTGGTTTGGATTGGCGGTTTCGAGGCCACGGGGTGGTTTTCCCTTGGCCCTCTACCAAAAAGCCGGGGGTCAAAACCCCAAAACACCAATCCAAATGACGAATTCAGGTCAACCTGCTGGCACCCGCTGAAACATGCTTTGGATTTGACCCCAGCAGAACTTGAGAGAGGGCCGTTTCACCCGCCTGCTTCAAACAAGTCCTCTTCGCAGGTACCGACACTCGTGAAGCCACCTGCAAATCTTTTCAAATACAAAAGCATCAGTTAACTCCAATTGGTGGCAACCTAGTCCAGCCGGAGAAGCCAACGTCGAAATGAACGGCTCAAATAGATGATGTATCTGGGCAATCTGCACGCCCTGTGCAACATATGTAGCGTACTTCCCCGCGTACTCCCCCTATTTTTCTAGCTTCTAAGGGAACAGGGCATACTATTCTGTTGCAACCTTGCCACCCTCTCCTCCCTCTCCCCAGGTACAAACCTCAAGCAAAGCGCCAGCTTTCGGCAATTAGATCTCTATCCTTTTGTATGGGACATCTCATTTATAGATTTCCGTGGTGAGAACCTGAATCCGAGGGGTTAGAAGAGGAATCCTGGACCGTCAGGGCTGAAACTTCTCCCACCTGGGTTCCTCTTCAAGGACAGCCTGGTGAGTGCCAGGGATGGCATCGGTCATGAAGTTAGGCCCGGCTTGTCAGTGCTATCTGCCCATAAAACAACAGACACACCGCGGTGTCCTGACACCGTTCGCAAAAACCGCCCCCTCCTGTTGGGGACCTGGTGCAATTGTACAGCCTTCAAAGGGTCCCCCAACCCGCGCCTGTTTTGGCATGCAAGCCACAGACAATACCCCGTTGTGTCCTCAATTGTTGTAAGAATTTGAATAACTCTATTTCCCGATGGAATTTGGGCGTGCCCTATGTTGCTCGTACCTGAAGCCCTGTTGCAAAGCAACTAGTTTAGATCTCCCTTTGCATGCGGTCCATTGTCCAGGTGTTCAAGACATTTGGCCCAAGACCACCCCACATCAATGCAAGCGTTTCAGGATGGAGAGGGACCCCCTTGCGTACCAAAGTCTCCTCAGGGGCGAAAGGACCCCTTTGTGTCCACCCGCGGGCGCCTCAACAAGACCACGGAATCCTTCACAACTTCGCACTGGCCCAATTGACGAACAAGTCAAAGGACAACGAATCCTTTCGCACACTTCACCAAAAGTTGACCAAATCTGGAAAACCACAGACGGTGAATTGCCCTTGGACACTGAGGTTGTCTAGAGCCCCAGCGCCGCCGCCCCCAAACCACGGGCTGCCTGGTGCCGGGCCGTCACCAGCACTGCCTTCTTCCCCGAGGCGTCAAAGCCAAGGGCCGTCACCTGACGGCCCCTAACCCCTACAAAGCCCTTCTTGGGGTTCAAGAAGCCCGACTTCAGAAGAGGACAAGTGCCACCCACCTACATAGTCGCAGGTTAGTAGGTTGTGCTCGGACGACCAGGGACAAGAAAGGCTACAGCAAGCCCGAGCCAAGCCAAACCAAACCCACCCCGAACACCTCCAAAACCCCCGGGCCTGGTCCCCGGAGCCAGGCACCGCGGCGTGGTGCTGAAGGCTGTCCAGGCTGAAGGCATGCACCTGGCTCGTTGACGCGGTCCGCTGGTTAGGTGGTTGGGGTGGGCCGACCCTGTATTTCCATCCTAGGAACTTCACCTAAGAAAACTCAGCCTAATTTGGCACAAAGGGGAAGGTTGGAAATCAACAACGGGAATGCCCTGAAAGAAGTGGACCAGTTTCATCAACAGTGACAGCTAGGTCAATTCGCCAAAGGCCTTGGTGTGGTGCTTCTTGGTTTAAGCCCAACATCGCAAATCCTGAATTAGCTTTAGGGGCTATCGTCAAGGAAGTTTGGGGTTGGAAACAAGGGATGACGTATTCTCAAAAGCCAGGTCGCTCCCCAAATGGTCTGAAGGGATCATTGTGTTGACTGACCCTCTCTGGGACTGAAGAGGCGGCGGTTCAGGTTCTTGACCCTGTACTTGAAAAACAACTGAGTAAGAAGAAAGGGACAAGGAGCCTTTCTTGGACGACCATTTCGACCATTTGGATGGAAACTTGCCTTGCGGAGACTTTTGAAACCCTTAATAGAAATATTTCAAGAGGCAAGACTTGGGGTCCGCGATTCGGATACTGAAAGAGAGCTTCAAAGCTGAGACCAAGCCTGCGCAGAGCAGCTCACAGAAGAACCCGCGTATTAAGATGTAGCTCACTGCCAAGAAAGCCCCAGCTCCCCCCCCAGAAAAAAAGAAGACAAACAAACAAACAAACAAACAAACAAACAAACAAACACACACACACACACACACACACACACACACACACACACACACACACACACACACACACACACACACACACACACACACACACACACACACACACACACACACACACACACACACACACACACACACACACACACACACACACACACACACACACACACACACACACACACACACACACACACACACACACACACCACACACACACACACACACACACACACACACACACACACACACACACACACACACACACACACACACACACACACACACACACACACACACACACACACACACACACACACACACACACACACACACACACACACACACAACACACACACACACACACACACACACACACACACACACACACACACACACACACACACACACACACACACACACACACACACACACACACACACACACACACACACACACACACACACACACACACACACACACACACACACACACACACACACACACACACACACACACACACACACACACACACACACACACACACACACACACACACACACACACACACACACACACACACACACACACACACACACACACACACACACACACACACACACACACACACACACACACAAACACACACACAAACACACACAAACACACACAAACACACACAAACACGCACAAACACACACAAACACACACACAAACACACACACAAACACACGCAAACACGCAAACACGCAAACACACACACACAAACACACAAACACACACACACACACAAACAAACACACAAACACACAGACACACAGACACACACACACACACACACACACACAAACACACACACACACACACACACACACACACACACACACACACACACACACATACACATACACATACACATACACATACACATACACATACACATACACATACACATACACATACACATACACACACGCACGCACGCGCACACACACAAACACACAAACTCAAGCACAAACACAAGCACAAAACACACATCACAACAACAAACATCGCGCTTGCCGAAGAAATATCAGTAAACAAGCCGAAACTGCACAGCTTTCGATGCCCCCGGCGCCTGACCGGCAAGGTCAGCACTGAGCAGCCACTCGGACTTCCCCAGCGAAGCAGCCAGGAGAGTCACAGGTGACTGGTGCTCCTGGACAAAGTGGGCTTAATCAATTCGACCCAAGAGCTCCCTCCAAGCTCGGTGCAGAACACACTGTTTCAAAAGTCCCCCTGAAGTGGCTTCGAACCACAGCGGGACAGCTACTGGCGCTCACCCCTTGAAGCAGTCAGCATCACGTGACAGGCTGGCAAGGCAAACCATGCCGCACCCAAAGAGTTCAGCAGTCGAGTGGTTGGAACTGTGCAAGTTCATGTTGGCTGAAGGATTCTGCAGCAGAGCCCCGACTTCGAGGAAGCCATTTCACACGAAGCACCGGCCTTCCAAGTTTTGCAACGTTGGATGAGGCACTGTGAAAATGCGATCAGCATTCTTTCAGGACAGCCTGGAAATGGTGGAAGCCAAGTCAGGGAGCGAATTGGGCAAACACTTTCCCAACCACGGTTCACCTTCCGACCGTTTTGTAGTGCATCCAATTGCCCGCAAAGCAGGGCAATAGAAAGCCAAAGCTTTCGGACCTCTGATTGAAAGTGGGCCAAGCCTGGAAGAGCAGAAGGTCGGAAGGGCGACTTTGGACAGCCGAGTCACTTCGTCACTTTAAGGGTGTCCCTGGGGACAGAAAGGAAGATCCGCCCCTCGCAGTCCCGACTCCATTCACAAACAACATGTTCGAGACACCATCCAAGGCCATGTTGTGCCAATGGAGCCTCGGAGCATTGGCTTCTTGAATTGAAGGACAAAGGGGTGGCTCCCTCTCTCAAGACACCCAAAGCAGAGTCCAGGAAGGTGGCCACGACAGTCCTCAGCCGGCCGTTTCAAGCCAATTTCAGCTAAACCTTGCGGGTTGGCCTGGCAGTTCCCGGTGAAAGCACTGCCAGGCCAATCATGTCAGCATTGCCTGCAAACACTCCACCTTACGGTCAGAAGGCGGCGGTTGATCCTTGATGACCCATGATTCCCATGAGGAAAGCGAGCCTGGACCAAGCAAACTTTCGGATTGCGGCTCTTGATGGCTAGATGCTTGTTACAGAGGTCATACGGGAGGCAGCCCCCTCCACCGAAACAGCAAGTTGCACGTTCGATCAATCATGGAGGTTAGCGTGGAAATGGACCTATCACCGGCAAAAGTTTGCAACCTAAACAATCCGGAGTGGTCCCTACATGTCCTTACCTCCCTTCCCCCCAGTGAGGCCCTTCGGTTGCTTCGGCCTCTTCCAACCAGTTGGGCCCTCCCCTTTTGCGGGCCAAGGCGCTTCGTCTTGCAGTCCTCGACACGTGCGTATGGCCCCAGCCGAAAGGTGGAGGGATGGAAAAATCCCTCGGCTACACAAAATAATGACAGCCTGTTGATCCGAATCGGGATCGAACCCCCCACCCCCGATTCGCACCAAACTAAGTGCTTTACTGCCCAACAAACCAATGCTTATGCTTACCTAGCGCTTCCAAGCAAACCAATCAACCAGCATTTCTTGCATTTACATGATGGCTTCCCCGGTTACCTCCTGATGTTCGAGGCAACCGGAAGAGCTGAGGCTTAGCTACTGAAGCTACTTGAACAAGTAGGTAAGGTATGACTACGGACTACAGGCTCGAAACTTACCAGATTGGACCGTTCCTGTTCCCCACGGTCCCTCTCAGCCCACACATGCTTGCGATGGTCGGCCTTGGCGGCTGGCGACAGCCGCATTGAGACATGCCCCCTTGACAGGGAATTGCGCTGTCAATTCAACCCTTGGTTGTTGACCCCCTGCCTTTCGTCATGCTTTGGTGAACCACCCAAACAAGTCCGGACTTGGAATGTTCTCCCAGAAGGGCTCCTTCCGACTGGTTCTTCGCAGCCCACAAAGGCTTCTCATCCCCTTCCACCAATAGGCTCTCCTTCACTCAGGGGCCTGAAGCACGAAAGCATCTCCCATGCCGAGAAGCTAGGAGCAGAATGCTGCTCCCGTGCCACACGGCAATGGCCAGGATGTTCCTGGCCAAGCCGCGTGGGTGTGCGTTTGGGAATTCCTCTTTAGGGCCGTTTTGAAGGAAATGGTAGCCACTCTCTGGGGTCGGCTCGCATACCGCAGAACACAGGCTGCAAGCAACTCGTGCTATCACCATAACTAGGCAGTACCGGGAACACGGTGCCATGGAACAACTGTTTTAGGCCCAACTTACCGTTGAGCTATGATTTATATTGACCTTTGTCAATAGTTGTATGTCAAGCATTGTCAAACTGATTGTTTCGTTGGCTCGTCGTTGGGCACATCAGCGAGCTAAGGAAGGCTGTCGGGTGGATGCATTGTTCCACCATGCAGGCAAGGGTCAAAGATCCCTCCGCTACGTTTTGGATGCCCAGAAGCCAGACATACCTGTTTGGGGATTCCATCTTCATTATCTTTATTCGAGTCCTTGGGAGGAGGGGTGGACCACCTTCACTGCAATCCTCGGAGGGAACATTGCGGGTCACCCACTCCAGACTTGAGCGGCTTTCTTCAAAACGCCCTGGCATCTTGGTTGGTCAAAGGGAAGCCCAAAAACGAGCCCCATCTTCGGGCGGCGATTTTTATTCGTCCACAAAACCCAAATATGTGTTGTATGACTCCCCGAATTCTCCCCACTCCGCACCATAAACTCCATGTGACCCACTCCCAAGCCGCGGGCCGACCTCCGGCAGAACTGCAGCGCCCGGGCCGCCGCATTGGCCACCTCCGGCGGCAGGCCCTTGAGGCGCTGCACCTAGACTCGCAGACTTTGCCAAGGGAACCCAGCTGGATCGTTTTAAAAAATAAAATAATATAAAAACTTTGACTCACCCAAGAGAGCCTAGCAAGGTTTAAACCTTGTGAGATCTTGGCGGAAATGGATGGAACAACCAAACAAGGTCGATCGATTCGCTTGCAAGTGAGACTCTCAAGCTGAGACCCAGGGTTGGGACCCAGCGATGACCCGGAGCTAGATGGGAAGCTTCGGCTTTACTCGGCTTCGAAAGGTAGGAGCCATTTCTTCCGGCGGTGAGTCGATTACAGCGGCATCGCCCCACCAAGGCTCAAGGGAAACCTTCGAACAGTTCAAAATCAAGACATGGATTGAAAGTTTCATAGATTGAACGTTTCTCAGTTTCTCGAATTGGCCCACTAATTAAAATGACTGGGGTCCTTTTCGCAGTATTCCTCAAACATCGCGAAGAAGTCATGACGCGGGATCCCGCGTCGGCATCGTCGGCATCGCCTGGAGGTGCTCCACGGAGACCTCGAAGACCCGGGTGCCCATCATGTCGCTGGCCGCCACCACCTTGCCGTCCTGTGAAGCGGTCAAGCGGGGCAGCGGCTGGGTGCTTGGAGGTGTGGGGAGTTGGGGGAGTTGGGGGGGCTGGGGGTCTTGGAGGCCTCGGGGGTCAAGGGGGTCTTGGGGGCCTGAGGTTTGCAGTTGGGCAGTGCACCAACGAGATGGGACTGGACCAACATATCTTGAGGGCGCGGCTCGAAAAGTTGACATGAGAAGTTGGCAGGTGGAATAACTCCTCGGCAAGTTGGCATGAGAAGTTGGCAAGTGAAGTTTGCAGCCGCTTTTAGAATTCGCAATGTCCGGGAAAAATGGCTCCCCAACGCTGGTTTTCGTTTGTTGGTTCCCTTCAAAAATACCAGCCAAAAGGCGGTCCACCATAAGGTGTAGGCCACCCCCCCCCCAAACAAAAAAAGAAACGAAAGGGGGGGCGGTTCTCTCGCTTGGTTTTGCTTTTAACCGGGCCCAAGAAGGGCGCCTCGGTGAGCGCCGCCGCTGCCAGGTGCTCTCCGCTGCGCTTGGTGCCGTCGGGCCCCAAGGCGTTGCCCGCCAAACTCCTGAGTCCGAAGCAACCGAGGCAATGGCAACAAATTGGTAAAGGGTGGGGGTGGGCTCAGGGGAGGATTGGGGGGGGGGGGTGGGGGTTGGGGGGGTTTGGGGAGAGGGGGGAGGGAACTGTTTTGGTTTGTTGTTTTTTGTTTGTGGGGGAGGGGGCGTCAGTCAACTATGGAAGATGGGAAGATACACAGAATATAGTCGTATCTCCCCATACTGCCAACATGAACATGAACAAGCACATAGTACGTATAAGCCATTGGAACCCACCAACAGTTTGATCAGCTCTTGAAGGGGATCCCAGTGAGCACTGACTGACTTACCGTTTGGCTTCAGGGCCCAAGAGCCCGAGCAAACAGGGCCTGAGACGAAGGCACTTTCTTCATGCGAGCCGATGAGTCCATCCTGCCCGCATGGTCATGGTCGTCCCGAAATGGACCCAAGGCCACGTTGGGCTAAAAGTGGCTGGTTTCCCAAACCTGCGCAATAACCACCGGTTTCAGCCCACTAACCGAGAAGCTCGTACCAGGGGAAAAGACTCGAGAGACTCGGAGCCAAGGCTCAAAGTCATCACCAGCTGTGCCTCGGGTAGCGCGATCGAGTCCTCCTGAGGGCGTAGGCGCGACGCGACCGGAGATCCTTTGATCTGAGTGAATCCGATGTTCAAGTCTCATTCATCTTGAGCTACGTATACGCTCATACAAATTGACGTGGGGCCTAGGGGTCGAAGCACCTTAGGCAAAATGACCTTGCCTTTGTCGCGTTGTCGCTTTTGTTAAAAGCAAAGCATCGCAAGGACCGCCAACTCAGTGTTTTGGTCCCGCGTGCGTCATCGGCTTAGACTGGCCACGCGTCAGTCATCGGCTTGGACTGCGAAACAGAGCTCCAAAGTTATCTTTCCCTGACAAGTATGCCCTACTGAGCAGGAGCCCCAGTGGTTTTGCACCCAAACAAAGGGAACGAGACACCAAATTCAAATCCCGAGAATCAACGCACAAACTTCTCAACCCCGAAAGCTCCGTGCCCCATACAGCAGAAGCTCATGGAAACCGTCCCTTCATTGGGAGCAGGCACTCCCCTCCAATTTGGGCGGGGGCTTGACACGCGAATTCGAATCGCCGTCCTCGAGCTTCTCTGTCTCCTTCATGAACCACAGCTGAAGCTGCGGGCCCTCCTGACACAAGACCAGCCGGCTCGCCTGCGCCACCCACGCCTGGCGAAAGCGGCAAGGATCTTTCACCCAGAAGGCACCCAAGGAAGTTGGACAAGATGCGGGTTCTGGGGTGTGTGGTGCAGGGCTCCTTGTGCTGTGTCTCAGTTTCTTTGTTGACGTTGCATTGGTGATGATGTGTCTTGTTTGTCTTGCTTCCATTTCCAAGAGAAGGGAGCACAAGGCAGACAAAAGGGGATGGTCTTAAAGGGGCCCTGCACAAAAACTGCGTTGTGGCTAGTTGCTCGGCCAAGAGAGGTTACTTCGGCCAAGCCAAAGCGTAGCCCAAGGGCTGGACTGTCATCTTGCGCTTTGGTCAAGCTAATGCGCGCAACCCAGAAAATGTGATCCCCAATTTAATGGTAGGCTGCTCGCCATAAATGCGCGGTGGAAACGAAGAAGGGCCACAAGGCTTTTTGCGATGGGTCCTACGAGTACAACCTTTCACTCAAGCCTTGGGGAGTTGAGCGGTTGTGGAAACCAATGCCCATTCCTACACCATCCATCGGAATGACCAATCAAAAACTAGGGTTCCCTAGACATATGAGGTCAAACAATGCCCTGTAAGGTAGCTAAGTGCCAAACTTTTACTTTGAAACCTTGCTCCACAAACACGTGGAACCAAAATGCTCTTCTGTGATGCAAAGCTGGGAATCTGCGTCTGCCTGATGACATTCAAGGCAACGCCCTTGAAGCTCCCCAAACACATGTTCCAGAATCCGGAGGCAAAGACAACGGTTCGACTGCTAAAGGATATCGAGAAAAAGACCCATTTGATGACAGCAAGAAGGCATCGTCGTCCTCGGCAAGTGGTGGCGAGTCAAAGGAGGAAAATACCACCAAGAAGATGAAAGGGACGGGACCAACGCCCAAGCGACGGGAGAGGTTGAAGGCCGCTCCCAAGCTGAGCTTGTGCACATGACCCGCTGGAGACCGAACCCGATCATGATGAAGGATTTGGTGAAGTCCTCGGTTGGCGGGCATGACAGGACCTGTTTCGGACACCCTGCTGATGAAGGCCCGGAGAGCCAGAATGACTACTGCAATGTCATCCACTACGAGCTCGAACAAGACGAAGGCAGTCACCTGCCAAGTCACAACTTGGACGCGGAGTTTATGAGGAAGGTGAGGAAGGACGGCAACTCCATGTTCTACGGAGTCGTGACTGAAGGTCTCCCCGAGTATGCTAAACTCTGCATCTTGCCGCCGGATCACGCCGAGTTCGGTATTTACCATGATTATGAAACTGGACAAAGGTGATTTCCGAAGAATCTCATCAGGGAGATGGGACAGTTGCAGATAAATTCCCTCTCCAGGGAAATGATCAAGTATCTGCGGCATAGGATCGGCAGGACCGTTGATCCCGAAGATGATTGTGGGAAGAGGCGGCTACTGTGTGATGACGCAGGGTGGGTCAAATTTTCGCAATATCGAAAAAACGGGGCTGCCAGTAGCTTCCATTTTAACTCGCCTGGGCGATTTTGTTTTCAAAAACGGGGGGGGGTTCTCCTTTTGGTGCTAGGGAGGCCACAAAAAAGCCCGCGGCCCCCGGCTCCGGCTCCCGGCTCGCCTTCTGCAGCAAGGGCGAGAAGGCGCTGCACTCCCGCGGCCGGCCCTGGCCCTGCGACTTGTGACTCGGCATTCGCTGAGGCGCGGCTTGCGGCCACGGGTTTTTTCAAAATCCAAATCGCACCCGTGAAGATCCCAACCAACCCCCACCAAAATAGGTTCTAAAATGGGTGGTGCGCCTACCCGTTCAGCTTTCACGCTTGTGTTGTCCCCGGTTGTTTGTTTTTGTCTATTCAGTGTGGGGCACGCAGGCGGACCCTGCAACCGGAGCAGCTTCCGTTTCGGCTCCACCCCTCTACCAGTTGGCACTTTCACAATGTCGGCTGCTTGGATTGGACAGTAAGGCTCCTCGGGTTCTCCCACATAAGCTCATACAGTGGCGCCCTTGTGCTGGGTCAGGAGTCCCTTGGCAAATATGATGTCCATCTGCAAAGCCGTGTCATTTCGCAAGCTTGGCTCAGTCGTGCAAGTCTGTGGGCAAAAGAGTCTTCGCGTTTAACTCCCACACTCAGGTAGCTTAGGGACATTACATATCTTGCTGATTCGTCCCTGATTCAGATCTGCATCGTGACTGGCTGTGCAAAGTCCACGCAAGCTCCGATCTCGAAACTCAAACCGCTCCAAATGTTCGACCGAAGTGTTTTGTTGCTTAGGCTGCTTGGCTTGGCATGCCGACATCACTTTATTGTTCTCGCCCAGCTTAGGCAGTTGCCCTTTGCGAGTCAAATGTTAAGGGCAGGTCCCTGCACTCTCCGTCGGCCCACTGGCTTCAGGAGAGCCGTTTCGGCCAAAATGTCGACGGCGCCTGCTTCACGAAGAGGCGCCCCGCCACGCCCCCAGACACAAAGTTGGGCGCCTGCGGGGCTTTCGTGAGTGCAGGAACACACGAAACACGGGCCTTCCCCACAGCACAAATAAGGCTCGTCGCCATTCCCGGGATTGAGGGATGAAGGCTCATAACAGCTGGGGATTCAGTAGTTTCGACTGCTGAGCCCCATGAGAAAAGTTTGAGGAAAAGGTTAGACGGTTGGACCCTACCAAATCTAAATGGAAAATGTGCTACGATGGAAACAGGGCTCAACTTTAGGGCTGTGTCAAAAAACCCGAGCCCGTTCGGCCATCTGAGGTCATCCGTCACTCTGCTTTGATCTAACTTTCCATCAACTACTGCTTGTGCATGGGGCGCAAAGTCCAAAAGTCACCGAAGGATGCTCCACTTTCAGTGGAGAAGGGGATTGCAGCCTCCGCGGTGGGATTGCCCCAACTTGTCACTCTCCGAGGCAAAGGGGAAAAGAACCAGCACTCTTCATTCACATTGGCACTGGAACCTTTTGGAACTGTCTTTGAGGGTTAGGGCCAACAAACAACCAAACAGAAGGACCCCCAACAATCCGACAAGCAACACCTCAACACCCAAACCCCCTCGAGCCCCCCCACCCCCCCGTGCAAAACCCCTCCGCACCATCCGCTCCTCCGCCTGCGCCGGCGCTTGCTGAGGCTCTAGGGCGATGGCGCGGATGTCATGCTTGTGGCCTTAGCAAGGGAATGGGTTGCTTTGGGGTCAGTAGATCCCAAAGCAGAGGAATGGAAAGCCAAAAGGCACAGAAGGTCCTGTCCTACTCTCAAGGAAGCCAACGATTCACCTAAGCCATGGGCCCCTGGGTTCTGCTCGTTCTCCCCCCACCCTCCACCAATTAACATGGAAGCTGGCAGGGGGTCCCTTTAAAAGGAGAAACGTCTTCCAGGACCGCCCAGTCAGGTTCCACGCTAATTGGTGGGAGGGTACCTCAATTTGCGCCACCAGAAAATCGCATTGATTGTCAGCCTCTGGCCATGCTTAGGTGATGATGATGCCAAATGCCCCAGACCCGACCAGCCCAGGCGCAGATGTGCGCGTCGCGGAAGACCCACCGCTCCTGGCCCGCGAGCACCAGGAGGTGTTTTGAATTTTGGGCGGGATCACTCCGCAACATGAAATGCCCTCTAAGTAGTGGTTCAAAGGGGAACCACCCCAAAGAAAAGGTCTGAGAACCCCCGAGATGAAATTACTTTAAGGGGGAGGCGCCGTTGGCCAACACGGCATATCAGGTCCCTTGTCCCCCATGTCTGCCCCGCGGGATATGAAGGATCCTCAGCCTCTTTTCCTGGGTCAAATTCTCCGGTTACGTGGAAGGCCACGGCCTTTGAAAGTGCAAGCCGCCCACCTCAATCCACAACTCTCGTATCTTCATATGTTGTAAATCCCCAGTTGATGGTCCAAAAAAGCCCACACCCCACCCTACCCACCCCACCCCACCCACCCCACCAACCCCACCAACCCCACCAACCCCACCCACCCGGCCCCACCACACCCACGCATGCCGCTCCTGGCCAGGGGCACCCCGCGCAAAGAACGAGACCTTGGCATCGATGCCACCGCTGAGTAGCGCCGTGCGGCTGGCCGCGAGGGCCAGCACGTCCCCCTGGCGAACCGCTGGCCGTGGGCCGTGCGTGTTGGGTACCCTTGTCATCTTGGCTTCAAGGGAAGCCAAAAGAAACACTACTTTTTTTTGTTGCCCCCCCAGTTTTGACACATACCCCTGTTGTGGTAGCTTCCCCATGTCCAGGCGTCCTGCTTTCCATAAATATTCCCAAACACCAGGCAAAAGGGGCTGGCTTTGAAAAGAGCAATGCAACAGAATGGGGAATCAACCACTAGACTAATTGCGGCTTGCCCTCAAATGGCCCTGCACCAACTATAGAATTCAACCAATTGGCTACGGGGATTTGAGCCCCCTAAAAATATTTTGCAAATACCCGCATTGGTGATTCTAGCGCACATCTGGCATATCGTTTCCACAAACCAAACCCCCAGAGCTGAGAGTCAGGAGTATGAGCCTACAAAAAACATACTGTAAAGTAGGGTCTCTCACCGGAGTCTGGCCCGCCTGCTACCTGCGAAAGCGACATACCGAAAAGATTGTAGCAAATTGACATGGAACCTGCACAAGAGCCCACCGGAAGGAAAATCTTCTTTCGGGCAGGAGGGGGCGGGTTGTCTCTCAGATCAAATCGCAGTGGCCACTGCTCATGACCAAAACGCAAACTTCTCCCTGGCAAGTAGGAAGCAACTGCACCACGTGTACTTGAGAAAGCACCCAAACAGCCACAAGCTCCGCAGGGTCCCAGCGAACAGCCAGCGGATCGAGCCAAAGCTTCGAACGCAGCCAGCCTGATGCTGCACGAAGCGATGCAGCACCACCGAGGCGACCTCCAGCGCAAACGGCGGAGTCGGGAAATTCGTCTTTGGCCAACTTCGAGCAACCCAGCCAACAAAGGGCGCCGATGGACAAGCGGGTGCGGCCCTAGGGGTGGTTTGGAATGCGGTAGCTTTATGCGACTTCCCATCCAGTGGAAATGGAGATGAAACAGGAGCGACCTTTACATACAGCTAAAACCACTCCCTCCCTTGACAAACGGGGATGAATCACATCTCTCAGCTCTAACTCCTCCCCTTCCCGCAACAACTCGCATAAAAGGGGGAGAGCGTGGCTTCAGAAAGATTGACGCCCGTTGTTAGCGAAATCTGGGCCTGTCTCCTTTGGGAACCTCTCTTCGCATGGCTCCAAAGCGAAAGACCAAGGATATCACTTCGAAAAATCCCGAAGTTTGAGAACCCTATTTCCGAAATCAAGGTACCCAGTTGAAGGGCGAAGCGTAAGGGCTCTACCGCTCGCAGCCCAGGGGCCGTGTCCCAGATCTGCACCAGACCCAGGCTATCCCCGCTCGCCAGCATCGAGTCCTAACCCATCGGCTTGTTTTGAGGGAGGCTGGATCTGAACTTCGAACGAGTTGTCCCTAGCAGCTAAAACGCAGAGCCTCTGCAAAGGGAAACCCGAAGCACACCAAGCGCTAACTTTCAAACACGTGGGTGAGAAATGGGGGGCCCTAAAACGGAAGGCTCTGTGGACAGAAGCCATGCATCATGTTTGCTACAATTTGTACTACCCCTTTTCTGGGGTCTCCTCCAAAGCTATTGTATAGCGCGGGGGTGATTAAATAAACCACAATCTGAAATTCTGAGTTTCGCCCTATCTGAGACTTTCACTGGCCTGAGGGTCTTGGCCGTTTAAGGACACACCTTGCCACCCCGCCCAAAAAAGAAGCAATTCTCAGAGCGTACCAAGGGATCCTGTGGGGATGCACATGGGGTGTACCAGAGGTTTGTCTTTGGGCGCGCTAGCAGGATGCAGTTGGTATTGATTTGAGTGGTGGCTTACAAGTATGGGTGTGTCAAGATGGCCTGGCAAAGGGGTCCCCTTTCTTGGAACGATCATTACTCGATCATTGGTACGGGCATAACATGTTTACTCTGTAGTAGTTCCTCCCTGGAGGCCCTGGTTTCAAGATGGCGGACATCTTCTTAGACCATAGGCTGCTGTAGGCTATGGCTCCCACCATTGACACGGTCAAAGACATGCAAACAGACTGGAAAAGGAGAGGATCCTCTGCCCAATGACATCTTCAAGGGCCTCCCAGCCACGTTCTTGCCAAGCACCTGCTTGGCCCTCTCTCTGAAATGTTTGCCAATGCAAGGGGGACAACCACACAAAACAGTCAAACATAGACAAACGGATGCCACTAGAGGTCTGGCCATCCCTACGCTCAGGCTTGGAAAGAAAGGAGCATTGTGCAAGCAGCAAATGGGAAAATACCTCCTGAATCAATTCTGCCACATAAGTCCAAACTTGTTTGATTCCGCAAAAGTAGAAGGTCCAGAGATTTTGTCAATCGCATTTTTTGACGCCGGCAACGCCACACAAGGTGGGCACAACATGACATGACGGTTACACCTGTAACCAAAGGCTCCATAGCATCTTCACTAGTTTATTTGGTTAGTGCCCCCCCCCCCCCCCTTGCGGGAAAGTGGGATGCATTTTTTCTTATGAACACATAATCACTTGCTCCGTTGTTCAGCCTTTGGCCGCGGCCTGGAAAATGCGAAGAGGGCCAGTCCTGAAGGCTGACCAAGCTCCAAACCAAGGTCTGCCCGCTCGGGGGCCGCTCCAGCTTCATGCCTCGGACGAGCTGCTTTGGCGGTTGCCAAAGCCGCACATGTCTGGCTTTGGACCATCCATAATTCTCAATGGTAATTTGTGTTGAGTGGGGCTGAACGCCACCCCCTTTACCACAGTCCAACGCCTCATCTTCTAAAACATTGGCTTTCCATGGCTTTCCGCATGCACTGCGGCTTATTGAAACCTTCATCGGAGCCCTCAATTGATTGCAACCTGCAACGGGGCCTTGTCTTCAACATGTTCTAGTTATTTCGAATTGCAATGTGAGCTTCCGCTCGGTGGGGTGACGATGCTCACATCTCACCCGACCAAGAGCCACATCTGGTAGGTTCGCTTTCAACAACCGAGGCACGCCTCCCCCCCAAAAAAAAACGGCAACACCTGGAGGGCCTCCAAAGGAGCATGGCCAGACCATTGGGGACTGCAGGCGTTGGGAGTGCTCCCCTAAAATGTCACGGAGCCCATGACGAGAGTTGTGCCATCCAAGGCACCCCCTTCGCAAACGCCAGTCTCCTGGGCGAGCGAGGGGGCGAGTGAACCAGCAACTCGGAAGGGGCCGGCCCTGAGAAGGGGCCGGCACTAACAGGCGGAAATGCGGTGTAAAATCTTTATGTCGTCGCCACACTGTAGATGCGTGAGAGACCCTTTTGACAAGGAACCCATTTTTTCAGCTGGGAAGGTGCCCCTTGCCACACATGTTGGTTTGCATCATGGACATTTGAGTGGCACATAACATAGGGTTCTATGACCAGACACGCCGCTGTACCTCCAAGGGTTCCCCTTTTTGCGAACTGGGTAGCCATGTAAACACTTAAAACTTAGGCCCATCCAAAAAGGAAAATGGTCGCGACTTGCGCCCACCACATAGCATGTATATAGATCGATGTGGCAACACACGCCGGCTCCAGGCTGACACCCGTAGAATCCCAGTGGAATCTCAGTGGAACCCATCCGAGTTGCCAAGGACCACTTGGTGATGCGGCTGTCGGACCCCCCGGCGAAGACAAAGGATCCCTCGGAGGCCAGGCTGAGAATCCTCTCCGAGGCCACGTTGATCCGGCGCGCGTACCTTGCACTCAGCAAAAAGAATATGCGTCGTTCGATGTGAAGCTCGTGGCAAACTCCACGAAAAAGAAAACCCCCTCAGCCTCCAGAGCCGTGGCACCCTAGGCACCTGAGAATGGGGTGCCAATACTTTTATTTTCAGTCCCTAGCCTTCAGTCTATGTATAAAATCCCATTTGGGACTTCCCAGTGCCAGCGCCTTTGAACAGATTTGTGGCAGCTCTTCTGCAAAGGTGTCATACTGACCAGGACAGCATGCTGCCTGGTCGGAAACGAACACAGCCAGGAAAACAGGCCCCCAACCCAGGAGCTCAGGCGCTCAAAAGTCAAAGGCTGCAAAAGGAAGCCAAGCATCAGGCCTTGTAACCTGCAGCCTGAAACTTGTTCCAAAGCCAAGCTGGAAAGGCTGGTTGTGGGCATCTCTCTCCCTCCCTCCCCCCCGCTCTCTCTCTCTCTCTCTCTCTCTCTCTTTCTTTCTTTCTTTCTCTCTCTCTCTCTCTGTTTCCCAGTCTGATGGTCCTGGTCACACCTCACACCTGCTGGCTGGGTCTGGAGCCCCCCAAACTCCTGGAAATCAATCTCCTGCGCCTCCCCAGAGCCCCCCGCTGCCTAAAAGCCCAAGTTTCGAGGAAGCCAGGAGCGACGAGCGACAAGATCCGATCAAAACAAACATCTTGCTTTGGTTTCAGGATCCCATAGGGGAGACATGGGAAGGCCACGCTCTTTCAGGCTCCTTAATGGCCCGTAGTCTCACAGCTGCTATCAAGTAGGCCGCCATAGGGCTTCCCGCCACCATGCTACCTGCCCCTTCGGAGCCACTCGGCCTCTCCCTCTCACATCCGGGGCGCATCATCGACCCGACGCCACCCTCCAGCGACACGACTCGCACTGTGCCGTCGTCACAGGCCGCACAGAGCGTTTTGCTCCTGGGCTTGGCAAAGCTGCAACCATAGCCGGCCCAACCAACCCTCACAAGGGAAGCGGGAAATGTAAGCTGGACATTGGTCTGTGTTCCATTGCCCCCGGGTGGTGCAGCTTGGGGGTAAAAAATGAAAACCCTCCCAGAGGCACACGGCCTTGGCAGTTGTTACGCGGGAGGGGGTAGAGTAGTGCACCCCACCTGGCCCTTCCCACAGAAAAATGGAACGACCAAGCCCAAATTGTCCGTTTCAGGGGGCCTTTGGTTAGAGAGGCATGTGGCCGGAACTTCAGCTTTATCTTTTCCGTGCTTGACATCTTCTGCTTCGCATCCAAATGGCCATACGTTTTGAGGATATCCTCAAAGACCTTCAGTCATGTCCCCCAAGGCCTCCAGCTCCATGGCCAGTCCAACCACATGACAAAAGGGGCTCTTCTGAGCCGCTTGGCACTATGGCGATTTGTGTAACATGTGGCACATATGGTTGAACACGTGTGTTTCTTAATAGGGGGCCAAATGGAGAACCACCAGTTTTTGGAGGGTCCCCTACAAAGAAAGACTCACCCACAATGGCCCACGCGCCGAACCGTCTGCTTGCGTCGGACGAGGCGCCCTGCGGCGCAGAGGGCCCAAATGGCCCCCCCGCCGCTGGCCAGGGACTCAATGGGCTCCAGGGTCTCGGGGTCCCACCTGAGCACAAGGGGTGCACTCAGTGGACAGGGAGAAACCCGTCAATGCGAGGTCTGCTCTTTGCTCTGGATTTTTGCTTGCCGTCTTTGAAATGATTTCTTGCCCGAGAGTGAGTGTACCCCCCCGATGCTCCGATGCTTGAGTTTCACGCCAGGCTCCTGCGATCCGGGTGCCAGAAGAAACCCAACGGTCAAACACCTGGCCCGAAAGAAAGCCACTGGCCCTCATGGCTGTGAATCCGCGAGGTTTCCGGAAGCTTCCCGTCATCTTTCAGCCTTCTACCCCTCTGGAAACAAAAGCTTAGGTTTGTGGGCCTGCTTTGGAGTCGTTTCTTCAAGAAATCCCCAACAAAATTCTATGCCGAGCTGGACGAATAAGCCACCTTTTGATACCTGGAAGGCTCGCTACCTCTGAGCCTTACCACCACGGTGAGAAAACAGAGCTGTGTCCTTCTTGTGACTGGCGCATGTTCGAAGGCGAGCCTACCGCTGGGCAGCCTTTAAAGTAGTCTTCAGGGCCTGCTGACACAGTTCAAAAAAGTGGATTCGTAGGAGGCCATGAACCAGGCCCAGGACCTTAAAACATGATCGCAGGCGGAATGCGGGCCTGGGCTGTCAACATTTAAACTTGTCAATCTGGCTCAAGTTTTAGGGGGGGTGAAGTTCAAACTTAAATTTTCATTCCAGTTGCCACAAGGGGAAAGGGCAGCAAATAACAAGCTTCAGAGTTCAAAGTTGATTGGTCGTGGGCGAGGGGGGCAAACGGACACCTCCCGAACTTCTGAGACCTGCCCCCGAAAAGGCCTTTAAAGCCTTTAACGAGGCTGACAGAGGCTTTTGGCTTAGTAGAGGGCCATATTTGGGCCCCAAAATGATGAGTTCCCTTTGGCTTCCCTTGCAACCCACTAAAGTGGCATCTAGACAAACAAAAGACACACCCATTTGCCTGGGGACCCGCTTCAGCCACGCCGCTCCGTGATCTCCCGGTGAAGGCCGCCGGAGATGAGGCGGCCCTGGAAATGATCGTCAATGGTAATCCCTTGACTTTGGGTTCTACCAACATAGACGTTAACATACCAAAAAGAGAGAGCGAGCGAGATACAAATTAGAATGCATACCTATACATACATATATATATATATATATATGCATTCAGTAAATATAGTAATCCCCATCAAACCAAATAGTAGGACCACCTATACACTAAAAAAATGCCACTGGCCCTAGGAAAGATTGTTTCTTTCTGGTTTCCCACTAGCTTTCCTTTCAAACAACCCGCAAAAATGGCCACCCCAAAAACGAGACATGCACGCGATGGGGCGCCGCCTTTTTTCACCAAAAGCGCTGGGCTAGTGGCAAAAACATGTCTAGACCCCGCTGGCGTCCTTCAAAAACAAATGAGCGAGATGAGCTACTGAGCCCCGACTGAAAATGACAAAAACAAACAGACCGGACAAGACTAGGCACGGCAAGGCAGGGCAGGGCGAGGCAAGACAGACAGACAGGACAGGACAAGACACAAGACACGACACAAGTCACAAGACAAGACCAGGCACAGGACACAGGAGACAAGACCCAAGACACAAGAGACGAGACAAAACAACAAGCAAACACGCACACAACGAAGCAAACAAGCAAGCAAACAAACAAACAAACAAAAAAACAAACAAACAAACAAACAAACAAGCAAGCAAGCAAACAAACAAGCAAGCAAGCAAGCAAGCATACAAACAAACAACGCTCAGACGTCCTGTAAACGCGCGCTGTTTTTCGTTCTTTCCCCCCTGTAATGGCCGCAAAAACGCGCAAATCAAATGGTTTTTCACAGGTTTCGAGCAAGTCCAGCATGTATGGATGGATGCAGTGCTGGCATGGATGCATGGATGCAGTGCTGCGCGGGTGCACTTGAACGGGTGTTCTTACCATTTGGCTGGCATGGATTCCGTGCTGCGCGGGTGCACTTGAACGGGTGTTCTTACCATTTGGCTGGCATGGATGCAGTGCTGCGCGGGTGCACTTGAACGGGTGTTCTTACCATTTGGCTGGCATGGATTCAGTGCTGCGCGGGTGCACTTGAACGGGTGTTCTTACCATTTGGCTGGCATGGATGCAGTGCTGCGCGGGTGCACTTGAACGGGTGTTCTTACCATTTGGCTGGCATGGATGCAGTGCTGCGCGGGTGCACTTGAACGGGTGTTCTTACCATTTGGCTGGCATGGATGCAGTGCTGCGCGGGTGCACTTGAACGGGTGTTCTTACCATTTGGCTGGCATGGATTCCGTGCTGCGCGGGTGCACTTGAACGGGTGTTCTTACCATTTGGCTGGCATGGATTCCGTGCTGCGCAGGTGCACTTGAACGGGTGTTCTTACCATTTGGCTGGCATGGATGCAGTGCTGCGCGGGTGCACTTGAACGGGTGTTCTTACCATTTGGCTGGCATGGGTGCTGCGCCACTTGAACGGGTGTTCTTACCATTTGGCATGGATTCCGTGCTGCGCGGGTGCACTTGAACGGGTGTTCTTACCATTTGGCTGGCATGGATGCAGTGCTGCGCGGGTGCACTTGAGCGGGCGTGCCTATCGTGAGTGTGAATTTCCATATAATTCCCGCGTTTTACGTGGTAGTGGCCGGACATGCACGAAACCTGTGAAAAACCATATGATTTGCGCGTTTTTGCGGCCATTACAGGGGGGAAAGAACCAAAAAAAGCGCGCGTTTACAGGACGACCGAGCCACAAACAAACAAACAAACAAACAAACAAACAAGCAGTCAAGCAAGCAAGCAAGCAAGCAAGCAAGCAAACAAACAAACAAACAAGCAAGCAAGCAAACAAACAAACAAACAAGCAAGCAAGCAAGCAAACAAACCAACAAACAAACAAACAAACAACCAACCAAACAAGCAAACAGAAGAAATAGAACAAATGAGCGGTAAACAACTCAAATGAGCGGCGAACAAGAAGTATGAAGTTCGCGGTCTTCAGGATCGGTGGGCTTTGTTTCAGGACATGACATCGAAGTTGAGATACTAAGTTACAGGACATGTAAGAACATGTCCTCCAAGTAGCTTTCTAGAAGCAAAACTTCTCGTGCGCGCAGAAAGCATGGCAGACCCCTTTCTCGCCGCCCTGCACATGGCTACTCCAGCCCCTTAGCTTCTTGGCGAGGCTTCGCTGGTGCCCGCCCTCCTTCCCCTCACTCCATGCCCCTCCCACCCCTCCCACTCCAAGCCTCCAGCCAGAGGATGGTGCGAAAGGACCGTCTCGCCTTCCCAGGGCTGGAGGCGAGTAAGTGCCACGTGCCCGTGTCCCACAGCTCCAAGGCGCCTCAGCAAGCAGTGTCACCACAGGGAAAGCGGACGGTTTGACACATGGGGGTTGGTCTTTACTCTGTTGCCACTGCTAGTACCAACAGGATCCCTTTCGCCGGCCCTTACGCCGCTTTCGCGGCGTGCCTGCGCGCGCTACAGCTCCTCTGAGCCTTCGGCCTATTTGATTGCCTGCTGGGGCAGCTTTTAAGGCATGCCCTCCAGCTCGGTTTCTAGCCGATGAAATCGAAACTCATCTTGGGGAGTCTTGGCTGCGGCTGCACTGGACATCACAAAGCACCAAAATGATGTTCTTCGGCAGGAAAACGAGTTTGGGGGATCCCTCAAACAGCTGCGCCCAGCAGGCAAACAGTAGGTTCACGTGGTGGGCCTGGAACAAGGATGCGCGACGCCCGCTCACTCGCATGAGAACTCCCCAAAATTGTTTTCATCGGCTGGAAAAGCGGTTTGGGGCAGCCGCTCAACAGGCTATTCTGGTGAGCTCCCGTGAGAATTCCCCAAAGTGATGTTCATCAGCTGGAAAGAGCTCCCGTGAGAATTCCCCAAATTATGTTCATCGGCTGGAAAACGAGCTTGGGGCAGCAGCTGAAAAGCCTATTCTGGTGAGCTCTCAGGAGAATTCCCCAAAGTTACTTTCATCGGCTGGAAAACGAGTTTGGGGCAGCCGCTCAAAAGGCTATTCTGGTGAGCACCAACCAAACAAGGACCTTTGCCACCCCTACTTTGATGAACCCAAAGCGCGCATGGAAGGTGGGAACCACGAAGGGTATGTGTTCCAAATGGTGTGCATCTTACATCAGCCCACTCCTAGTTTGGACAGTTCAATGTCAGTTTAGTCCCCAATTTTGACAACTTCAAATAAGCCACAGCCACACCATGATTGACATGGAACAATTAGCAGGCCCCTTGCTTCTCGCACGAAAATTTCCGGGGGTCCCCTGCTCCGATCCATTGGACCATCTGGCCACTTTGACCCGCGAGCCCACGGACCAAAGCGATTGCCCAAGGCGCCGCTGGCCCGGCCCACTGCCAGGCGCTGGGATCTCTCCTGAGGGCGGCGGTCTTTTCACGTGCCCACTGCAAAGCATCACCGGAGAAGCAAGAGACAAAACACACACAGAGAGACACAAGCGCACGTGAGAAGCACATGCAAGGACCCCTCAAAAGACTCGGATCACCTTTGTTTGGGCAAAGGGCTGATTGGTGTTCGCGAACCCCTTGCAACAACACAAAAAAACCCAGAGTTTCCATCTCAGGGTGACCAAAAATGCGCAAAGTCCGCGCCGAGCCGCCGAGCCCTTCACCGGCTGGAAGGCGAGTGCGTCGATGGCGCTGGGCGTCCACTCGCAGAGCCGCGTCTTCACCAGCTCCATGGCTGCGGACGCCGGCGTGCGCCTCTTGTGGTGCAAATGAGTGCCGTTGGCGCCTGCTTCGCTGCGTCGCAAATGAAAACTGCCGTTGGTTCTGAGCTTGAAAGGCAAGAAATGAAAGCCTTGAAATGGAGGGATGGGTGGAAAATCGACGGGGACAAGGCACATGTAAAAAGAAACTGTGATCAAGGTGTGGCCTTCAGGAAATCTGCAGATGTTGGATTGTTAAACTTCCGATAATCAACAGGTCTGTACATATATACACGGTTGCCCATGCCGGCAGTATTGCAGAGTCGTGCAGTGCACATACTAACATTTGCATATATGTGGCCCTGTGTGGATGCCGCTCAGTTTCCCCATCTGAGCGCATGATCTGTGCCTTGTGGCTGAGGCTCATCTCTGGTGGGGAGCCTTGCTTGTCTAGGAGGGATTAGGCTCAGATCTGCCCGGGGGCCGCCTCTGACGCTTCCGCTGGACAGCCCCGGCTGCGGAGAGATCGGGCGAGACATGGCGGAAAACCGTGAGGCCCAAATCAGAAAAGGTTACTTTGCCCAAAGGAAGGCATGTTCCTCTTAAAGGGGCCTTCTGGCATAGTGGATGGAAGGGTAGGCAAACTTGGACCCCCGAAGATGAAAGCCGTGGGGATGCATTCTATTTCAACCTTGCGGTGTCGCTAGTATTTGCCCAAATGTTTGGCAACAAGACACAGCGATAATGTAACCACTGATCGATTTTTCAGGAACACCCTCACAAAACTACATTCTACATCAAGTTGAATCTCCTGCCAGGTTCCCACAACCTCCAGCACCCTGTGCCTGCGCTTTGCACACCGTTCGCCTGCACGCAGAAAGGGGACATGCTAGCGAGCGCGGGGACCGCCATCCCAGCCAGATGTCCATGAATCAACATGAAAGAAAGCAATGCAAAGTCCTGGTCTTGACAGGTGCCAGTTCAGGGACAAACAGCTTGTTTTGGGTCCTTGGGCTCAGTGCTGGTGATGGAGGCGTCTCAAAGCACGGAAATGTTCAACGCAATTACGATATGTCGGTCGAGCCGGTGGGGAAAGCAAGTCATTCCGGATGATCGACCCGAGAAACAAAGAAAAGAGCAAAGAGCAAAGCTGGCCAATGCCAAAACTCAGACATGCATTGCACCATCAAAACTCTTTCCCATACCCAGGGCCAAACCAAAACAAGCCCCTTGAACTTTGAAATCGCCCATATCTTCCGTTTGAAACCGAAATCATTCAGGGCTGTCGGCGAACGTTTGCGGAATAGCTTTCAGGGAGGCAAAAGTGGCTCCCAGTACCATGCAGACTGAAGACAGCGCCGAGCTTGTCTATTGCCAAGAGGAGTTCTACCATCTTCAGCCGCTTGATTTTGAAAACAGCAACGCCCCAACTAAGGCAAACCCTGCACCAGCCACACTGTGCAACGGCAATGTCAAGCAAGGCCCCAGGGGAAGCATAGGAATGCGGTTCCAGCTGCTGTGGCAGGGAGGGGCTTTTCTGCTGCGAGGCGAAGGCAGCTACACCTGTTCTGCCGGAGGCCCTCTGGGTGTTAAGAAAGGAAGTCTCAAAGAAAACAAGCACCCTTCCCAAACGAACATGGGATATGAATGAGGTCCTTTTGAAGGAATCCTTGTTCATGTTTTCGGGCTGGTATCCGTCGTGCCTTTGCGCAGTGTCCCTTGAAACAGCCCCTCAAAAGCGCTGTGACAACTCAAGAAAAAGCACACCCCATAGGTGGCCTTTTGGAAAAATAGATGGCCCTAATAAATGGAACAAAACCCATCTAAACCAGTGCCATCTATTTGCAACCAGGCTCACCTAAAAAGGACAGCAATGGGGAACACCCATACGGTTGATTTGCCCCCGGATCTGCAGACTCTACAGTCCGGTTCGCTCGGCTTCCGCCAGCACCGACCCGTGGACCGTTGACTCACCTGTCGACCCGTCGACCCGTTGCCGGGATCTGGGTCCATCAAAGTTACACTCCCAACATTCCCCCCTGCGAAATGACAACCCACCCCTCACAAAATGGGAACCCCGAACCCGACATGTTCACTTCAACCAGTTTCAAGCGTGGAGCGGGGAGCTACACCAGGTATGGCTGACCTTCGATACAAGTGTTTGGTTTGCCTGTCATGTCAAGGGCTTCCTCCATAGGCCCCCCCTGTAACAAGCCATCCCAGGCAACATCGCGACTTCAGATACGGGCTGGGCGTGGTGGAGGCCGTCTCCGGCGGCCAGCCCTTGGGCTCAGCCCGGCTGATCTGAGCGCCCTGGTCAAAGCTTGACGCCTATGGCTTGGACACTCAGCTCAGAAATGCACCCCTATCCCACTTCGCTGTTGCTGTTTTTGAAGCAGGGACCAACATTGGACAGTGTTGTGGGTGGTCTTTTGGTTGAACCTTTGGCCGCACCCAGGAAAGGCAGCTTGGATCGAACAGCCTCCCCATGAAGATTTAAGTTCCATCACCATCACCATCACCATCATCATCATCATCAAAACAAGGCAGGTGGAATATGAGCATGGTTGTGGGAAATACTTTGATACGGGGCAACATGGCCATAAGCTGGATTTACTGAAGAGAGAAAAGCCCAAATCAGAAGGGCGCGAGCGCAAGGGCTGGCCTGTGTCAGCTCCCCGCTTTAAATGGGCAGGCAGGTCCGGCGGTTTGGGAAGAGGACCCGCCTGGCAATCCGTCCGTTCCTCAAGTCACATCCAGGGAACTTCTCTAAGCCAAATCGAGGCATGCGGTGCGTTGCATACGTTTCCTCTTCGGGGTGCCAGAATGAGGCGCTCTATTGAAACACATCATGGAATTGGGACATGTTCTGAGAGCATAATGGTTACGTCATGTTGTGTCCCCCGAATATGGCCAGGCAACTGCAGACACGTGCACACTGTGCGCCAGCTTAGGCATAATTTCTGCTCGCAGTTGCAAACCCCCCCCCCTCCCCCCCACCGCACTAAGCTGAGCAGTGGCACAGCTTCAGGCCAGAAAACACGGCCGGCCCTCGGTGTTCAGGCATCCAGCGGCATTGCAAATCACAGCTCTAGGAAATAATGTGAGCACTCAATTGAAAATCGTGCCAGATTCCGTGGCAGCAGCCCGGCCAAATATGCCTGATGCACTGCGAAAAGGCCGGCCATGTGGAGGCGCTGATTTGTACACCTTCGTCGCTGCCCAAAGCTCTTCACTAAACGTTCCAACGCGGAATTGCACATCGCTAAAGCCTGAGCTCCGAGGCAGGTTCTGGGAGTGCACCAGAAAACCTTGGACAGCACTCAGCTTGCGCCTCCATGTCCCCAAAGGAAACATGGAGGTCATGAAAACGTTCCATGACTTGATCGAAGGATCTCAACCCTCCCTCCTAACGCCTCCTAACCTCCCTGATTCGCCACTTAGCCCCTGGTTTCGAGGGCGCCTTGGAGGAAGGGATTGAGAAGTCCGAGTGAAACAGGGCGAAATTGAACTCCGGAGCGAGCGAATGCCCGATCGGCGCTCTGGCTGGGCCGCTTGGCAGAGGACATGAGCCATTGTTCGACAAGTTCATCATGTATTGTGCTGTGGACTCGGTCTCCCTTGACTGGCTTTTGTTTGCACCGTGGCATGATACTTGCAACGGCGGTTCAGGTGCCTCAACATGATTGGCTTCATGAATGGATTCCTTAGCAGCAAGAAACAAACAAACAAACAAACAAACAAATAAGCAAGAAACCAAGCAAGAAACCAAGCAAGAAACAAGCAAACAAACAAACAAACAGACAAACAGACAATCATACCAACAAACAAGCAAGCAAGCAAACAAGCAAGAAACCAAGCAAGAAACAAACAAACAAACAAACAAACAAACAAACAAACAGACAATCATACCAACAAACAAGCAAGCAAGCAAGCAAGCAAGCAAGCAAGCAAGCAAGCAAGCAAGCAAGCAAGAAAACAAGCAAGAAACAAACAAGCAAGCAAGCAAACAAACAAACAAACAAGCAAGAAAACAAGCAAGAAACAAACAAACAAACAAACAGACAAACAGACAATCATACCAACAAACAAGCAAGCAAGCAAGCAAACAAGCAAACAAACGAACAAACAAAGCAACAAAAAAAAAGCAAGCAAACAAACAAACGAGCAAATCAAACAATGAAATAAGCAAGCAAACAACAGAACAACAACATTGATTGGAGAACCTTGTGATTACTACGGTTACTAGCTGATTCTGGCCCTCGAAGGACATCTTGAAACGGCCCCTCCAGAGTACAAATAGGTTTCGTAGATTTTCGTATTTGTTCAAGGCGGCTTCCACGGAATCCATCTCAGCTGCTGCCGTTTCTTTGCCGTTTCGACGCTCGGCTTCCCAGACTCCAGGCTCACGAAGGGGGGCGGCGGTCGGAGCGCTCGTTTCGCCTCCGCTCCCTGTCTTGCTCTTGCCAGCTGTGCCTCACGGGGCGTGGGAGCAGACTTTCGGTTTGACTCAGAAACTTGCTTTAGAGTTCCAAAAAGGGGAAAAGCAGGAAACCACCCATTTTTGAACTTTTTCTCTCTGTCTCTCGCTATCCTGTTTGAAGACAAGCCCGCTGCGCGGGGTCCAAAAATTGAGCATCCCCGCACAATATTGGTTCCTGCTGCCTTCCCTTCAAACAGCGAAAGGGGAATGACAAATGAACGGCTCCGTCTCAACATACTGAACCCCGGGTACCGCTGGTTCCCCTTCACATTCCTCGGGGCACGCCCTCGAAAAGTCGGAATGGCCTGCCGGCAAACCCGGCTTGAAGGACTCGGCCTTGACCAACTGCCCCCCCCCAAGCCTGGGGCGTGTCTTGGAGGCATGCGCAAGACAGAGGGTTGTGTACCCCATTGGTAGGGTTCACCCTGAAGGTGCGTTCCCTCCACAAGTCGTCCGGATCCCCAACTTGGCCCCCACTGCCCCCCGGGAAAAACTGAAGTCCGCAAAAAACCACCCTTCGAACATTCAGTTTGGGTGGGGACCATCCCTAAGCAACCCACAGTAGCCGGGAGCGGTGCTTTACCCCTAGACCGAAGCCAAGGAGCCGCAAAGCGCGAGCCAGCAGGCCCACCAGGTATCCAATGCCCTGCGCCATTTGATGCCTGGCAAGGTGCCAGTCAAACATCTCCCTGCCTAAAATTGGGCAAAACAAACCCGAAAAAACAAGCACACACAGACACAACTGGAATACTTGCCTCGATGAACCAAAATTAGAGCCACCTTCATCTTGCCAAACATGAAAAGGCCTTGACACAATTGAGGGAACCCAATCCAATTTGTTTGGACTGTAAAACGTTTGATTAACTTGGTGTCGTTCGTCCCCGCCGACTTTCTCAGGATTTGCCTAGCAAATCCAAGGGGCCCTGAAATCAGAATCCTTCAGAGCCTGGAGATCCAAAGCAGCAAGCCAGGCACCCCTCGCATTCCACATCCACTCCCCTCCCCGACCAAAACAACCCCCCCGGCAGGCGAGGCGCTCCCTGGGCAGCACATCCAGCACCAGGGCACGGGACAGGGACTGGCCCCGTCTGTTCCGCTCCTCTGCAAAGCCTCAAGCCGGATCGCGCCTCCAGCATCCCGGGGCTTTGAAACTGACGGCACCCATGGATCCAGAAACTAATGGCGTCTTGCACGTGGATCATCTGCATGGATGCTTCACAAATGAAAAGGCTTTGAAACTAAAGGCCACTAAACGCTTGTCAAAACAGGGGCGGCTGTTGATACTCGGGCTCGACCTGTTACCCCTACTTTGTGGCCGGTGCGCGTTCTTAACAACTTCACCCATCAAGATGTCCAGAACCATGCATCTGCCCTTGGGCTGATCCATTTTTGCAAGGGAAGGATCCTTGAAGACCAAGGGCGGTTTTGGAGACATGTAGCAAAGAACGAACACGTATACAAAGGGCAAATACTGCCTTCAAAGCTTTTCCACACCGCGCAAGCCCATACTCGAAGAAACAATAGATTGGGAAGTTTCGAGAAAGGTACAGCCAAAACACAGGATTCAAAACACCTGCCTTCACCTTTCAAACAAACTGGTTGATTGTCTTCAGCGTACGACATATGGCCTGGCAATCGCCCTTTAATTTAGACACAATAAATGGATGCTGGCAGGAAGGCAGGCCCAAATGAAACCCAAACCTTGGCTGTGTCCAAAACCAATAGCCTCACCTCAAGCAAAGAAAGCACCTACAAGTCTAGGTGGACTGTTCACCAACCGCAAATGATCAACCAGACATGGATCTTTGTAGTGTAGGGTTTTGTTCAACATCCGTTACCAACCCATGTTCCAAAAGAGTCACCTGGGTGTCCGAACCGGTGTCGCCTCCCGACATGCATGCCTTCCCCGAAAGGTTGCATATACTTTTGTAAAGGATGGACCCTTTACCCGGCAGAATTGCGTTGCCGAGCAAAATGGCCCCCAAAACCTTTCAACTGTCGTCACTTGCATTTCCCGTCCCAAACTTGACCCCAGATCTTGGGTGCTGAAGCGCCTGGGGACTCACAGAAAACCCCGGGCGGAGGAATCAGGATGGAAGCCAAGAGGCCCAGCATGAAGCCCCAGCCCGCCGCTGCCATGACCCCCCCGGCATAGGCCACTCGCCTGGCCAAATCGGCGGATAGTGGGCATGGATTGACCTGCCCTCCTGGCCTTCAAGGACCATCAAAGTCACCCACTTGGGTGGGTTAAAGGGAAACCCCACTTTCTCACGTTCATAGCCCTCAGACGCCACTAGACGGACCCTAGTTCCGGAAACTTTCAGGAGAAGCCCGAGGTTCCGGGACCCTCGCCGTCCTAGACCCGCCTTGGGGGTACCTCCCAGCTGGGGACCTGTTGAAATTCCGTGATCAGACTTAGGTCATGTTACATAGCATCCCCTCCAAAGGCCTTGGGGTCTTGCAACAAAGGGTCTAGGATGCTGCTCAAATGGTCATAAACTAAGCGAAGCTGTTCAGAGGTGATAAATTAGATGAGTGTGACTAATGATGCATATAGTGTGTATAGAAATTTCAGCCCCCCGAGAACAAACAAGCTAATCCAGACCGGAAGTTTTAAACACTTTACAGAGTATGTAAATCTGAAAGTTTGAGGTCCGTTGAGCGGGCCCCATTTTGACGCTCTCAGCAGACGGGACTAGTGGGCGCAGGCGCATACTTGAACAGACCCAAGGATCCGTGAAATATCAAAACCTTCAAACTACCAAGCATCACAGCGTCTCTGCATCTGCTGAATGCCTTGAAATTCATCTTGAAGCCAACAAAAGGCTTTACCGCACAAACTGCGCCCGACCCATGCTTTTTCCCCAAGCAAAGCCCTTGAGGGCAATCAAGCTTTCCCAAATAAACAAATCCCTTGAGACCAAAGGCGCTTAAGGACCACACAATTCCCGAAGATTCCCACAATTTTCTCCAACCCTCCGGCGCGCTCCGCCAGCTCTCTCTCTCCTTCCGGGCCCCCCGGCTCCAAACGGTTCATGTTGCTCCAGCGGTTTTTGCCACGAAGCCCGTCCTAACCGAGATGCCCGAAGAATACAAGTTCCATTTGCCTACGGCGTTCAGGGGCTACTAACACATTTGCCAAGAATGACCCTGAGAAAAACAAGAATAAAGTTGCCTTCGTCACATGGGGCAAACAGGTCCAAAGGTCGATCCGATTTGCCAAAGTGAGGTCCCTTCTGGAATTTCAACGTGCATCGCCCTTGTCCTGCGGCCACAGTGGTACTTTCACGGACTTTATTCGGGTTGGCCTGTGGGCAAGGCTTCAGCTGATCTCACCTATCCAGCCACAGGAAACGGAACCGTAAGCTAGGCTGTTCAGAATGGGTGGGAAATCAGTCAGGGGACACATGGAATGCCCCACCCCCCACCTTCAGTGTCCAGGCGGAGGGGCAAAACTGGGCCCGTGGCGCATGCTAAGTGCATCAAAGGCTCTGACACAGACTCCAGGAAGGTGCGATCGTCCTGCAACTGGCTTGATGCGGTTTGCACCCTTTGCTGTTGTAGATGTTTGTCTTTCTTTGATACATCTGCAGTATTAAGACTCATTAATTCATATCTGTATCACTTGCCCGGCCTGGGAGAGACCCGCCGAATCGCTGCCGTTCAAGAACTCCTGGGTGCCGAGTCTGGAAACACATGGGCCGACCAGATCTGCGCTGCCCGCGAAGGACAGGGGTAAAGGGCGTGCCTTTCGACTTCCCTTCGGGATAGGGGGGTTGTGGAACGTGTAGAACAGCTGTGGGCCTTTTGTTTCACACAAAGAAATGGCCCCTGCCCGAAAAGTGGCTCCTTTCTCCATGGCTTTACGCATCTCAATGCCACATCTCATGAAACGGGGTCATGCGTCGACAACAAGGGAGTGGAATCATCAAGTCCAGTGCGGGGCGCTCAGAGCCCGCTGGGCAAGCTCCAACCAGTACTTCTTGTTTGCAGCTTGGGTCGGATAAGGAGGGGTGGGCAAGCAGCAAAACCAAACAAACACAGACACAGACACAGACACAGACACAGACACGGACACGGACACGGACACGGACACGGACACGGACACGGACACGGACACGGACACGGACACGGACACGGACAAGGACAAGGACAAGGTCACGGACACGGACACACGGACACACGGACACACGGAAACACGGACACACGGACACACGGACACACGGACACACGGAACACACGGACACACGGACACACGGACACACGGACACACGGACACACGGACACACGGACACACGGACACACGGACACACGGACACACGGACACACGGACACACGGACACACGGACACACGGACACACGGACACACGGACACACGGACACACGGACACACGGACACACGGACACACGGACACACGGACACACACACACGACACACAGACACACAGACACACAGACACACACACACACACACAGACACACAGACACACAGACACACAGACACACAGACACACAGACACACAGACACACAGACACACAGACACACAGACACACAGACACACAGACACAGACACACAGACACACAGACACACAGACACACAGACACACAGACACACAGACACACAGACACACAGACACACAGACACACAGACACACAGACACACAGACACACAGACACACAGACACACAGACACACAGACACACAGACACACAGACACACACACAGACACACAGACACACAGACACACAGACACACAGACACACAGACACACAGACACACAGACACACAGACACACAGACACACAGACACACAGACACACAGACACACAGACACACAGACACACAGACACACAGACACACAGACACACAGACACACAGACACACAGACACACAGACACACAGACACACAGACACACAGACACACAGACACACAGACACACAGACACACAGACACACAGACACACAGACACACAGACACACAGACACACAGACACACAGACACACAGACACACAGACACACAGACACACAGACACACAGACACACAGACACACAGACACACAGACACACAGACACACACACACACAGACACAGACACAGACACAGACACAGACACAGACACAAACACACCCGCACACCACTTTGACCCATGCCCTTACAACAAGACGCGTACCTGTGCGCTGCCCCTCTTAAAAACCTGAGTCACTGAATTCTCTTCTAAGCTTGACTGGGCTTCACTCAGGAGATAGAATGGAGCAATGCTTCCAAAAAAGATGCGAACCTTTGATCAACCGAGTTGCATCCTGAAATGACTGGAGAATTTAAGGCGCTTGGCAAAGCAACATAACATTAGCAAACAGCTTTGCGTTGTACGCGTTTGTGCACCTTCCCAATACAGCTGTTAGGGGATGTTTGAGGGACATGGCGATTCGCCAACTGTATTTGGCCCTAGTTGGCCTCAGCGATGGGAGCAATGGGGAGGAGGTCCACAATCTGGACTTCCCAGATAAGAACATCGAAAGATGGCGTCATTTGCCCAAGACGGCCTCCCATGGTTCACCGGTTGATTCGTTCACGGCACCCCATGGCTTCCATGGCCCCGCGTCTCAGATCTCCTGCAGGCGCTGACCGTTCATCTGCAGCCGGCCGCGGCATACTGGGCAGGTGGCCTCACGCCCGTTGCGGCAGGAGTGCACCCAGCTCTGCAGGCACCTGACAAGGGACGGGGTTGCGGGAGGTGGGCCAGTGGTTTTTGTCGGGACCAAAACATAAAATCGGCCGACCTTGGACTGTGATTTCCGTAAGAATTGACAAAGGCGTTCTTAATTTGTAGCCTTTTGTGGGACATTGCCCCCCCAAAAAAGAAAAACAAACACTGGCCCAAGTGAAGGGTCGAAAGGTCGATGCGCAATGACAAGAAAGAGGCACATGCAGCAAACCCAGAGCCAAGTACATCCACAACTGCGAAGCTTGGCACGCTTTGGGAAGAGACTTTGGCACTTGGCGTCACCCCGAGAATGACCCAAGGGCAAGGCGAACTTTGGAGCGGGGGATCGATCGAAGGCAGCGGCGCCTTGCGTGGAAGTAGTGGTGCTGCCCGCCGGCGCCGCAGCACCGCATCGCCGCCTCCCCGGGGGCCAGCGCGTCGAAGCAGATGGGGCAGTCGCCATGCTCCTCCTGAAACGCGCGCGCGCCGGGAGGCAGAGGGAACTCAACTGGTTTGGATTGATGGTTTTGGAGGTTCCAGGGTGGCGTCATCAGCAATCAACCATACATTGAACCCGAAAAGTGCGTGGAGAAGTGGGAAGCCCCGCATGCCCCCAGCATCAAGCAACAATTCGGCAGCCCCATACTTCACCGCCCGAAGTGCCCATCACCCAGCGATCCCTGGAATCCGGCATCCCCTCATTATCCGCCTTTTGACCGTTCGGCCCATCCGCGACATCGAAGTTTCGGTACCATTTCAGCGCCTCGGGGTGAACCTCCTCAGAGGGCGCGGAGGGCAAGTGCAGCTCCTGTCCGGCAAATGGGGATGCCCAAAAATGTGGTCCGTGGGTTGGCAACGTCTTCCATTTGATTTGTCTGTGCCAAAACATGCATAGAATTGTATATATATATATATAGACAAAAAACAACTATCTATCTATCTATCTATCTATCTATCTATCTATCTATCTATCTATCTATGTATCTATCTATGTATCTATCTATGTATCTGTCTATCCATCCATCCATTCATCCATCTATCGATCTATCTATCTATCTATCTATCTACATAGACACGATCTAAGCTAATCCGATTTTCTCATGTTCGCATTGCATTACATTTACATGTGCAAATGCCTTCACAATTACGTCCAATTGCATTAGATTACATGCATATACTCGTAAATACCTATGTACATACATTCATTCCCATATTCTATATACACGTGTACACATGAAATAATATACTGAACCATGGGGTCTGAGAACAACCTCCTCCGAACTTCCCTTTCACACTCGTTGCAAGGGTATCCCCAACAAAATGGAACCCTCGAAGCATGGAAGCGTTAAAAGTGCCCCAATTCCCCGTTTCAAACCAACAAAAACACATCGCCTCGGCTTTCCTGCCTCGGCCACCGCCTGGGGTGACACCATGAGCCGCCTCAACAGGTCCGGCTGTGTCTGCAGCGCCTGCGCGGGCCGCTGACGAGAGTTACCTCAAAAATGTATAAATCCACAGACATGGGCCACAAGCGCACCCTCCAAAGCTGGCAACGCAGCTGTTTGACCCTGGTGAAAGTCCACCATGCGGGGGGCATCCCCAAGTTCCATGCGCGTGTCCCCATAGAGAACCTTGAAGGGCTTGACATGGCTTGACCATTCCGGGGCTCCCCTTGGTGTGGCTTTGCTTCTGTATTTGGCTTGTGGTGACCCCTGAGTCATGGTTCCGGGGTTTTGACGAGGCCCCCTGCTTAATAGGGATGCTGTTCTTCCCCACTAGGTTTGGACCAACCAGCTGATTAAACATGATTAAGAGCCTTGTTGTTCAAACAACAACTGCAAAAAAACTCCTGCCAGGGTCAGCAAAGGTCAACAAGGTCATCGAGGTTAGCGAGGTCCAAGTTTGTGAAAAACTTGGAACTGCTCCGATACTGTAATACTATGTTGCGAATTAGGCGGCACAACATGCCTGAATTCACCAATGGTACCTTAGAATCGGGATGGCGGCAACACACATGTGGGCGGTGGCCCACACACCTGACCTTGTCAAACCGTTTCAGAAGAAACTATGTCAATAACCGGCAATTTCATAGTTTGCGTTGTCAGGAAAGAACACAATTTGGGCTTCGGAACATCTTCCTGACATGTCATTGCTTGACAGGATGGAGCAACATGAGGCAAACCCCCCTTCAGCATGCACGGGAGCAAGTGGAAGAAATGTACTGGCATGGCATGGTCAATTGCTCTGGGCTGCGCAGGGGTTGCAAATTAAGGTTTTGTAACTAGGTGAAGGTTTTGTATTCTGTCATCACTGCAGGTTTCCGCCTGCTTTGGAGCAGACATCTTGGCGCCCTTGTGGCTGCCTCAAGGGCCCAAGGGTACATAGCAGTCCTTGCTGAATGTCCAAGTCCGCCCAAATAAGTCCGCCCAAGATTTGGCACACTTTGGGTCCAAGATGATTTTGACCAAACCGTGGCTGCCTCTAAGTCCTACTAGCGACCCGTGCCAGTTGAAATTTGGACCTTGGCTTTTTTCAGGCATGGGCTATCGAGGTATGGGGGGTTGGTCCCCATATCAAGAGCTAGATGAGCTCCCTACCTCCAAGTCACGTCCATTTTAAGTACCAGTGCGATCTCAAGAACCCCTCGGAAGGCCAGTTTTGGTCCGAAGATCAAGGCTGGTTCGCTCACCGAGCCTCCTATCCACCACCCTCTCCCCACCCCATCCCCGCAGCGCGAGGGCACCTGGTAGGTGTGGGCTTCCCCGAGGCTCGCCACCGCCGGGCCCAGCTGACGCAGGATCTCCTCGACCCAAAGCCCCCCTCCGCGCACGTGGCAACCCTGACAAAACGACATGTGCTCATGTCCATGAATCTGTGTCAGCCTATATGCCGGTATATGTGCATGCGGATGCGTGCGCAGGTGTATGAATGCCCACCTGAACCAACGGATCTTCAGGTAAGAAACCTTCATCATCGGCTCGCTTCTACCCGCAGGCCACCTTGCCATGGTCCTGTATGTGTGTATGTGTGTATGTGTGTGTGTGTATGTGTGTATGTGTGTATGTGTGTATGTATGTATGTATGTATGTATGTATGTATGTATGTATGTATGTATGTATGTATGTATGTATGTAAGTATGTATGTATGTATGTATGTATGTATGTATGTATGTATGTATGTATGTATGTATGTATGTATGTATGTATGTATGTATGTATGTATGCTGCCCTTATCTGTCTTTTGCGGGGGCACTTCCCGTGACGTACTCGTCCAGCGACCGCAGGTGCAGGAATAAGGCCGCGATGTTTGCTGGGAAGCCCGCCCTAAAACCACACTCCGAGACGCCTCTGCCAGCGCCTGAAGGCGGCTCCGGTCCGTGCCTCGGGAAAACGCCCCCGACTTTGCACGAATTTGGACCTAGGGCTGGATGCGAACCGCACTTGCCCCAAAGGACCTGCATGAACCTCGCAAGGTTGGCTCAGGGCAAGTGAGCATGCACCCTCTTGATCTTGGAGTCACTGTTGGTCCGCTAGGGGCTGTACTCAATTACTTTACTGCCTAACTTGAGCCAGCACGGAACATTAGACATCACCTAAAGCCTTGCTGCCAAACCCGCAAACTCTGACGCAGCTCAGCGGCTGGAGGAAATCACCAGCCCCCGTTGCGGGTCACCCCGGTGCAGGATGACCAGCTGGAACATGCGGGAACGGAGCAAGTAGGACCTCATCACAAAAAAAAAAACATGGGACCTCAAGAAGGTTCCATTTCCAGAGTGTCAGCAAGCTGAAAAACGCCCAAACTGGCCTGATCAATTCTGACAGCTTCTTCTGTTCCTTTGGCAAGTCAAGGGATTAAACTTGGATTCCGAAAGTCGAACCCGCGGCTCGATATTCCAATAAAGTCCCAATCAGGGTGGACGGATGTGGATGGTTCCGGGGAAGCTTGATATTGAGACAGGCTCAAATCTGGGTCGCTCTTGGAAGGAAATATGATGAAATATGGAAAAGGAGCTCGATCGACCAAGCTAGGTTTTGAACCCCCCCCAATGGACCTATCTACGGGCCCTCTGACAATCAAGGCGGCGCCGGGCGAATCATCACAACCTCACAATGGGAGGCTTGCCGCCATTCATGAAGGTCCATGTTCATTCTTTGGGTCAATGATTTACTATAGCTCACTCAGATTGGCCCTGGTCTAAGGAAGAATAAGTTCCCAATTCTTTTCCTAGTCCCCCCATCAGATACACGCGAGTGGTTACCATCAATAAGCGAAGCCTACCATATGCTTTGCGCAACGCCCATTCTTCAGGGGAGGAAAATTGGAAAAGTGGACTTCCTTGGCCGCGAATTGACGAGCCACTGAAGGCCCCAAGGGGGAGCCACGATCTGCAAGGTGTTGGAGGCGTCGCCCTGCACGTTCTCAGCGCACAGCGCGCTGCCGTCCACCAGGACCTACGCGGGATCCAAGGTCTCGGTTGCATGGCGCCAAATCCTTTGCGATCGCTTAGGGGCGCCTGGCCGGAACAAATTTGTAAAACGTTTGGGCTGTCCGAGTGAGCGCAACTGTGGAAGTCAAGATTGGGAAAGCCCTTCTTTGAAGCAACAGAAACTATGTTGTAGTATTTTGAACGCTGGCAAACAAAGGGGTCCTCGTTTTGAGCAATTTGTAGATGAGGCCGCATCATAGGATCCCCAAGCCGCCCACCCCCGCAGACATATCCCCCTCCCTCAAGTAAGACCCGAATAAGGCTGAAAGTATTAGGGCTTTTGTTGGAGAAACAATTGAGAAGGAGGGTGCCGGGATGGGGAAGATTCGTACCTTCGTCACACCGCAAATCAAGCCCGCTAAATCTGGCATCCCATCGCTGGCGGGGAAGAAGGATAATTTGTAGATTTCTTGGCAAAAAGCAGACCGAAGCTGGGACACCCCACTCGATCATTCTGAGCAAAGTGGGATAACACAGTGCGCCGTTTGCCGCCAAGTTCATCCTTTGAGGCAGCGGGCATCTGGCAAAACGGAAGACTTTGGCCACGGATTCGGAGCCACTCCCACGTCGAATTATTCGCCCTGTGTCCAATACTGCTAGTGGTTGCAAGCCAGCAAGTAAAAACAACAGCTCTGCAAGTCCTTCTGTGAAACGGGGCAACCAAGTTGCTTGGTGTACAAACGTGGAAACCCACGTAACGAAGTTGACGTTAGGCAAAACCATTGGTAAAACCATGGGGGGCTCATCTTTTTTGTGTGTGTGTGTGTCTGTGTTTTTCTATTTTCTCCGCTTGAGTGCGTTGATTTGCTGCAACTGCATGTGGTGGAAACGCGAGAGCATTTCTGCTTCACTCGGGCGCGCCATGCTTGCGCATTGTTGCGCTCCACTTCTCCGGGTAGTTTGGCAGGGCCGAACTCAATCCCAAAATTCCATGGGATCCTGATTCGGCGCATGGTGCGCAAGCCTTTGCGGATCCAGCTTTGAGAGGACAGCTTGCGCCAATGCAGCACTCATGGTGGCACTCGTTTGTCCAACCCGGCCGCCCAATCCAAAACAAGTTCACCTGTTGTGACCTCGGTCACGCCCAACGTCTCCCCCCCCCCCACCTCCGCCGCCAGTCCAGAGCTGCTCGCAGCCGCGCCCGACACTCCTCCTCCCGTTCGGAGGGCCTGGCATAGAAAGGCTTTTTGTCCAGGGCCTACGTTGCGATTTGGATTGTACCTTTGGGGGGTTCCCTTTTAGTGAAAACACTGGGAGGTACATTAAGGGGCCCTGCAAAACAGCTAAAACAACTACAGATTTATTCCCGCAAATCAAGCCCACAGTAAAACCCCTAGCATTGCACATTACAGCCCATTATTCGTACGGCGGAGTCGTGTAGACTTCGTTCAAGCTGCCAGCCAGAAGTCAAGCAATGCCCTGCAATTCATCATCTAAGTCGGCGGCCTTCGAGGCAACGCACAAAACCAGCAAAGATACCAGGATGGTTTGCGAATTCCCCAGGCCAAACCCAACACTTTTACCCCCCACCCCCACCCCACCCGAACGCTGCCTGTGCCGCCATTGCCTCGCTGGGCTCCACGAACACGAAGGCCTTGGCGTCGTCATCTGCAGAACTCGCCGCCGCCAGGTCCGCTCGCAGTTCCTGGGCCCAAAAAAACGCGTGTCGGCCGAAGCGCTTTTAAAACAGGCATCACAGTTGGGGGCTACTTGGGGCTGGTGGCATTCACAGGAACACGCAGGGTTGAGCCGAATATCCATAAATACATAAATAGCTTATATGTATACACATATACTCTGTATATGGGCTCCACACCTCAGCTTGCTGTCCCATCAAAAGCTGGAAAGACCATGTGTAAATCCCTGGTAAAAAATCAAGCATGGGTTCCAACAGGGTCACCTGAACTTTGAACCCAAGTTTGGGGCAACCGGGTCTTGAAACATGCCAAGCTGAATGCAAGACTCTGTGACACTGCGTCTTTTCGCCCCTCAAAGCTTGCCGAACTCAGACTTCAACTGCTTCGGGGAAAGTCGTTCACTAGCCCTGCCTCGAGGCTCTTGGGTATCTTCATGTGCTGCCGCGCCAGCTCCTCCAGCTTTTCCTGTGACAGCTCCTGCGAGCGCCGCCAGCTATCGGCACCCATTAGCCATTCCGCAATCGATGCGAAGCCCTCCGCAAAGAGGTGCCTAAGGGGGGAAAGCAAATCGTCCAACGGCTGCAGACGCAGCTTGTCCGCAACTTGTGCGCACCAGACTGTTCCCATCATTGTGGCCTTACCGGGAATAGCAAACTTGGCAACCACGTTGCCATCCGCCCAAAGTAAGCCCCGGCCTGGTGGTTCTGAGCGGCCAGGCGCCGCAAGAAAGACACCTCAGAGGCGTTTGCTCATTCCAGGGGGGGCGGGGAATTGACTTATTAATTCAGTTGTTTGTTTACTTGCTTTTTGGCCACTTACCTATCTATTTATGTATGCATGCATGCATGCATGTACGTATGTATCTACTCTGCTTGTTTAGTCATTTCCTTGTTTATGTATTTACATAAGATGTCTGTTGTAAACCTGTGTTTCTCAAGGATATGTATCATAGTGCCATAGGGATGTATGTCTCCCTTTGGGCCTCCCATTAAAACAGCACCGAGCTAGACTAGAAGGAAAACACTGCAACACAAGGCCACAAGCGCCGCAATTACATATAAGCTGGATCCAAAGCTTAAATTCAACCCCCCGGCAACCCGCGCCGTGGCACAACCTGCCCGTGGCTGCCATGAGCAGTCACATGCCCGTAGCCCGCCTGGCGAGCGATTCTGGGGCTTCAGGGGGACGGAGGTGGCCGGCCTGAGTAACCTGAAGAAGGGAGCAGGGCCTGGCCAATTCACTCAACCCAAACTTGCGGAAGGGGCAGTCCAAGCCCAACCGAGATTGCCAAGCATGCATCTGACCACCGCACTGCAAGGGGGGGGGGGGGGGCAGCATTCAATACAGCAACTGTGAAGCTCCGCTCACTGCCAAGACATCGGATGACTGCACACGCCCCTCTGTTCCACGATCCTTCGACGGGGGGCAAAGCAACTGAGTTGAACATCCAAACGCCTCTACAACTGGGCAGCATGCAAGCCAAGCCAAGCGCACTGCGAATCGCTGTCTCACCCTCCTGTCTTTGCCCTCTCCCACCTCATCCAGCTGCACTTCCTCCTCTGTGGTTGCTCCCTTCATGGCTTGGCTGCTCGCCATGGCGAAGTCTTCAGCTCGGCCTTTTGCCCGGACTGTCTCGAAGCAGGTTTTGGTGCGGCGCGAACCAATTGCAGCTTTGGACTGCAACGTGCTCCGTCTTCTTTGGGTTGCAGTGAGCCTTTCGTTTTCTGTCTTCTCGCCATGTCTGCATCGGCTTCTCGCTGATTTGATTGATGACACCCTTTGCCTTAGGCCGAAATCACCACATCAGATGATTCAGGCCCTGCTTAAAAACCGGCAGGCAAAGGCCTCTGGACAGGACCTCTCGCAAAGCTCTTTGGTTTTTGACCATGCAGATCGGTGAGCTCAAGGTTGCTATCACGGAGCTACATGCCACCATACCTGGCTTGTGACCCCAAAAACTCGGCTTGCACAGCCTTTGAGTTTCCAACCTTTTGGGAGAAGATTGCTTGCCCACAGGCCAGCAGCAAAAGCATGAACTTTGGGACCAAAAACCGACCCAGCGCAAAGGGGCCGGCGGCTTCTGAAGCTGCATTCGCTGGAGCGCAGGGGCATGATTTCTGCCGGCTCTAGCTAGGAACCTCTCTCGCAGCCAGCCTCTTGAGGACCTTGCCATGCAGCCTGGCGGCCCCCGACATGGACCTGAAACCACCATCGGCATCCGCAGACCCTAGGTCCCCTCAAAGCTCGCCCAAGCTTTGGAATCGACATCAACAGATTATCAACAAACAGCCTTCAGGCGGCGCTGAACCGGACAAACATGCTCCCATGCACGATTCCTTGTACCCACACCAAGCATCAACCAGTCTCACGAGTCTCATGCAAACAAGTAGCCTTTGGCAACTTGGAGGGTCCTAGGAAACAAGATGAACCCCACTTTGGAGCACCCGTGCGAGCGACAGTGACTGCAGTTCGAAACCGTTCATGGCCGCTGTGGGAGCACTAAAACCAACTTGATCAACCACCAAACCTCCCCTCTGCCCACAAAGTTCAAGCATGACTTGGTCAGCTAAGGGCAAACAGACATCGCAGAAGACAGCTACAAAACCTCCCCTGTGCCCACAAAGTTAGCTCCCGTCAAAAGACCCATCCTGGGTGAGCCGGATTTGCCTCGCGCCGCCAAAACGCGGGAAGATGACAGGGCTTGGTCCAAGAAGCGATGCTTCAACTGGTTGAATTGCAAGGGAATTATGGGGACCTCTGGGTGTAGTCCATCTGCCCAACTGCTCCTCCCCCCCGGTGCTTTTTACAGCTCGGCGCAGCCGGTGACACTAAACCCGCCGGAGCTGGAGAGCCGCAAAGCCAACCGAAGCCATTGAGGGGGTTCGAACTGCTTCTTTCTGACCAGAATAAGAGGTGGGAAATTCAGGGAGGCTTGCTTGATGGCGTTGGCAAGCAATGGAAAGCCAAGCCCCCAAAAGTAAGGGTGTCTTTTCTTGGGGTAGCTTTTTTCGGTTCTACAGGAAAACCAAAGAGACAACCACCATTTTGGGGTGGTGCCCCAAAAACAGACACACCGGAGGAAATAGAGAATTAAGTAGGAATGAGCACCTTCCCGCAAAAGCTGATCAGCGCAAATGAGGATTCAGGTTTGGGCCAACAGCTGGTTACCCATCTCACCACTGTTTTTGAAAGGGCGCTTCGTGTTGTCAAAGGAATGTTAAAGGTGTCAAAAACGGACTTCGACCTTGGCGTGAACCTCCAAATCCGTGGCCTGAAACAAACACACGGTCTCAAGGCTGGGCTCGCGATCCCTCCGGCACCCGGCCAGGCACATGCAAAACATCCCCGGGACCACCCCAAACGAAAAACGGGTGTCCCCTTTTGACGGCAACCGTGTAGGGTTGCTTCATTTGGGAGTGCAGCATTTTGAGTGAGACAAACTCACACGTTCAAGCATGCTCCAATAGATACCTAAATAACTTACATACATGTCTATTTCCCCAGATAGCTGCTATAGGGGTTCTAACTTCAAATAAAGAGGGGAAAGTGATTTGCGAGATTGGTGGGTGCTGGGGGTGCAGTTGGGGGTGCTGGTGTAGGTGCTGTTTTGGGGTGATGTCAGGGTGCCAGGGGCATTCAGTTTGGGGTGCTGTTTTGGGATGCTTGTTGGGGTGGCTGTTGGAGGTGCTGGGGATGGTGCGGGCGCATTTTGGCGATGTTGACGGCCGTGTGCTCTGGGGGCGCTGTTTGCTGCGCACTTCGGGGGTGCTGTAAGAGGTGCTGGCGTGGAATCATCCGCCTGTGTTTTTCCGCTATCTGGAGACAGTGCGGGTCATGTTTGCGAGATTGCCGGCAGGGTGCTAGGGACATGCAGTTTGGGCTGCTGCTGCACACATATAAATAAATGAATAAATGAACAAATAAATAAATAAATAAATAAATAAATATATATATATATGTGTGTATTATGTATGTATGCGTATATGTGTAGTGCATGCATGCATACATGCATATAATTACACCAGATAGCGAGAACTGCACCTGCACCCCACGCGGCGTGACCCTAGCCCTGCCGTCCGTCAATCTCGCACAAACGCGCCTGTGCCATCACCAGCATCCAACACCCCGAACAGCACCCGACAAGAACTCCCCGAGCACCCGGCTGTCAATCCCGCAACAAAGCGCTTGCAGCGTCACCACCCCAAACAGCACCCCAAAGCAGCATCATCAGCATGGCCATCAATCTCGCACAAATGCGCCGTCACCGCCACCAGCACCTCCAACAGCACCCCAAACAACCCCAAAACAGCACCTGCTAAGCTGCGTGGCCCCCTAGCACCCGGCCGTCAATCTCGCAAAAATGCCCAGCAAACAACCCAGAACCGCCCTGTCCAGCTAGATGTTTTTGGAACCCCTGCAATCATTTCACAACGTCCGACGACCAAGAGGACAATGTAACCCAGATACTCGGCAGGAAATCGGCTGGAAAGCAAAAGGTTGCCCATGTTTCTGCGGTTCATTTAACAATTAAAGCCATTAAAGCTGCTAAATACCGACTCCAGGGCCAAGCCGCACCTCTGACTTGGCCCGCGCAGTGGAGCTGAAACCAAGGCGTGAACAAAGCTCACCCCCTCAGCCCTGGAAACTCGTTTTCACCTTCCGGTTCCGGGGATGGAAATCTTGCCGCGGCGCAAGGGCCGCCGCGGGCATCGGTGAAACGTGAAACCGAGTCTGGCCAGCGACCGTGCACCGTGCATCCACTGCTGATGGCGGCTGAACAAAGATGGGTATGTCACAAAAAGGGGCACTCCAAAAAATGATGTCCGGGCCTAGGTGGCTCCTCAATCATTTTCTGTCGGCATGCATGCACATGGTCCAATGAAAAGCGTGATTGCAAGGAAACATAGAACCCACCCAGTGCACAACTGTGGTGGATTGCACCGCAATCCATCAGTCCAAGCGGGTGATCTGTCGAAGGGTGCTGTCGCGCGTGCTGCGGATGTCCTCAGCTGCGCTGCTGCCAACTATAACTTCCCATCTCTGGGGGTGGTGACAAAAATGCGCTTTTGCAGCCACCGCTGAAAATGGACAGAACCCAAACATAAATATCGATTTGAGAAACACGCTAGGGACAGTCTTCACAATCTCGTACACAGACTTACGGCTCAACCACGAACCTCGCTACGTAACCCTAGTCGCCATTCGCTCAAAACTTCAAAAACCAAGCACTGAGGGTAAGTCAACAGGGTTCCCCCTTTAGTCCACACATGATTGCCTAGTTTCTCGAAACGGAGGAAGCTGGAAGCACCAGGCAGTGGGAATAACAATTCTAGGTCCTCCAGTAGAGAAGTTAGAATAAGGGTACCCTTTTTCTGCAGTCTATTTTAGTAGGGGAACCCTCCCAAGGGTAAGAGGGCACTATTGGGGGACCTAGAGTTGGACAAACACGACCCCCCAGGCCTTCTTGGACAGGTCTTGCGCCTGCGAGCCGGAGGGGTAGGTGAGCGCGCCGTTGAAGCGGGAGCTTTGCTCCTCGGCCGGGATCGAGAGAAGGCGTGGAACATCGCCTGGTGATACCAACATGGTCATATCGTCATATCAGTCATTAAAGGGGATTCGGATTCCGTATTCAGGCAAGGTACTCCCTCTCGCAAGCCAAGCCTTTCCTCTCCACCCAGAAGTTTGGGAAGATACGCATTTGGAGGCTGAAGTGAAAAGGCTCGCAAGGTGCGACATCTACCCGTGGGCGCTTGCCGGAAAGGCGCGTAGCTTGTGTAGGCCGACACACCTGGGGCCAGGCCCGTGGTCTCCGCGGCTCCGGGGAGCACCTGCGGGCCGATCCCGAGGTTGAAGCTGTTCAAATGAGAATGCGTTCAAGGAAGAACCCCCCTGGAAACCAAATGTGAGGACTGGGGAAGAGCAAGAAAGAAGAACCCATACTTCATCTTACTCCCCAGTCCTTTCTGATTTGTCGCTTTGAAAGGCCACCTGTTGCCTATGAAGCGGGTCACAAGGCAACTCCGCATTTCAGGGGCCTTCGGGCTGCTCTTCATGTGGAGTGACGTTCAAAGCGGGCTTCGCCCGAAACGGTGGCTTCCTGGTTTCGCTGAGAAACAGCCCCAATAGACAAAAGTACAAGCGGCAAAGATGGCACACACACATATATATATATATATATATATACACGGAACCCCCAGCATCACCCCACGACCAAAAATCACTTCGCTGGCTTTCGGCTTTCCAGGAGAACCGCAGGCAAAGCCCACAATCCAAACTTGGAGTTTGGAACCCCCACTTTTCCCTCGCCTCCATCTGGTCCCTGGTCATCTGGGCGTCTTCCAGCGGGTCCGCCGCCGCCGTGGCCAGGATCGTGGACCGCAGCTCCCGCAGCGACTGGTTCGCCGCGCGGGTGGTTACGTCCTGCCGTTGGCGCAAAAGGGCCGCTGCGGCCGAGGCGAAAGCGGGGATGGGCCATGGGAGGTGGTCACCAAGGAGGGAAGCAAAACCAAGGAGAACCAGGGGGAGAACCAAGGGTGGGAACCAAGTTGGTAAACACGGGAAAGCGGGCCAAAACAAACTCAGATAAGCAGGGTGAACGGATTAGCTGGTCTGGTTGTTTCAGCCGATTTTGCCCCCTCTGAAGAGAGCTTCCTCAAGTGCAGCGCCAGGGGCGGACAAAGCCCAATGCACTGCCAGCCATGGGGCCAAACACTCGTGCAACATCCCACTTTACTCTGCAAGCTTTGTCTTTCGGCATGCTGTGTTTAGATTTCAATGAATTGGCACGTGTCAATACTCTTGTGGGCCGGGGGGGGGGGGCCAACGTCGGAGGGCGCCTAGATCTCACTTCCAAAAGGTGTCGGCCTACTGATCCCTCACAAGTACCACCATTCCGTTTGAAAATTGGCCCCAGAAAAGTGATGAACATACCAACGCAAGGATCATCAGGGGAACCCAATGGAACCCATGGGAACCCGTCGAACCCTCCTTGGCCGCCAGCATGGCTGTGGTCTTCTGCTTCACCGCGCGCCGCTCCGCCGCCGTCTTGGGCAGGAAGTAGTTGTTCACCTGACGCCTGGCACAACCAGAGGACCAGAGGGGTTGACTGTCCTTCCCGCGCATGCGGATGTCTCCAGCAATTGGGGCGGGGTAGTTTGGATGTTGCAAAGGAAGTCAAGAGGCAATGGGCAACCACCCATTTGCTCCGGCTCTGGCCGGGGGGGGGGGGCGGTTGCGGTTTCGGACCTTCAGAAGAAGCTGGACCACTGTCAGGGGGGCAGTGAAGCAAATCGCCCGAAACAAAACGTAAACTGCTTGGGGATGATCTTTGGAGTTTGGGGTGCCGGGCAGTTGACTTGCATGTGGCATTGAGCGCAAACTCAACAGAAGAGGGACTCAGAGGTTTTTGGAACTCCCATCGCAGGACGTACTAGCAGGTTCTGCTGAAATTGTGACTGCGAATCTACAACAGAGGAATTGAAGGGGGCCTATCAGGGGCCGCTTCCTTCGGCCACGAAATGTGAGGCGCAATTGACAAACAAAAATCAAGAATAGGTCATGTATCAAAACCAAGGCCCATCCTCCTCTCCCCCCCCAAAAAAAAAGAAGAAGAGCAAAATCATCTAGAAGGAGCCCGACAGTCCATGCCTAGCTTTTACACGCAAGGTGGGCGTCTCTTTTTCCATGTGCGCATGCATTGGAAAACGCATGTTCTTACAAACTTGAAATAAGGAATCCCCAAGCAAGGAACGTGATGGCTGTGAGCTTGCAGACATGCTTAGGAACCCCCGCCGTTCCCGTCCGGAATAGAAAGTCCAAAAAACAAACGAAGACACCCACCCTAGTGAAAAATGATTGGCACAAGAAACCTTGCACGCAATCTGTTTTCACCGCTGAAAACAAACAATGATCCCCGACAACCCCAGAAAAAATGAATGTCTTGTTCACACTGCCCACACAAGATGTGGTCAGGTTCCCCAGCCAGCCTGCGCCATTTGTGCATGTGCAGCATGCCTCAGCGGCTGGATGGGAATGTCGGCTTCAGAGGATTTGCCTGTCGTCTTGAAAGGTCGGCAGGAACAAGTGAGTGGGGGAAATGGCAAGGCTCACCCGGCGGCTTCACTTGGAATCTAGAAGGTTTCCAGCGCCCCTCAGGAAAATCATCAAGCCCACCAAGCATACCGCATTTAGTTCCAAACTTTCTGAGAAGCCTTCCAAGAAAATGTTTGAATATGTTTGAACGGGGGGGGAGGGAGGGGGCGAAAGCCAGTCGCAGGCGTTCTGCTGCGCGGGCTGCGACCGAGTTGCCCAGGAGCCGGCGCCGTGTAAGCACTCCACGCCAGCGGCGCTGGATCATGAGGACCACGTCCTGCATCACACAGTGGCCAGTTGGAACTAGTCTAGGGGTACCTTCCCCATTCTTTCCAGGGATCCTTCTTTCTAGAAAACCACCAAAAACCTTGGGGACATGGCTGGTCTTTGAAAAGAACGATGGCTGAAAAAAAGGGAATCAACCCCTAGAACTACTCGGGAACTACGGGGCGAGAACTTTCAGTTGGCCTGGAAACCAAATGATCCAACTGCGCTGCACTGTTGCTATGGGTGAAGGCACCCTTAAATAACCCCGCCCAGCTGCGGCTGACAGGTCCAACAGGACCCGGACATCGAAGATAATCCTTTCGCTTGACAAGGAATGAAACCCCACAGTGCTCGAAGCACAGAGTCTTTAACCAATGACCCCATCACTGTAGCCCCAAAGCATCGCCTTGGGCCTTGAGAGGCAGGGTAGCCAACATAGGCCGAGGAGCTTGCTTGCTCTTGGCTGAACAAGACAACGCTGGGAAAAACGAAACACAAGCTCAAGCAACAGTGTTGCCAGTGTCTTCAAATCTGTCTCGGCAAGCCGCCCACACCCTGGCCCAAAAAGCGGAGGCCAATCGACAAAAGGGGGCAATCACCCCGCCAGGTTCTCCCCCTCCCTCCCCCGGGCAGCCTTGCGCTTCTTGAAGTTGCGCCTGGCCTCGATTCCCTTCACCCAGCCTGGCCGAGCATCAAACAAGACCAGTTTGCATTGTATTGAGCCAAGTTGGTTTACTTGGCCGGTACAAAAGAAACCTCCACCCAAAAACAAGGGGAAAACATGGTGCGACTGCTATGCGTTTTGGAGTGGCGCAGCGCCGTGCTCCCGACCACCTGGTTCGGTCCAAGGCAAGATTTGGCCACTTGTTCTGGTTGAAAGGGCAGTCCATGACTGCATGAAGTCTTTACAGCATCAATGGAGCCAACTGGGGAAACTCGCCTCATTGACTCATGGCCAACAGCGGGTACTAAACTTCCATCCTACTTGCTCTGCTCAGGTTTAAAGCTGGACGACGCAAGCTTGCATCGCGACCTTCATTGAGGTAAACGGTAGGCAAGGGTCGGTTCTGCACACCGGCACCCGCCTTGCAGCTGGCTGAGCGCCCACAACACTCGGGGACGCGCACGGCGCATGTGCTCCTGGTCAGGCCCAGTTTGCGTCCGACTAGGTTTTGACTGCAGACTGGACAAGCAATCGCCCCCACTCGCAGCCAAGGACCTGCAACCAAAGGCTGATCACTGATCACTTTTTGCAGGCTGCCATCAGGCTGGAGCAGTTAGTACCCCGGGGGGGTGGGTACGTACCTATACCCATACCGGGGGGGTACCTGTACATGTACCTGTACTCGTACCCCCCGGGTTTAAGTATAGGTACAGGTACAGGTAGAGGCGCCAGTCGCAAGCACAAGAGCCCGAGGGCTGCAAGGGGTGCAGAGGTATAGGTATAGGTACAAGTACATGACCAGCAAAGGTACTTGCACATGTACCTGTACTCGTACCCCCCGGGTTTAAGTATAGGTACAGGTACAGGTGGAGGCGCCAGTTGCAAGCACAAGAGCCCGAGGGCTGCAAGGGGTGGAGAGGTATAGGTATAGGTACAAGTACATGACCAGCAAAGGTACTTGTACATGTACCTGTACTCATACCCCCCGGGTACAAGTATGGGTGGAGGTACAGGTAGAGGCGCCAGTCGCAAGCACAAGAGCCCGAGAACTGCAAGGGGTGGAGAGGTATAGGTATAGGTACAAGTACATGACCAGCGAAGGTACTTGTACATGTGCCTGTACTCATACCCCCGAGGTTTCAGTATAGGTACACAGGTACAGGTCGCAAGCACAAGAGCCCGAGGGCTGCAAGGGGTGGAGAGGTTTTGGTACAGGTACAAGTACATGACCAGCGAAGGTACTTGTACATGTGCCTGTACTCATACCCCCCGGGTACAAGTATGGGCGCAGGTACAGGTAGAGGCGCCAGTCGCAAGCACAAGAGCCCGAGGCTGCAAGGGGTGGAGAGATATAATTACAGGTACAAGTACACGACCAGACAGGTACTTGTACATGTACCTGTACTCATACCCCCAGGGTTTAAGTATAGGTACAGGTACAGGTACAGGTACAGGCGCAAGCACAAGAGTTCGAGCGCTGCAAGGGGTGGACAGGTATAGGTATATAGGTATAGGTACAAGTACATGACCAGCAAAGGTGCTTGTACATGTACCTGTACTCATACCCCCCGGGTATAAGCAGAGGTACAGGTACGCGCGCAAGCACAAGAGCCATTGAGGGCTGGAGAGGTATAGGTATAGGTACAGGTACAAGTACACGACTAGCGAGACACTTATATCTAAACTGTGATTTTTGGCACTGCCTACACTGGGGGGGTTCGAGATACACTTGTCCTAAACCTATACTGAGGGGTTCAGGTAATACACCTGTCCAAAACTTGTACCTAGAACAGGTCCAGGCGCAAGCACAACTTGTACATGTACCTGTACTCATACCCCCGAGGTTTCAGTATAGGTACACAGGTACAGGTACAAGCGCAAGCACAAGAGTTCGAGGGCTGCAAGGGGTGGAGAGGTATAGATATAGGTACAAGTACATGACCAGCTAAGGTACTTGTACATGCACCTGTACTCATACTAGGTACAGGTACGCGCGAGCACAAGAGCCCAAGGGCGGCAAGGGGCGGAGGTATAGGTACAGGTATAGGTACAAGTACACGACGAGCAAGACACTTGTATCCGCACCTGTACCCAGACCGGTATAACAGGTACAGATACAGGCGCAAGCATAAGAGCCTGGGCTGCAAGGGGTGGAGAGGCACAGGTACAGGTACAGGTACACGACCAGCCAGGTACTTACCGGTAAACGTATCCGGACAGGTACGAAGACTCAAACCTGTGCGGGAATTTTGTATAAGTGCAAGCTTAAGCCCTTGAACTTTTGTGCTTGCGCCTGTACCTGTACCGGTACCTATACTTTTACCCGGCGCTTGACCGTGTAAGTATGGGCAGGTACAGGCGCAAGCACAAAAACCCGAAAAAGGGTGCAGAGGTATAGGTACAGGTACAAGTACACGACCAGACAGGTACTTGTACATGTACCTGTACTCATACCCCCAAGGTTTAAGTATAGGTACAGGTACAGGTACAGGCGCGAGGAGAAGAGATCGAGCGCTGCAAGGGGTGGAGAGGTATAGGTATTAAAGGTACAAGTACACGGCTAGCGAGACACTTATACCCGCACCTGTACTCAGACCCCCCCTCCAAGCGCACGACTAGCGGGGGCAGGTGCTGGGTAGGTATAGGTACAAGTAGTGCCGACACTGCCCCAGAGGTACTGTCTGGGTTCCAAATACTGCAAAGGTGTAGATGTGGGGTCTTATATGGCGTGAGGGTAAGGTATACGTACTTTGAAAAGACCTGTACGTAAACCTATACCTATACCTGTACCTACACTGGGGTGGTTTAGGTACTGCCTACACTGCCCAGATACACCTGTCCAAAACCTGTACCTCGACAAAAGTGCTGCCGACACTGCTCCTCCAGACACACCTGTCCTACACCTGTACCTATACTTGGGGGGTTTAGGTACAAGGCCCTCATACTCGGGGAGGTTTAGATGCGGGGTCTTGTGTGTGTGGGGGCGTGAGGGTGTGCCTAGAAGGTTTAGGTACTTTTTTACAGACCTGTACACATACCTATACCTGTACCTCTACGCTGCTCAGATACACTTGTTCCATACCTATACCTATACTGGGGGGTTTAGGTGCTGTCTGGCTGAACTTGACAGCTGTTCCTGTCTGGTGGCCTGGACTGGGATAGCTTGAGCACTGCCTATCAACATGGCGCGGGGTGGTGAGTCCTGTCCACACCTACCTGAAACCTCAACCTGGGTACTGCCTACACTGGGGGGCAGAGAGACACAACCTGCCCTGTGCACCTTAAACTAACGATTGCGCACCGGAAGTATCGGTACGCCCAACGTGGCTATGCTGGGGGTTGAAGCAAATTTACTGTGTTTTTTGGTACTGCCTACACTGGGGGGGGGTTCGAGATACACTTGTCCTAAACCTATACTGAGGGGTTCAGGTACTGAAGGTATAGGCACCTGTAATGGGGTGGTACTGCCTACTGCCCAGATACACCTCCTATACCTACACCTATACTGGGCGCTTAGCTGCCTACACTGGCCCTACAGATGTGGGGTCGGGGTCTTGTTTAGGTGCTGCCTACAAGGGGTCAAGATACACCTGTCCTGAACCCATGATCGGGATACACCTGCCTATACCTTTTCTGGGGGGGTTAGGTACTGCCTGCACTGGGCCTGAACCTATTCTGTAGACGTGGTGTCTGATTAGTCAAAAGAAAACATACTTTTTACAGACCTGCACGTATAACCTAAACTAGGGTGGTTTGGGTAATGCCGACTGCCCCAGATACACCTGTCCTAAACCTGCCCCTATACTGGGGGGGTTTAGGTACTGTCTGGGTTCCAAGGTTCCAAGCCCCTTCTACTGCAAAGGTTTACATGTGGGGTCTTGTATGGCGTGAGGGTGTACCTGGAAGGTATAGGTGCTTTTTATAGACCTGTACGTATACCTGTACCTATGCCTGTACCTATACTGGGGTGGTTTAGGTACTGCACTGCCCAGATACAAAACCTGTACCTAGACTGGGTGTGGAAAAAGTACTGCCGACAATGCTCCAGCTACACCTGTCCTACACCTATACCTATACTGGGGGTGTTTAGGCACTGTCTGGGTTCCAAGGCCCTCGTACTCGGGAGGGTTTAGATGCGGGGTCTTATGTGTGTGGGGGCATGAGGGTGTACCTGGAAGGGGCGCTCTTGCTTACGTGCCTGGGACTGCCGACACTGCTCCAGATACACCTGTCCTAAACCTGCCCCTATACTGGGGCCCCCTTTCTACTGGGAAGGTTTACATGTGGGGTCTTATATGGCGTGAGGGTGTACTTGGAAGGAATAGGTACTTTTTACAGACGTATACCTATACCTATGCCTGTACCTATACTGGGGTGGTTAGGTACTGCGCTGCCCAGATACACCTGTCCAAAACCTGTACCTAGACTGGGTGTGGAAAAAGTGCTGCCGACACTGCTCCTCCAGACACACCTGTCCTACACCTGTACCTATACTGGGGGGGTTTAGGTACTGTCTGGATTCCAAGGCCCTCATACTCGGGGGGTTGAGATGCGGGGTCTTATGTGTGTGGGGGCGTGAGGGTGTACCTGGAAGGGGCGCTCTTGCTTACTGCCTGCGTGATACACTTGTCCTATACCTTTACCTGTGCTGGGACTGCCGACACTGCCCAGATACACTTGTCCTATACCTATACCTATACTGGGGGGGTTTAGGTACTGCCTACACTGCCCAAATACACTTGTCCTTTGCCTGTCCCTATACTGAGGGGGGTTTAGGTAGCTGCCCAGATACACTTGTCTTATACCTATACCTATACTAAGAAGGTTTAGGTACTGCTGCGCTGCCCAGATATACTTGTCCTTTACCTATACCTATACCTGTACTCATACCCCCGAGGTTTCAGTATAGGTACACAGGTAGGTACAAGCGCAAGCACAGGAGTTCGAGGGCTGCAAGGGGTGGAGAGGTATAGGTATAGGTACAAGTACATGACCAGCTAAGGTACTTGTACAGGTACCTGTACTCATACTAGGTACAGGTACGCGCGAGCACAAGAGCCCAAGGGGTGCAAGGGGTGGAGGTATAGGTATAGGTATAGGTACAAGTACACGTCGAGCAAGACACTTGTATCCGCACCTGTACTCAGACCGGTATAACAGGTACAGATACAGGCGCAAGCGTAAGAGCCTGGGCTGCAAGGGGTGGAGAGGCACAGGTACAGGTACAGGTACACGACCAGCCAGGCTTGACCGTGTAAGTATGGGCAGGTACAGGCGCAAGCACAAAAACCCGAAAAAGGGTGAAGAGGTATAGGTACAGGTACAAGTACACGACCAGACAGGTACTTGTACATGTACCTGTACTCATACCCCCAGGGTTTAAGTATAGGTACAGGTACAGGTACAGGCGCGAGGAGAAGAGTTCGAGCGCTGCAAGGGGTGGAGAGGTATAGGTATATAGGTAAAGGTACAAGTACATGACCAGCAAAAGTACTTGTACATGTACCTGTACTCATACCCCCCGGGTATAAGTAGAGGTACAGGTACGTGCGCAAGCACTGCAAGGGGTGGAGAGGTATAGGTATAGGTATAGGTACAAGTATACAAGTACACGGCTAGCGAGACACTTATACCCGCACCTGTGCTCAGACCCCCCCCCCAAGCGCACGACTAGCGGGGCAGGTGCTGGGTAGGTATAGGTACGGTACAAGTAGTAGACAGGTACTGTCTGGGTTCCAAATACTGCAAAGGTGTAGATGTGGGGTCTTATATGGCGTGAGGGTAAGGTATACGTACTTTGAAAAGACCTGTACGTAAACCTATACCTATACCTGTACCTATACTGGGGTGGTTTAGGTACTGCGCTGCCCAGATACACCTGTCCAAAACCTGTACCTAGACTGGGTGTGGAAAAAGTGCTGCCGACACCTGTCCTACACCTGTACCTATACTGGGGGGGTTTAGGTACTGTCTGGGTTCCAAGGCCCTCATACTCGGGCGGATGCGGGGTCTTATGTGTGTGGGGGCGTGAGGGTGTACATGGAAGGGGCGCTCTTGCTTACGTGCCCGCGTGGTACACTTGTCCTATACCTATACCTGTACTGGGACTGCCGACACTGCCCCAGATACACCTGTCCTAAACCTGCCCCTGCCCCTATGCTGGGGGGTTTGGGTACTGTCTGGTTTGGTTTACATGTGGGGTACTTGGAAGGTACAGGTACTTTTTACAGACGTATACCTATACCTCTGCCTGTACCTATACTGGGGTGGTTTAGGTACTGCGCTGCCCAGATACACCTGTCCAAAACCTGTACCTAGACTGGGTGTGGAAAAAGTGCTGCCGACACTGCTCCTCCAGACACACCTGTCCTACACCTGTACCTATACTGGGGGGGTTTAGGTACTGTCTGGGTTCCATTCCAAGGCCCTCATACTCGGGCGGATGCGGGGTCTTATGTGTGTGGGGGCGTGAGGGTGTACCTCTTGCTTACGTGCCCGCGTGGTACACCTATACCTATACCTGTACTGGGACTGCCGACATTGCCCCAGGGGTTTAGGTACTGTCTGGTTTGGTTTACATGTGGGGTATGGAAGGTACAGGTACTTTTTACAGACGTATACCTATACCTATGCCTGTACCTATACTGGGGTGGTTTAGGTACTGCGCTGCCCAGATACACCTGTCCAAAACCTGTACCTAGACTGTACTGGGGAGATTTAGGTACTGTCTGGGTGCCAAGGCCCTCATACTCGGGGGGGTTGAGATGCGGGGTCTTATGTGTTTGGGGGCGTGAGGGTGTACCTGGAAGGGGCCCTCTTGCTTACGTACTGCCGACACTGCCCAGATACACTTGTCCTATACCTATACCTATACTGGGGGGGTTTAGGTACTGCCTACACTGCCCAAATACACTTTTCCTTTACCTGTCCCTATACTGAGGGGGGTTTAGGTAGCTGCCCAGATACACTACCTGTGCCTCTCCACCCCTTGCAGCCCAGGCTCTTATGCTTGCGCCTGTATCTGTACCTGTTATACAGGTCTGAGTACAGGTGCGGATACAAGTGTCTTGCTCGTCGTGTACTTGTACCTATACCTATACCTATACCTCCACCCCTTGCACCCCTCACGCTCTTGCGCTGTACCTAGTATGAGTACAGGTACCTGTACAAGTACCTTAGCTGGTCATGTACTTGTACCTATACCTATACCTCTCCACCCCTTGCAGCCCTCGAACTCCTGTGCTTGCGCTTGTACCTGTACCTGTGTACCTATCCTGAAACCTCGGGGGTATGAGTACAGGTATAGGTATAGGTAAAGGACAAGTATATCTGGGCAGCGCAGCAGTACCTGAACCCCCTTAGCATAGGTATAGGTATAAGACAACAGGTACAGGTACACGACCAGCCAGGTACTTACCGGTAAACGCATCCGGACAGGTACGAAGACTCAAACCTGTGTGGGTATTTTGTAGAAGTGCAAGCTTACGCCCTTGAACTTTTGTGCTTGCGCCTGTACCTGTACCAGTACCTATACTTTTACCCGGCGCTTGACCGTGTAAGTATGGGCAGGTACAGGCGCAAGCACAAAAACCCGAAAAAGGGTAGAGAGGTATAGGTACAGGTACAAGTACACGACCAGACAGGTACTTGTACAGGTACCCTGGTACAGGTACAGGTACAGGTACAGGCCGAGGAGAAGAGTTCGAGCGCTGCAAGGGGTGGAGAGGTATAGGTATATAGGTAAAGGTACAAGTACATGACCAGCAAATGTACTTGTACATGTACCTGTACTCATACCCCCCGGGTATAAGTAGAGGTACAGGTACGCGCGCAAGCACTGCAAGGGGTGGAGAGGTATAGGTATAGGTATAGGTACAAGTACACGGCTAGCGAGACACTTATACCCGCACCTGTGCTCAGACCCCCCCCCAAGCGCACGACTAGCGGGGGTACGGTACAAGTAGTAGACAGGTATTGTCTGGGTTCCAAATACTGCAAAGGTGTAGATGTGGGGTCTTATATGGCGTGAGGGTAAGGTATACGTACTTTGAAAAGACCTGTACGTAAACCTACACCTATACCTGTACCTATACTGGGGTGGTTTAGGTACTGCGCTGCCCAGATACACCTGTCCAAAACCTGTACCTAGACTGGGTGTGGAAAAAGTGCTGCCGACACTGCTCCTCCAGACACACCTGTCCCACACCTGTACCTATACTGGGGGGGTTTAGGTACTGTCTGGGTTCCAAGGCCCTCATACTCGGGCGGATGCGGGGTCTTATGTGTGTGGGGGCGTGAGGGTGTACCTGGAAGGGGCGCTCTTGCTTACGTGCCCGCGTGATACACTTGTCCTATAACTATACTTGTACTGGGACAGCTTACATGTGGGGTCTTATATGGCGTGAGGGTGTACCTGGAAGGTATAGGTACTTTACAGACCTGTACATATACCTATACCTATGCCTGTACCTATACTGGGGTGGTTTGGGTACTGATACACCTGTCCAAAACCTGTACCTAGACTGGGTGGAAAAAGTGCTGCCGACACTGCTCCTCCAGACACACCTGTCCTACACCTGTACCTATACTGGGGGGGGTTTAGGTACTGTCTGGGTTCCAAGGCCCTCATACTCGGGGGGGTTTAGATGCGGGGTCTTATGTGTGTGGGGGCGTGAGGGTGTACCTGGAAGGGGCGCTCTTGCTTACGTGCCCGCGTGATACACTTGTCCTATACCTATACCGGTACTGGGACTGCCGACACTGCCCAAATACACTTGTCCTATACCTATACCTATACTGGGGGGGTTTAGGTACCTACACTGCCCAAATACACTTGTCCTTTACCTGTCCCTGTACTGAGGGGGGTTTAGGTAGCTGCCCAGATACACTTGTCTTATACCTATACCTATACTAAGGGGGTTTAGGTACTGCTGCACTGCCCAGATATACTTGTCCTATACCTATACCTATACTGGGGGGGTTTAGGTACTGTCTGGGTACCATGTGGGCTGGAGGTCTAAAAGGCTGACCAGGGGCATCGGCCAGGCCAAAACAAAGATGGCCAAGCATCGTGCAGCCACTTTTAGCAAGAACCCACCTCGTTGCCTCATGGGGTCGAGCAACTATGCTCCAAACAAACCCCGTCTCAGTTCATCCAGGGGTATCTTAAGCAGAGCCAAGGTGCAAAGCGATGGACGTAAGCTACAGTTAGAGCCCTCTCGCTCAGCGAGAGAGAAACTACCTTTGCCCTCGTCCCCGCTTTGCCCATTGCCCACCACAAATGCCCCCACAGCAGACTTCTTTCCGGTCCTTGGCGTCAATTGCCTAGCGTTTCTTGCCTCGTGGGAAAGAAGGATCCATTCACAACTTCGTTCTTATTTCCACGACTTGATGGACCTGAGGTAGGACTCACCCCCACCCCAAACCGGACATGCTTCTCGCCCACCGCCATAAGCTTTCATGTATGAGCAGCCCGGGGTGAGGATTCAGGGTTCGCCAACAAACGTGCGAAGGATAACACCCGTATTGTTCAACTTCACATCACATGGTGTGTTTCATTTGAAAGGGGGTTGTCTGAGTGGGGGGTGCTCATCCCCATGCTGAGCTCCCTCCTGGAAGGCTGGGTCCAACCGCTCCAGCAGGACCAGCAGGTCCTGAACTTTTGCGGAAGATGTTGGGCACATGCATGTCACAAGGCGTTTCCGGCTTCGGGCCAAGGTCCATACAAAAAGTTGCCAACAAGTCCCCAGAGAGGAGGTCCTCTCTCATTTATGGGTGCTTGCCGGCTCACCTTTTGTCTGAGGCGTGATCCTTCCGGTACACTTGTTTAGAACCCGGCATGGGCACTAGGAATCCAGTGTTGGGGGGAAGGGGCAAAACGGGCCGACGGCAGATGCCGAATGATGTACTCCAAGCTTTCTATTTCATGTTGAAATGTGTCAAGTCCGGCTGCGCCCCTCCACTTCATCATGGGTAAGCTCCCTTACCCCCAGGCGAGTTTGCTGTACCCATCTCTCCAAAACTCACCGGATGGTCTTCCAGAACCTCCTTGTGCCCTTTCATTGCAGAAAGTACCCAACTTGGGATTCCGATCCCCGATTGCCAGACCCCGACACCCCCAGACTCCCTGAGCCCCGCGCCATGGCATCCATGAAGAGGTGCAGCCTAGGATTTTGCGCGCTGGCGATGCTCTTGGGCCAGAAAAAAAGCCAGACAGTTTAAAGGGAGAGCAAAAAGCGAAGCCAAGGAGAAACTTGGCCAACTCCGTTTAAGAGACAACCCCAAAACTGCCAACAACAGCCCAGAGCACCCCGGACAAAGGCAAATGCACCGTTGTCGCCCCAACCACGTTCACAAAAAACCCTTGCAACGATGGAAACTTGAGGAATTGTGTGCCTCTGCCGACGGTGCATCATTTAAGTGTTTTACCTATCAGCTTCCGGCGGTGCCGGCCTTCCGTGATGGGTGATGGAGAATTGGGGTTGGACTTTGCAGAGGGAGCCTGGGAAACGGCTCCCAGAAAGCCTGTCTATGGGGAAACCTTGAAAACAGGCTTCCCTTTGGTTCCCTTCAAAAAGCCCTCCGAAAAAGACAGCACACACATACCTATAGAGGGGAAACCAAACACCCCGAACAAATTCTGAGCATCTTTCTGGGGGGCAAGGAGATCCTCGTTAACGTGTTTAAAAGGAGCAGGGCCGCAACCCTACTATAGATTTCCCTGAAAGAAGGGCCCATCCAATGAGACTTGGGGGACTTCCATACCAGCCACGCAACTGCGCCGATTGAAAACCCAAGTGAGTGCCACCAAGATGGAGGTCCCAAGAACAAAATGTTAGACGTGGCAACATACCAATCACAATGGAATGACTTTGGCTGGGGTTCGCACAGCCCAAACCTGAGAAGAGGCACATTCGGTTGCCCTTGGCGTGGAGCATCGTGAAGCATTCCTCGGCACAGAGTTCCGCAAAACAAACACGCCGGGCGTGTCCCATGCTCCGAATTGGAGGTGCGAAACGAGCCTTTCACAGACACCATCGTCCCCTCAAAGTGGGCTCCACTTCCCAGCTGGCCCCAGGCTCAACGGCTTTTGAACATCCAAACGCCCACTGTCAAAATAAGGGGCGCAAGGAACCTCCCAGATTCTTCACGGCACAAGGCCGCATGCTTGCAGGTACCCGCAACCATCCACTCCCCGCAGCTCGCCCGGTGACGCAAGGCGCCGTGCACATGAGCTCCTGGGTCTGCTCCGAGAAGATGGTGGCGCGCACGTTCTGGCACTGGTTGCACATGGGCACCACCGCAACCTGCGATACGGAAAAGGCAGCAAGAATGCCGCACTGCCTCTGCAGGTACACCAGCAGGCCATCAGCGACCGGAGGCCGCTTCAGCTTCAACAGAGGTTCTGGCCCGGCTTACTTTGCCCACAAAGGGCTCCATCCCCCGAGCGATTGAAACTTCTCTCACCCAGTTGGGCTTCGCCACACTGAGACCCTCGGACCCGCAGGCCAGCCGGATACGGCCAGAAAAGACCCTAAGACCTTAATGGACCAAGGGGCATGTTCCGGTCGCACATCCTAATCACTCCACTCGCTTTTGGAGTTGGCCCAAAAGAGGCCAAACTGTTTGCTTTTCAACATGAAAACTGTAAAGTTACTTCACAAAAAGGCAAAAAGTCCAGAACCAGGTCACTCGAAAGACCGAGTCGACCCATCAGCCTTGGAGGCCGTGTGCTGCCGTCGATGCCCTTGGCGACGCCGCGTGGCAAAGCAAGGGGCCTTCTCACTAACTGCCCAGGAGAAGTTGAGGAAGTTGAAGGTTTCAATAACGAGCGAACGAGCAAATGAATGGTTGAAAACTTGGCAAGGCCAAACTCTGCTCGGCCTTTCACAAAAACCCCAAAAAAAACGGGTGGGGAAACAGATGCCCAGCGAAAGGCAGGTGGCGAAACCGCCCGCACGCCATGGGCCATCCCTCCCCACAAAGTGGGGGATGTGGGTCTGCAGAGCAAGCACGTCTCAACAAACAGTGTTGAAACAGCCTCCCCTTGATTTTGTTAGCGCTTCAAGGCCCGACCACGGAAACTGGATGTTGAAACAGGTCGCCACCAGTTTTATATCTAAGCGGATGCCACACCCCGTCTCAGAAAATTTGATGAGCCCAGTGACCATTGAAGTGGCACTTCCAGAAGCACTGCACGCAGTAGTTGTCCAGGCAGTAGTCCTGAGATGAGACCCACCATGGAAAGCAAATCTTGCAGAAAGAGCAAAGAGCGACCAATATTTTTGCCGGCCAGCAGATGCTGGAAGGACTAGAACTGGTGGCCCAATGTGGGCCACTGAGGCAAGCATCCTAGAAGCACACGTAAGTTTTATATGGCTATGGGAGCGTGCTCAAGGAAGCTACGCTTGCTGTTGAAATCTTGGATCAAAGGCGTGTTCATCCCCTGTCGCGCAGTTGCCATCTCGTAATGGTGTAAAAAGCCCCCAAAGATGACGTCGGATGTTGCGGATGACGAAGTCGACATGCAGACTTGACTTCTGATTCTCCTTCGTAGTTCTTTCAACTAAATTCCCAACATGATGCACACAGCCACGGGTTTGCCAGGCAAGCACCAAGAGGCACCCCCCCCACCCCGCACTTTGGCCAAGCGGCGCACGCAAAGGCCGCTGGCCGGTCCTCGCACTCCTCGCAGCGCTTCTGGGGCTCGATGACGTCTCCATCCTCAGCCGGAGGGCTGAGCTTGTGATGTGGGAGGTGGCGCCCAGCATTTCACGCTTCCGAAAATCACCCAAGAGCGCAAGCACAGGTAACTGCCGCGGAAGAAACCTCAAAACAAAGCGCGCGGATTTTTTGGATACAGCGCAGAGACAATGCTCCGCCGCCTTCAGGCAAGTATGTTTACAGGCACCTGCCTCCTCTCTCTTTCCCAGAGGTGGGATGGTGTTCCTGGTGGTGGCATTTTGCCGGGACTAGATTGAGGGACCAGAGGCTGAGTCACCATCCCAAGAAAGGAACCAGAACCTCACATCCGGGGCCAAAGTCGCCTTCTCAAAAAGATTCCCGCCCCTCCCTCTGGCGCTGGCAAACCAGGCAAAAAGTCACGTAAAAGAACGCACAAGGGTCAATCAGAAGGTGTCAGCGTTGGGCAAGCAACTTCAGCCAGTGCCCAGGCGGGGTCGCTGCCCCCCCAGTGTCCCACAGGCCGGGGAGCGGAGACGCTCACAAGCATGGACTTGTGTTGAAGCCGATTGCCCCGGCGGTGCATGTCCTCGAAGCACTTGAAGCAGAAGTAGTCCTGTCATACGGCAGCGCAGGGTCATCCTTTGCAAATAACCTTCCTCGAATTAGAGGGTGACAAAGGTGCCTTTTGCACAGGCTGCTATATAGCCCACAAACGTATGTATGACCTAGACCGCGGCTGACAGGGTAACCACGGCATGGCAAAGGGCACCTGAGATAAAGGGCACCCTTGACCACGAGGAACGGTGATGATGCGTTTGTTTGAGCAGGTGCTCACTCTGGAAACGCTCATTCTGGCGCACACACACACACACCCGCATTCTGAGCAATCCAAGTCTCCCTCAACCAAGTGAAGAAGGCACAGCTGGCCATTTCCAGGTCAGACATTCTGCCAAGGTGAAGCGGTCTCAGATCTCGTTACAGATCGTGGGTCCTTGGGTTTGCAGGTGGCTGCAATGAATTCTGGCAATTTCGCTTTCTGCTTCTCGGAAGGATCCTTTTGCGATGGATTTTGGCATGAACCTCCTGAATTCTCTAAAGAAGGGTTTGGGATCAGGCGTGCACAGGGACACAGCCGGAAGCTGCTGCTTCGCAGGTGAACAAATGTGCACACCAGGCAAACCAACGTGGCGGGCTGAACAAAGCGTTGCATGCGATTGCAGTGTCCCCACTGAGGGTTCCCAGAAGGAGCCCTCCCTCCACCCGGTGGGCATCGGTTCGGTTCCGCGGGGTGCCTCGCAGTTGGCGCAGAAGACCTGGGGCTTCTTCACCGCGCAGGTGGAGCAAAGGCTGCCGCAGGCCGTGGTCAGAAAGGTGTGGTTCTTCCTGCGCTCTGCCCCTGAGCCCTTTCGCCGAGCCCCTGGCTCCTTTCCTTCGGAATGCTCGGCGCAACCTTAAAAAAAGAAATAATATGCGAGAAGCAGTGGAGGGGGAGAATATGTGTTCTGGTTTTCGGGCCGAAGTTCCAGAAGATGCCCAATGTGCATGCCACACATGCGCTGCCGCCCGCATGTTTTTCTCCACATCTGTCAGGCTTTCGTCTTAAGTCTTAAGACATCCGGCAAGCGCCCACCATGCCGACATGCCACACACCGAATCGATGGCCGAGCCGCCTCGGCACGTCTTCAGAATCCGCCTACAAAGTGGCAGGCGGTTCCCAGTCAACAATCCCATAGTCTTGCTCAGCCTTAGGTTTTTGCCTGTGCCAATGCATTCTCCAAACACACAGAATTTCAGGCAAACAGCAATACAACCTCGCTCTTGCATGGGCTCTGACATGTCAAACGGATTCAAACAGCCCCTGAACGTTGGGAACCGCTGGCCGAATGAATCGCCAAGTGGCTCCTCACCCCGAAACAACGCGGCCTGGCAATTGAGAGGATTACCGCCACGCAAGGGCGCAATGTTTTTAACTTGGAAGACCAGCACCTTCTCCACTGCTCCATTCCGTTGGAAAGCAAAACAACGAGGACCGCGCCCTTGACCTTCTGGCCAACCATTGGCCCATCTTTCTCCTCCTGACGTCCAAGCCCCGAGCTGAGCGGGGCTGCGCTCAGGGCTTCACGCTCTCGAAGGAGCACCAGTGGCCCCAGCTGCGCTTGTATTGGTCCCCGCTGGGGTTGCCCTGCTCGTTCACCATGGTGAAGATGCGCACCTCGTTGACGGCGGGCTTTGGGCATCCACCATCTGTTGCAAAAATTGATTGCTTGCCCATGGGCTGTTCATGGCTTAACGACATGCTTGAATCACTGAAGTTCAAGGAAGCGTGATGCCCCAAGCAAAGCCCGAAAATTGTGGAACTTACTCTCAACTCTTCCGAGATTGTCCTGAAATTTGTGGTGTTTCTGCCCGGCCGTAGCCCTCTGCCGAATTGGCGGGGGGGGTAACCCAAAACCTGCAGCCTCAGACGGCAAATCATCCATTCACTCCTCCCCCTCCCCCGCTGGGTTGTTCCCGCGCTGCCCCTTCCCGAAAAGCCGGCCACTAGCAGCAGTATTGCCCGTTGATCATATAACTGACCAAGTCGTGACCTAAACTTTGCAGGTGCCAAAGCAGCTAACAAGCTCTTGGCAACTACGTCTCTTGAGCATGTTGCACTCAGGCACTTGAAACAAAAATCCGCTCAGCGATGGTTGCCGATGAATTTTATGCAGTGGGCCCATTCTTCGCTCTGAGTCTGAGCCTAGGTGCTGTGCTGGGAACCCAGGAATTCGCAAACTTTCTAGGCAATTGATACAAACGGGGTCCAGGCACTCCCCTATTCAACCCCCAGCCTGATGTCAACGTTTGACGGCTGCTCATGCCTGGGCACAAACCCTTACACGGGCAAACAACTGCCCCAGCTGCCTTCCATGAGCAAAACCGTGTTCCAAAAGGTGTCCAAGTGCACTTGAGCTTGCTCTCTTTGCAGGTTTTGGCGATTTTGCCCTGTTGGCTTCATTTCTGTGTGGTTCTTTCCACCGGTCAAGGCTCCTATCCGAGCCGAGCGCCCCGAGATAGACAGCCCAAGGCGCCGTCTTGGGCTTCACCTCCACCGTCAGCGTGGAGCCCAGCAGCCGCAGCTCCTCCCCACTCAGCTCGTCCTCAAGCGGCTGGGGCGTTTCAAACATCTGGCCCCTGGCTGGTTGGGTTGGTTAGTTGGTGGATTGGTTGGTTGGGAACACAAGGCACTGGACTAGTTTGGAGCTGTTTAACCATCAGTAGTTCATCAACGGGGGGCTTCTGCTTGAAACGCCCTATGACCATAGGAGGTTGTTCATGATTGCTACACTCACTCATTCATGACAAGAACCAGCCCATGTTCCTTCCGCCCTGCTGCCACCTTCTACAAAGAGGGATGCTTGGCAAGAATGGAAGAGGAACTAGAACAGCGAGGTCTGAGTCTCTCTTCTGGAACCTGGTTTGGGTTTCGAGACTTTTGCCCGAAGGTAGCGAAGTGCCTTTTGTATTTTCTTTCCACGAGAAGCATCAAAATCAGTCTCTCTCAGAATCGTGGACCCCTTTTGGTACTTGAAGTGAACCGACAGGAAGCCGCTCATTTTTGGGAGCCAACTGTGAGAAACCCAACTCAGATTGCCGATCTGACCCATGTCTCCTTGAAGAGCGTGTGGCCCAGGATCGAGGGCACATGCACCACCACCATCTCCTGAGCCGACAGAAAGTTTCCAATGCTAAGAGAGGCACAGGCCATTCAGGAAACACCTGGCTGTTGGCTTCCGCTATGAGTTCTGGAGATGCATGGAGGCTTCACCACTTACATGAGGAGAACATACGACTTTACAAACCCATATTGGCTGCATAAGGCCACCACCCAGCAACCAGGCCTTAAAGCTGGATGTCGCTTCTGTGTGCTGGAGCCCCCCTGAGAAAATGAATGAAATGCGTGCCTGGGAGGGTATCACCGGCCAAATCTGACTCGTCAGTGGCCCTTGCCGAACTAAATCAGGTATCCAAAGCACAGGACCAAGCCCATCTGAAACAGCTGGTTTTGGCAGACTTTCTTGCAGTCTTCGGCCTCTGGCTTGCTTTGTATTTTGTGGGCTTTGCTGGCTATGGGGCCTCAAATGCGAAGAGCATGATTCGATATGGAACTTGGTTTGGCTTATCGATTCACAAGGGCACTTTCATTACCGGCTGGTTCTGGTTAAGGGGAGGGTCTGGAGTCTGGAAAATGAGCTTATCCTGGTTAAGCCCAAAAGCCGTGTAGCACCCCAAATTTCAGGCCAGCCCAACCAGAGTCATGCGTCGGCCCTGCCTTCACCATTTCGTCGGTGGGGTTGGCCAGCACGATGACCGTGTCCGAGACCCGGTCAGTGGTGCGAATGAAGGCCATGAGCTTCCTGAGAAGCCATGTGTTGATTCTCCTCAAAAAGGTGGTCCCCTCAAAATGGTTGGTTTCCTTTCGGGTTTCCTTGCAACACCGCCCAAAGCGGGCTACCATTTTGAGAAATGCCACCCAGTCACCTACAGTACTCGGAAAGGACAAAACATTTGGCGCCTGGAGAAGGAAGCCAAAGGACTACATCCCTAGTTTCTACCCATCATTGTGCTTTTGAACAACCCTGTCCCAGAGTAGGCCATTCATGCAGGCATAAGTTGCGCCAATAGGCTACGTGTCAGGTTTCATAACCTTAAGGCTGGAACCACCTCTAAACACACCTCTATGCAAGCACGCTGCTTGGTACAACTGAAGAAACTTGTCATGCCAACCCGGCAGGGAAAAATGCAAAAGCGACAAAGGAGAGAGAGAGAGAGAGAAGAAAGAGAGAAACAAAAGAAAGAAAAGAAGAAGAAGAAGAAGAAGAAAAGAGAGAGAGAGAGAGAGAGAGTCAGAAAAGAAAAAAGGGAAAAGCGAGAGAGAGAGAGAGAGTGATAAAAAAAAAGAAAGAAAGAAAGAAAGAAAGAAAGAAAGAAACAATGGAAACAAAAGAAACAAAGAAAGAATGCAAGAAACAGGGAAAGAAAGAATCAAATAATCAAAAAAAAGAAACGCACAAAAAAAGGAGAACAAGAGAGAAAAAGAAACAGAGAAAAAGAAAGAAAAAACCGCAAAAAAAGAGCAAACAAAAACAAAAAAAAAGCGTCGCATTTGGTCCAACCCATTGACCACGTGCCGGGTGAGACCTTCCCGCTCCCTAGCTGCTAGACACACGCGGGATCTGGTGAGCCTCCTGATTGCGGCATGAAATGGGTCCCTTTCTGTTTAAATCCCAGTCTACATCCAAACCAAGGACCCTTCCGTGGTTGGCATCATGCAGCGTCCCCTTTCTCCTGCAAATCTCTGGAAAACAGAAGTGTTATATACCTGACTAAACCAAACCCTCGTCCCAGCTTCGAGGTGAACAGGTCCCGGTAGTTGCCGATTCGCAGGGCCCGGTGCTTCTTGCGCAGCCCAATCCTTGGAGCCGAAACTGGCGCTCAGCACCCATTGTTTCTCATGCCGCGACAGCTCACCGGAAATGGCGCAGTTTCATGCTGAAACAACAAGGAGCACACAACTCTGGACCCGAGTGCCCAGTCAGCCAGCAGCTTTAACCGACCATTGGCCGCAACCATCTTTATTCCCTACTTTAGGGCACCTCGCAGAGAAAAACAACAACACGCGCTATGACGACTCCAACGTCTGAGAAGACATCATCATGAGCTATCGCTCGCTTTGCCGCCAGGTAGGCTCACGGGATTTCAGGCAAATCCACGGCTGCAAAGCCATGCTATGTGCCCGTGCGTTCATGGACCAACCCCCAAGGGTCCCCGAACCGTGTGGGGCGTCTTCGAATATGAAGGCATAATTCGCTGCTTGTAGCCCGCATTGATTTTACCAAGGCACAGCATCTTCGTGTGGGCCAGCATCTCATTGCCCTGCCCCGGCATGGGAATCACGAGCCTACCCATAGTTGGTTTGGCGGATTCCCTTTTGGCATCCCCGCAGTTGGCTTCCTCCGAATGGTTAAGCGATGGTGTCCAAGGGCACTCGGCTGCCCTCACGTGAGCGAGGACTGGACCACATGTCCTTGGAAAGATTGCTTGTGAGAGGGCCTCCTCAACAATTTAACTGGGAACGCTTCCACTGTGGCATCAAACACGCACAAGCTAAGCTTCAAACTCTCCTGAGTGGCTGGCCCCTTCAAAGGTAAAGAGCAACCAACGGCTTCTGCCCGCCTCCAGGCGATCCCAGGGCATGGGCGCGCGGTTGTAGGGGTCATCTGCGCCCTCTAGGCCCAGCTCGTCCCCGTAGTAGACCCTGGAATTCGTAGTGATTTATTCGGGCGTGCAAGCTGTTCGGCTGGCCAACCCAATCGCAGAGCCTCGTGAAGCGCAACAGGACCGAGTAGAAACTGGTGGATTCACTCCAATCAAAGGCACAATCACCCCCTGGTTGGTGGCTTCGGGATTTGAAGTCACGCGCTTGAAACCTGCGGCCAAACCTCCATCGACCCAAACCACAGTTGAGCGCAAGGTGACATCAGGAAAATGCAGCAGGCTGAGCGGCCCGACCCGCCACCGCCAAAGGATCCAAACAGCCACAGCCCATGGCAAACCACCCAGCGAATGCCCGGCACAACTCGATCAAGTTCCATCCCCCCTTTCTTCAGTGAAGAAACCTTAACCTGCACACCAACTTCTGAACCTGTCTCAACTCCGCCATCTCAACACACAAACCCTGCCCAGTGCCGGCAAGACGTTGAATACTCTCGATTCCAGCAACTCCACTCCCAAAACGCCGTCTGTTTGTTGGTTCAAGGGGGGATCCACTGCATCAAAACCAAGCCCCAGGTCTCTTTTGTCCCAGGCGCAGAGGGCACCCAGGCCATGTGAACTGCAGCACCTGCGCGAACTTCCGCGCCTGGCAACGCAAACGTTCGGGGGCAAACTCCGACGGCTGAACGCTTTGTGGTCTTCAGGAGGATCTCGTTTTGTTGGAACGCAGGAGTCGTTCTAAACTGCCCCTGACACCAACCTGGGGCAGGTGGCCCAGCATGGGGGATCCCAGAGTGGGAACTTCTCCTTTTGTTCGGGGTGGTTGCAAGGGAACTTAGAGGAGGCCAACGATTGGGAGTCGAGGTCCATTGACTTACGGCGGTTTCTTCGAAAGGGCTTGGCTCGCGTGGGCCCAATTGCCAGGTCAAGTCCAAACGCGTTGTTTCCCACCAACCGATTCCCATGAGTGCAGTCCGGAGTGTTCCCGGGCGCCTTGAGATCCGGAAGCCGGTGGGCCAAGCGCGGCATGTCGTGGTTGCTGACCACAATCCAGCACTTCAGCACCTGCGAGAGGAAGCTGGCAGACCCGATGCCGAGCGCCAAAAAGCCCGTGACACGTGCGCCAAGGAGACCCACTTGAGACCCAAGTTGTAGAGCTCAGGCTTGAGAAGACATGGGATTTGGCTTTGAGCCCAGTCCGCGAACTGGAGGCCAGCATGGTTTGGTCATCATTCTCACCTTCACTCATATCGCTCCCTCTCCACTCTCTTTGGCCCTTTCCCAGGGCTTATCTTGATCTTTTCTCTCTCTCTCTCTCTCTCTCTCTCCCCCTGAGTCTGGTGGACCTCAACATTGTGGTTTTGCATTTTCCTTCAAACGCCAACTAATTGGGGGCCCCTGCTTTGATACACACTCCTTCCTGTCCAGCTAGGAATGCAAACACTTGTGCTCTCTTTGAAGGCCCCTCATCCAACCCAGGTACGCGTACCTTCCCAGCCGTCTCCCACCCCCCGCCTCGTCCATGGAGGAGTCCTGGATCATCCGCATCAGGCTCTGGGCCGCCGAGGGCCCAGGCAAAGTGCCCTCCGCCAGGCCGTAGATGAGCACCCCTGAGTGTAAACTCATCACCTCAGAAGAAGAAAAAACAACTCGGCGAATGGACGAATGTCATCTAGTGTCATGCACGGCGCTTCTGAGGTACGGATGTACCCCTCAAAGTGGTTCCCCCTGGCCATACACCAACTGAGTCAGGGTTTCAATCCCACATGAAAACGATGTCCATTCCAACGTCACAATTCATCAACCCAAGGGGTTCCCTATGACAGGAACCGCGGGCGAGGTGTCGAAGTCGCGGCGCCCTCCCATCTCGGCCGAGGCACAGCGTCCATGGCGGAGGTCCAGTGCGGCGAATACCTCGGGCGGGGCCCCAGGCAGAGCCCTGAGAACAAGCGAAGAAGGGCACACCGAAGCTGTAGAAGGGGTCAAGCTGAGTGTAGTTTTCGGCCAAGCCACCCTAGTCATCACGCAGTTTGAAAGGACGAGCCAGCAACTCTGATATTGACAACTTCGGCTCCCCCTTTCACATACAGGCATACGAGAAGGCTCTATGGCCCCTGACACTGGCTCACCCCTCCCAACAGAACAAAGCAAAACGTCTCCAAACTGGGCTTCGATCCCCAACTCGCATGAGAAAGGAGGCAACATACAGACCCGTACGTGGCATTACCTGCAAATGCTGGCCTTCGAACCAGGCCACATGACCAAGACTGCAAAAAGCTGGACTTCTCGGGGGGGGCCCTGTACTTGACAGCGCGAAACCAACCGCCATGGAGTTACTAAGGAAAGTTGAGGATCCTCACTTCCGGAGTTTGACCAAAACAAGTCCAACCTTTTGTTTGCCACTCAGGCCACGCAGATCCACCGGGCTCCGAGGCGCGCCCAGACCTCGCCTACCACGAGGCTGTCGCGCTTGTGCCGGTGCGCCGCGCGAGTAATGGAGGACAGCAACTCCAGACCTGCTGCCAAGAAACCCAACAATCTTGCAAGAGGGCCTTCCACACGGAATACTACCCCCTCCCCCATCAAGACAGAAACATGGAATCCACCAAGGTGCGCGCCCTAGCCTTCTCCCCCCATGCAACATGCAACCCCAAGGCCCCAAGGCGACGTCATGAGTCCCTCGAACGGCCACCGGGTCACGGGCCCCCGGGCCCCGGGGTCCCGGGGTCCCCGGCCAATCTCGGAGGCCACGTCCAGGCGCGCGCCGTCGGCGCCCTTCTGGAGCCAGCTGGCGAGGGCGGAGTCCTTGTCGTTCCAAAGGTAGCCCTGCAGCTCCTGCGAGCAAGAGGCCCCAAAAAGCGAGGCGAGAGAGAACCCTGTTTGCTTGGGTCACTTTCTTTTATGAATCGGGTCCACCAAACAAAGAGGAAAAAACGGTGCCTCGTTGAACAATTGGGGGGGAAGCCGGAGGAAGAGACATCCTTAAGACCACCATGAGCTGCAGTTATAGTCGCCATGCAAAAACTCCCTTCCTTTGTAGACTAGTCACGCTCAATGTTGGGAAACACGCTGTGAATGCGGAACGAGAAACTGAACTCCCTTCCCTGCAACAAAGTACTTCGCTCTTGCGCCTCAGCCCTGCCTTCAACGGAACCCAAAATGCACACCGGCCCTTTTGAGAATGCAGCAAAAAACTTCTGCCGGGTACGGACGAACCTCCTGCTTGGGCCGCTGAAGGTGTTCAAGGCCCCCCATGTCGCGCCTTGTTCTCCAGCGCCAACTCAACCAAGGATGGCGCGCAGCCCCACACCTGCCATGACATGAGCTCAGGCCGGCCCCGACGTGAAAGCCGCTAAGTTGAGCAGCGGTTTTAGCACCTTGATGTAGAAGGTGGGTTGAAACCTACCAACCAAAGTTGGCAACCTAAGTTCGCCCTCCGAAACATATATGGGCCCAAATGTTGCGCTGGGCCAAAGATACCCTCTTGTATTTCAACAGGCCAACCCGCCAAACCTGCCATGCTTCGGAAGGTCAATGCAGAGCGGCTCACACTTGAAGAAATCAAGTCCATTTGAGCCCAGTGAGGTGGGCAAATCCGAAACAAGTGATCCATTTGGCTGTTCACAAAGGTGCGTGCGCGCACAAAGCACTTGCTTCACTTTCACTTGGCATGAGTCAAATTTGATTTTCCCTTATTTCCACAAGAAAAATGCACGGCTTTCCCGCAAGGGGTTAGGTTGTCGCGCTTGACAGCACAAAAAGCTGGTGATGCGCCCCGACCCCCCGCCTTGAAGCCGTGCTTGTACTCATCGCCCATGAAGAAGAAACTCCGCCTTGGGGAGGCCTTGTCTGCCAGCGCCTCCTGCGAAGGAGGCAAGGTGTGGTCCATTTGCTCTGAAGGGCCTGGAAGAAAATGCGGTCGCCTGGGGGACTGACAAGATGCAGTCAAAGTTGAACATTCACAAGGTCGATTCACCCTGGTTGGGGAAGTTCACGAAGCCCAGCGCGGGGTTTTTTCGTGACGAAACATTAAGCCAGCTTCGAATCATAAGCGGCCTCCAAAAGGGGACAGGGCCGCGAGCTCCAAACGCATACGGACGCCAATCCTCCTCAAATGGCTCCCCTAACTTCGACACAAGCCCTATCACCCCACCTCAGCCCACTAACCCCCCACACATGTCTAAATCACATCCGTCATCGGCTCAGCCTGCACAATGCCGGCGCGCTTGCCACAATGGTTAAACACGAAGTCAAGGACCAGCTTCATGCCTCAGCGTGCGTGGGCCCCTTCTTCCACATGATGGGCGACCCCTGATTGTGCATGCAATCAACAACTCGGAAGATGGTCCGAGACAAGCACACCTCCCATAAAAAGACAGCTATGATTTAGACCAAAACTTAGCCTCTATCTCTGTGGAGGTTAAAACCGGCCAATAGTCATGTAACAAACCACGTCACTCTTCTTGTAAGTATTCATGTAAACAAAAACAGGCCTTAAAGCAACACGTAAAAGATCATGTAAACAATGTGTGCCTCAGCGTTGGAAGCTGGAAGCTGCATCGTTTGCCATGTAACAGGCCTGAACAGACAGAAAAGGCGCACAATCAGACAAGCCCATGGCAAAACATTGGCAAAAAGAAGGTAAGGCTCCAACGCGCCCCTCCCATCTCCATAACAAGCGCCCAAGGCGTTGATTGAATGATCTTTGTTAAATCCTTAGCAGCTACCGTGCGAATGTTAGGAGGCCAAACATCTTAGGTCTTAAACACGTGGTTGGTAAGCCTAAGCATGCGTGAGCAGAAGCAAGGGCAATTCCTGAGCATGCTGTTGCAATCTTCGGAATGGTTCCTAGGTACGCAGCTCCAATGTCTCCGAACGGTTCAGAACAGTTCAGGGTATGATGTTGCAATCCCTCCTGAACGGTTCAGCACGGTTCAGGGCATGCTGCTTGCAATTCTTCCTGAACGGTTCAGAACGGTTCAGGGCATGCTGCTGCCATGACTGCTGAACGGTTCAGAACGGTTCATAGTATGATGCTGCAATCCCTCCTGAACGGTTCAGAACGGTTCCTGGGAAGCTTGAGTGACGAACGGTTCAGAACGGTTCAGAACGGTTCTGAACTATACGCCTGCTCTGTGCGCTGCTTGCTAGATGGGCTCCAGAACGGTTCAGAACGGTTCAGGGGCATGGGTTCCAATGCCTCCGGAACCCGGAACGGTTCAGAGCGGTTCAGGGGCACGCGTTCCACTGCTTTCGGAACGGTTCAGAAGGGTTCAGGGGCATGCAGTTTGGTTGCCACCGTTCTTCCTAGTCCTAGGTAAAAGGTCAGGCCGGCATCGGAACATCGAAAGCGATCCGAAATCTCAAAGCACAAAAAAGGCAAAGACTTGTCTGAAATTTACGCGAAAATTTACGCAACCATTTACGCAGAAAAAGGCTGGCTGAACCGTTCTGAACCGTTCAGGGGACACATTTTGAGCATGGAGGTCCGTCCGCAGAACTTGCGTGCACATGTGACAGCATCGATCGCTCCTCTTTTCCGGCCTTTGCTCAACTGGGTTTCTGGAATCGGTTCTTGGATTCCCTGGGTCTTGCGGACAAACGAGGCGAAGCCGCGGCAAAGAGCAAACAACAAACAACAACGCGCGACAGTACCACAACGCGGCAAGCAAAGCTGCAAGAAGGCAAGGCTTAAAATCGTCCTTTGCAACTCCTGACTGGTTGGATCAGCGGCCACGCGGAGACAACCTCGTAGAGTCGTGTGTGCATGTGTGTTTGTGTGTGTGGGTGGTGTCTGTGTGTCTGTGCGCCAGGTGCATGTTAGGAATATAGACGTTAATCTTGATGTTCTTCAAGATTGGCCCTCGCAAGGTCGCCCAACAAAAAGCTGACTAAGTCTTGATTGTTGGAAAGAGCCCTCAAAATATTCTTAATGTTGTTCACGCAGCTGACATAACCAATGACCGGACATACCGGACGTTCTTTGACAAGACGCAGTGTTCCTAGTCCTCGGTTCCTACAACACCTCCTTTCTCATGATCACTAAACACAAATTGACATGTATCTTGGTGGGGGTTCTGGCTGCCTATTAGCATGGCAACGCAACCCAAGCGCAAGCATGGGCGCACGCGTTTTTGCGTCCGGAGGTTTTTGGCTTTGCCAACGCGACACATGCTCGCGAGCAAAAACTGTGGCTCGCAGCTACCAGTACGCATGAACATTCATGTCAAAGTTGTCGCGGCTCTTCCAATGGTTCATGACTCATGACGCTTTGCCTTCCTTCAGTGATATGAGCAGGTTAAATTCGCGAAGGGGAAGATTCTTGCCAATACACATCCCTGTCCATGAGGGACACTAAGTCCAGCTAACGCAGGGTCACTCAAGATCGGGCAAGCGAAAATGATCGAATTACAATTAATTTAGCTCACTATTTACCATAGTATTTACGGACTCTTCCTGTTAAGGGCCAGGCCAACCAGAAAGCTTGATTTATTTACGTGATTGTTTACGCTTTTATTTTCGGGTACGGCGAAAACGACAGACCCCCCTATTTATAGAGGCAAAGTTTTGGTTTAAGCTATGAGCCTATGATGTTTGAGGCAGCCCTCCAAGCCATTGGAATATCGCGCAAACAGGTGCGCTTCATTTGTGTAGCGCCGCGCGGCCCTTGTCATGGAGCGTGTCCACCAGCTGCTTAAAGTCCTCATCTGTGCCGTACCTCTGCGGGCTACGCTTGGGCTATGGAGGAACCGCTCCTTTCAAACCATCCAACCGCCCCAAACGTGATCAGCACCCACAAACCCCGCACGGACGCCCCTTTGGATAACAGAGGGCGGCGAAGGCTTTGCAGCAAGAGAAGCAAGAGGATCCTATGAAAACAAGGCCTGCTCAGAAACAAGCTCATTCAAAGTGCTCTCTCAATATCTTCGGGCCCCAGCTGCGACAGAGGGTCATAAAACTCTTGGACCTGGCTTCATGAAAGCACTCAGGAGCCGGAGCACTGCTTGTCCAGAACTTTGTAGTCCGTGGCATCGTACTTGTGATTGGAGTAGCTCTCAGTGATCGGCTGCAAGTACACCACATCCACCCCTCCGGCTGCGCAAGAGAAAGATCCAACACCCTTGGTGCAGCTGCTCATTGAGCAAGCGGACTTCACAAGCCCCGCTCTCTGGGATCAACCGTTCTACGTTGGGTTTGGGCATCCACTCCTTGAGAAAGGGTCACGTGATTTGGGCCTCACCTATGATGGGGTTCGAGACCTCCCACGCCCGAAAAAACCTGGCGCCTAGGTCGGTGAGGTAGTCCAGCTTGCCGCTCAAGCTGGGCAGGTCCCCACCCCAAAAGGCCAGCTCGTTGCTATAGTAGCCTCAGCTTCGGCCAGCGCACTCGGGGGTGCCATGCGAGATGTCGGGAGGTTCTTTATGACAGTAACCCAGCATTGCAACCCAACAGCTACACCATAACCTAGTGCCACTAAACTCAGCGCCCTTTTGCATCAAACTGGGTAGCGCTTGCAGCAATGCACCTGGCGCATGAAGCTGACAGTTAAGAGCGGAAATCACATATTTTCAAGGAACAGCGGAAACGCGTGTTTCTTTGCTAGTTGGTGCGCGGCAAGAACTTTGCCGAAATACGTTAGGAGGCTCTGCACTCAACCTGAACCCTCCAAAACGCTCCCTCTCTCTCCCTCCCTCTCCCTCCCTCCCTCTCCCTCCCTCCCTCTCCCTCCCTCCCTCCCTCTTTCCCATGCGGAGAATACCCAGACGTGAGATGTCTAACCCTGTTTAAACAATATATTTTTACGCAGTGCGAACATCTGGTTCCGTCCGGCCACACCCCTCCCCCCTTCTGGCCGGGCGAAGTCAACGAACTAGCCACGGTGCTAAGCATGTTGATCACAAGACGTTGTCTAACACATCCATTAAGAGAGCTCCAAGACACATGGACGCCGAGTGTTTGCGCAGCACGGGTCGGTTTAGCCACTTAGATGACAAAAACACGCGCAGCCAGACTTAGCCACTTAACCGTGGCTGAGTGGCTGAGCGGACAAGTGGCTGAATGAGTGGCTGAGTGGCTGGGTGGCTGAGTAATTAGGTGGCTAGGCGGGCTGAGTGGCTGAGCGGCTACGTGGATGAGCGACCTGGATGAGTGGCTTGAACGGCTGAGTGGCTTGGGTGGCCAAGCGTTCCGGATAGCGCACCCCGTTCCGGTTCGCACCCCCCTTCCGAGCCCTTGCGCTTCAGGAAAAAAAGAAGCGCCACCCCCCTCCCCCTCCTGCCCGTTCCGGATTGCGCACCCCGTTCCGGATCGCCCCCCCCCCTCCCCCCCAACAAACCCTTACATTCTTAAAACGTGCCACCCCCCTTCCCCTCCTACCCGTTCCGCATTGCGTAGTGCCGCGCTTCCCCCAATAAGCCCCTGCATTTCCAAACTTTCGCAACAAAAAGCAGCGCCACCCCCCCTCGACTTCTACCCGTTCCGGGTTGCGTACCCCGTTCCGGATCGCACCCCCCCCGCCCCAACAAACCCTTGCATCTCCAACACATCTCAAAAAAGCAGCGCCACCCCCTCTTTCTATTCGTTCCGGATTGCGCGCCCCGTTCCGAATCGCGCCCCGTTCCGGATCGCGCCCCCAATAAACCCTTGCATTTCCAACATTTCTGAAAAAGCAGCGCCACCCCCTCCCCCGTTCCGGATCGCGCCCCGCCAACAAACCCTTACACAAACCTACACAAACCCTTACATTTTTCAACATTTCTGAAAATTCAGCGCCCCCACCCCCCCCTCCAACCCGCTCCGGATTGCGTACCCCGTTCCGGATAGCGCCCCCCCAATAAACCGTTGCGTTTTCCAAACTTTCTGAAAAAAGCAACCCACCCCCCCTCCCCCTCCTACCCGTGCCGGATTGCGTACCCCGTTCCAGATCCCCCGCAACAAACCCTTCTCTCCAAAATTTCTTTAAAAAAAGCCGCGCCACTTAACCCTACTAGAGAGACTGTAACCCAACATCTGGAGGCTGTTGGGAACAAGGGATCGTTGGCTTGAGGACGACGCGTTGTTTTTGGCGTCCACCCTTGGAGCCGCTTCCGGCAGTAGCAGACACATGCTTAAAAAATAGATTTTGCAGAGGTGCCAGGGCGGCCCTTCAAATAGAGTGCACAAACTTGCCGGCAGACTGAAACTGAACATACGTTTTGCATCTGTTGCATTGTCAACTTCAATCGCCGCTGACTAGAGAGGGCCACAACAAAAAATCCCCCCCTGAGAAAAAAGTGCATCGCGCAAGTGTCCATGTTGAGGAGCCCTTTGTGGCCGGCTGGCTTCTTATCGCCCCACTTCAAAAGGATCTTAAATCCGCCAAAGGAATTCCCTAGTTGCGACATGTTGCGACAACCAGCCATGCACATATCTTGGCAGAATGATGCACGGCACAAAACCCCTGCAGCCCCGGTGGATATTGCAAGAAACAAAAAGAACAAAACAGTTTTCTGTACAAGTAGAAAGGCCTCCGGTCCATAGTAGCATCCATCATTATGTCCTGCCGGGCACTCTGAGCAGGCTTGACATACCGGGGCCCGGTACCCATACGTGAATGGTGACAAGTTTCCATGGGTTAGGATATGTTGAAGCAACGATGTTGAAAACCATGCCTGTTGAAGAAACGTTGCAACATTGGGGTTAACACCTTCGTCCAAGATTCTTTAAACTACAGCATGTCAACACAATTGTGAAGAACAATGGATCAATGAGTCTTGAAACCATTGCCGGTCCAGACCGGGCTCCGGTCAAGCCTGACTGGGGCGGTCATACCGGGGCCCGGCACCCATACGTGAATGGTGACAAGTTTCTATGGGTTTGGGTAGGTTGAAGCAATGATGCTGAAAACCATGCCTGTAAGAAACGTTGCAACATTGGGGTTAACACCTTCGTCCAAGATTCTTTAAACTACAGCATGTCAACACAATTGTGAAGAACAATGGATCAATGAGTCTTGAAACCATTTCCGGTCCAGACCGGGCTCCGGTCAAGCCTGACTGGGGCGGTCATACCGGGGCCCGGCACCCATACGTGAATGGTGACAAGTTTCTATGGGTTTGGGTAGGTTGAAGCAATGATGCTGAAAACCATGCCTGTAAGAAATGTTGCAACATTGGTGGTTCACACCTTCCCCAAAGATTCTTTAAACTACAGCATGTTAACACAATGGTGAAGAACAATGGGTTAATGAGTCTTGAAACTATTGTGGTGCCAAAAGTTGCTCCACAAATTGAACAACCATAGATTAAGATTCATCCCCATATCCACAAAAGCATAAAGGCCTGTGAGCAAGAATTTGGCGGTCGCCTTCCGACCCCTAAATTTTTCGGAGCACGCCAGGTTGTGGCTACAAGCAGCCCCAAGAGTACTCAGACTCAGCTATTATGCTTGTAATTAAGCAAAGCATTGGCTCCAGACATCGCTGGTGAGCGTACGCGCGCGAGAGTTGGGGCAAACGAAAACCCTTAAGATTTTGACGGGCAACAGGTAGAAGCTTAAAGGTTTAAGTTTGTCTCCCCCCGTGCCGTGTTGCAGGCCTTGCATAGTTTGCAGCAGTCGGAGAGTAGCAGCGATTAGCAGAAATGATTCACGAAATGTCAGCAACTGAGACAGCGCAATTTGGGGGCCTCAGAATTTGTACAAGATAGCCAGCGTTTTCAGGGGCCCCGTACAGCGCCACCTCCCCTACCTGCTTCCCCTGTTCCTTGCTGCCCCCCGCACCCGCACTTACATATTCCAACGCATTTACATTTTCCAAAATTCTCAAAAACATCTTAAAAAAGCAGCCGTACGCCCCCGCCTGAACCCACCTCTTCCAGAATGCCCCGTTCCGGATGGCTGGTACCCCGTTCCAGATCGCGCCACCACCCCCCTACCCCCTTCCGGATTGCGCACCCCGTTCCGGATTGTGTCCTTCCGCGTTCCGGATTGCGTGCCCCGTTTCCGGATCGCGCCCCCCCTCCCCCCTTACATTTTCCAGACTTCTGACAAAAAGCACCGCCCCCCCCCCTACGTCCTCCCCCCGTTCCGGATTGCGTACCCAGTTCCGGATTGTGTCCCCCCGGGGTTCCGGATTGCGTACCCCGTTTCCGGACCCCCCGCGCCTTACATTTTCACAAAGTTCTCACAAGAAGCACCGCCCCTACTCTTCCCCCCCGTTCCGGATTGCGTAACCCGTTCCGGATCCCGCCCCCCACCCTGACATTTTTTAAAGTTCTCACAAAAAGCACCGCCCCCTCCCCCGTTCCGGATTGCGTACCCCGTTCCGGATCGTGCCCCCGCGCGTTCCGGATTGCGACCCCATTCCGGATCGCGCCCCCCCCCCCCCAACCCTTACATTTTCCATTCCTTTCGCAAAAAGCACCGCCACTCCCGTACCCCCTCCCCCCGTTCCGGATTGCGTACCCCGTTGCGGATCGCGTCCCCACCCCCCACCCTAACATTTTCAAAATTCTCAGAAAAAGCACCGCCACCCCGCGTTCCGGATTGCGTACCCCGTTCCGGATCGCGCCCCCTCCTTGCATTTTGAAAATTTCTCAAAAAAAACACCGCCACTCGACCCTGCTAAGAGAGATTGTAACCCAACATCTGATCGCTGTTGGGAACAACGAAGGAGGCCATTCTTCTAGCCAACGCGAATATAGGTGCAAGCTAGAGTCTTGGAAGGGAAGCCACAAGGGGAAGCCACGACACCAGAAACAGTTTTCTCTTGATTGGCCGTGTCGAGGCTTGAACCCTGGCTCTTGCTGCTGCAGCATTCTTCCCACGGCAACCACGCGAGCCTTGCAAAACCCAAAGGTGGCTTGCCCGCCGAGTCAAGCCCACTGCATGAGCCTCGCCAAGCGACCCACTGACTCCACCAGCGAGCCCCCCTGGCCACGGAGCGAAAGGAATGGAAGCTTGAACAAATGGTTACCAGAAAGGCAGGCCTGGACTGAGCATGCAAGGAAAACGAAGCCAAGTGCCAAAGAGATGCCAAACGTCAACCATAGTGATCAGGAGCCACAACAAGGGGAGGCACAGCAATCCTGAAGTGACTCTAAAATGCAAGGGTCCCCCAGTTTCTTACTGTTGTTGAGTCTAAAAGGGATCCCACCCAAGCGAAGGAAACCCAAAAAAGTGGATCCTCGCGCAACCTCCCACTTAGAAGCCCAAACGACCGACGAACGCGAAGGTGCCTTGGGCAGGTCCGTCCAGCTGTGGAAGGTCCCCTCCTGGGCTTTTGATCTGACTTCCCGGGCAAGGTCTGTGTAACCACCCCCTGCCATGGATACGAAAACCACAAGGGATAGTAAGAACGAGAAAGGGCTTCACAGGGGTGAGGCAGCTCAAAATATGCTTGACCCTTTGTGGAAAGGCGGCGCCTCGCCTCACCCTTGATAGCACCAACACTTTTTGTCAGGTTGCCACCTGCACATGTTCCACTCACCCACTATTGCAGCAAATGGGCATCCACCCCTGCATGCCTAAATCCTAGCTCCGGGAAAATTGAAGACGTCATTGCCAGCATCCATCCCCTCGTGAAGTACTTTGTGGCAAACTTCCAAAAATGCAGGCGCTAGCGCCCAGTGGTCCTTCTTGCAGCCAGCTCCTTTGCATTTTTCGAGGCGCTAAATGCGCGGCGAGAGGCGGAGGGGTACAGACTCTTCTTCGCCTCGAAGTTCGCGCTGGGAGCGAAGCGGTCCACGTAAATCCTCAGCTGACAACTCGTTTCAAGGACCTCCGGGCTGTGATGGGTTCATTGGGGGTCCGAGCCAATATCCTAAACCGAAACCGTGCGAGGGGTATCTTCCATGGCGGGAGCGGTTTAACAAACCTCGAGAAAGCAAGGGAGGTAACCTCGGGTGAATCCACGGCCAGCCAAGCTGGTCTGGGCGGAGCCCTCGGATGTCCAGCCCAAGAACCCTCAGCCAACCAGATTCACCTTTTGCCGCGGGTCTGGTACACAATGGCCCCGATGCGCCAGTCCAGCTCCCTCCTCTTCCTCGGGAGGCTGATCAAAGGGGAGAAGCGCAGGGAGCTGGCGTGTGACCATTTATTTTCTCGGCCAATAGTCATCAACGCAGCATCCACTTCAAACAAGCGGTGCCGAAAACAATGAACTCATGTGTATCAATGAGCCTTCCGTGTGATCTGAGCAAGCAGGGAGCCTAATGAATGCTCCAAGGCATCTTCGGATAGCCCCTGCGAAGCCTTGGCTCAACCACTACGCAAGAACCAATTCTAGGGATAGGATGAAAAGTGCCAAGATCGTTACTGATGTCTTTTTGGACGGCCTGACATCCAAACATCCCATCCCAGATTGGGCTGGAGTCTTTTCCAATCCCCAAAATGTGAAGATGGAGCTCACGGGATTCCAAGGTCGTCGTCTGGCCCGGGGTTTTGGGGGCCCCGGCATGTCCCGCAGCACCGCCCGCGCTCGCGGCAGGCGCCCGCTGGGTCCACCCGGGCCCGGGACCAGGGCCTAGCACGAAGGCGGAGCCCCTCCCCCCTTTTCTGTGGATGTTTGGATGACTTTTGAACACCAGATCGGTGCAGGTTGGGAGCTCCCCTTCGCACTGCTTTTCTGCGCCTCGGCTCCAGCACCCCGCAGCGAGGGCGTGGCCTTCGCCTTCACCTTCGCCTGCAGCGAGTTGGAACTCGCTGGAGTTCGGCGTTTCGTGCCAAGTCAGATCCACACTCTCAAGGATGCACTGCAACAGCCTGCGGGCTTGGCTTCAGAAACACGGAAGCACGCTCGCCGGCCTACAGGAGGCCAGTTTCATACCGGCTCGGATCATGTTCAGACCCAGCGCCGTCACAAACAATCTGTCAAGTGGGACAGTGATCTTGCTTGCTCTGGTATGTGCTGTGTTTTGTCATCCCGCCTTTCACCTGAAAAGTGGTTGGTGCTTCTTGAGATTGGCTGCGAGTGCTAGGAACTGCCAAAGGGACCCCATGTTAGCCACTCCTTGCCACAACCAAGGGAACACGTTAAAATTCATGGTTCCCAACGGCAAGCTCCTATATATGAAAGCCTTTCTACTTGGCAGAAGGTGGTTTTGACCATCCCGGATACACCCTCCTGTCCAAAAAGTTGAGCTCTGACTGCTGGTTTGCAAAAAAAAAGATGGCTGACAACCCCCAGCGCCATCAGCAAGACTCAACTCCGCCCACATTGCACGGAGCATAGTCCGTCCGCGCCTTTGGCTCGGCCTTGGCCTTCGCCTTGGCCTTGGGCTCCGCTTTGGCCTTGGCCTTGGTGGCCTCGGCCCGACTGGGCATAGATCACGTGCTTTTCGCTATACGCCTTTTATTCGAAGTTGGTAAGCTGAAGCAAGGAACGAGTGCTCCAGAGCTGCAGCCCCCCGCTCGCTTGCAAGGTCTGCCAGTGGCTAAGACTGGTGGCGGACAACCGCCCGAGCCACTGCGTGACACAGCTCGTGGACCCTAGGAGCAAGAGCCCAAACGCGTTTTTGAAAGGTGGGGGTAGGGGCCGGGGGGGAGTGCGGGCCTTCTTCCTCACCGGCACGCAGTCCTGGCGTGGCAAAAAGTGGCCACCCGCAAGGCAAAAACGCTGCTCCTTCTTTCCTCTGAACGTCACCCTACCCTAAGGGTCATAAAAGCTCGCCTCGCATTGGCAACTGCAACTGCCAAAGCAACTGGGTGGTGTTTGCCCCCTGCACAAAAGGCTGAGACGAAGCGCAGCCTTGGCCGGAATTCCCCGCTTCAATTCGGAACCTACTGGTGGGGCGGTCGCTTGCGTCCTGAATGTTTCCTGATGACTGTTGAATATCTAAGTACGAGGTCTGACTGGATAAATCCAAGAATAATCCCTCCCCTTAGGCCGTCTCACCACAGACGTCGCGACCAGCAAGCTCCTGGTCCCAGTACTTCTGCACATCCTTCTTCTTGTACCCTTGCGCCTGGCATTCCAGCGAGCAGCCCCATCCAGAGAAGTGTCTGACCCATACTTTCATGGGACACTGAGGCCCGGAGTAGGCAAGAGGTCCAGTTTTGGGCCACACATGCGACATGCAAAAAGGAGTTGGACAAATGAGCGGGAGAATGCATGGGTGCATGCCTGCGGGGCCTGGTGCAACATCCCTGCGCATTTGGGGGCTTCGAGGGACACTCAACCCCGTCTGCTTGCAAGAAACTGCTGCCTGTGTCCACCTCCCCCACGCTTAAAGACAAAGAAACAACAAAACACGAGACGCAAGAAAAAAGCAAACCAAGGACACGTTAGTTTCCCAATCTCGGGCAGCCACCCAAGCCGCCCACAACCCCCAAATCCCCAACCCCAAGCCCGCCGTGTAGTGGCTGAGGAGCTCCTCGAACCTCCGCCGCAATCCCCCCACTTTTGCTGGATTTTGACGCAAACGGTTAACTCAATGCTTGCAAACGAAGCAGGATCCCCTGAAAGGGTAAACACCTGTCCTTCACTTCCTGAGGTTTGTCCAAAACCAGTGGCCAACCTTCCTGCAAGCATAACATGCGACACTGCGGAAAATGTCACAATGCATGTAACCTGAAGGGATGGGAATAACCTTGAAGGGAAAACGGTGATGAAAACAAACTCCTTTTCAAAGGGAAAACCGGAGCGGCATCCTGCTCTGGAATGATCTCCACCCCCCTTTCACTCAGAGGCACGTGTAGGTTCCGCCATCCTCCGGATCCCGTCGTCGATCCATGGCTGGAAACCGCCGGCCGGGCCGGCGATTGGGTGCCGGTCGCTCGCTGGGCCGAAGCTTGCGGCACATAGATGCCCTGTTTGGTTCCCTTTCCCTCCAAACGCAGGCGGTCCATGTAACCCTGCTTGAGCTGCAACAAGGGTGTCCTTCACGTCAACAAGTACTCGGGGACTGGCCATAGACCGGCAATATTGCTTTCTAGCCACCAACGTGCCAGTCAGGGTGAAGAAACAAATGCACCGACCTAAAACATGAAGCACTCTGTGAAATTCAGTAGGTAAAACCTGGCCATCCTCCTCCCCTAGTTCTAGGTCTCCATGTTTCGCCCCGTTCAATGCATTAAGATGTGCTCCAAGAGGCCAAGCCAAACTAGAGGAGTAAGGGGACCTCTATAAAAGCATATAATACTCCAGCACTTTGATGGATTGCTACTGTCAAAAAGCTCACTAGCCCTGATAGTCAACGGCCAAAAGCTTGAGCGGCATTTCTTCCAGGTCCTGGGGCCCAGCGCGTTCTTGTGCAGGGCATCTGCGCAGGACTGGCAGAAGGACATGAGGCACCTGGGCAGAACTTGGGCGGCGGTGACCTTTCCGGCCGTGTTTTTTCCCCCCGCGCAGCATTTGGTGTGGGCGTCACTGGTTTCAACTGCCAGGCTTGGAGGTCCAAAGAAGACAAAGGTTGAAGAAACCCCGGCAAAACGGGGGGGGTCAACCACCCCTTTCGGGTTGAACCCCTAATCCGAATCAACAATGTCAGCTCGAGCGCTGTGAAGCGCTTCAAGCGCTCTAGGCGGAACCTGGATGGGCGACGTGATGAATTGATGGCTCGTGGGCTCAGGGCACCGGATCTTCCAACTGGGGTCTCCAACGTTAGATCCAGATCACCTTCGAGGGGGGGGGGACATGCCCGTTCCCTGAGCTTCTTCATCTCTCGAATCCCCACCCCACTCTTCAGGGTTTCGCATGCCAGCTGCAACCGGGGCGCTGGTTGCACTTGAGTGTGGACTGCATCACCCCGCAGGACTGGCAGGGGATCTGCAGGTTTCGGAACCTGCAAATCGCGAAAAAACAAAAAAGGAAAAAAGAAACAGCGCTGCAGGGGATGTTGCGCCCTCAATAGCAGCAATTGGCCTCGCTGATGGTGAGCCATAAAGATGGTGATTGAGAATCAGCTGTCCCTGCATTCAGGGTCGCCCAACATAGAATACATGAAGGATGAAGAGATGTCAAATGACTGCAGCCCGCATCAATCTTCATTTTTTTCTGTTGACATCTCCTCCCTATCCATCTCCACCTGTAATACGACTAGCAACAATGATGTCACTTCCAAACTGAAGGATCAAGTACACTAAAAGCGAGCCAATTGTCTTCAGGACTGCTTCCTTCCCGTACCAACTGTTTAGGCGAAGTCTTCCGCTGACCGGCCAGTCGAGGGACAGCTTTTTTACTCGTGGGAGACGTTGCATGTGCATGAAAGTAGTTTGCGCAATCAGGCGCCATCTTACCCATCTGCAAAATCTGGGGCAACGACCACGTGGAGCTTCTTGCCAACCAACCCCACGGTTTCGTACATAATCCTGCAAAAAATATGCAACAACTGTCCTGGCACCTGGAAGAAGCGGGATGTAGCCCCTAAGCATGCTTCCCCAAGAAGTTGAGGGCCTCCAAGCAAAAGGAGCAGGCCATCACCACCCTCTTGTGGATCAGATGATCAATGTGCACTTGAACAGACCGAACAAATAAGCTGATAAGCTGGCTTTGGTCATGGCTTGTGAAGCGGAAAATTAAATAACGGCTTCACCCCAAGCCGCCAGCAAGGCCGCCTACCTGTTTGATAATCTGGTAAGACAAGCCGGGCAGCTGCTTGTTGAAGAGCATGTCCGGCTGTGAAAAGAGCAAGCCGTTCACAGACCTGAGGTCAAACATATCGCAGGACTCTTGGAAGCAGGGCTTTACATCTCGAGGCGCCACAATATGTGCGTTTCTTTCCGCCATACATAAAAGATGGGGTCCCGAAAAGGAGAACAAAGCTGGAGACGAGCCTGTCTACATACGTACTGTATGTTATGCATGCCTGCATGCATGTATGTATGTATCCATATGGACAAACAAATAGATATACATATATATATATATACACATACATAAACATATGTGTGTGAGTGAGTGAGAGGGTGAGAGAGTGAGAGAGTGAGAGAGTGAGAGAGTGAGAGAGTGAGAGTGGGAGAGTGAGAGAGTGAGAGTGAGAGAGTGAGAGAGAGCGAGAGAGAGTGAGAGAGTGAGAGAGTGAGAGAGTGAGAGAGTGAGAGAGTGAGAGAGTGAGAGAGTGAGAGAGTGAGAGAGTGAGAGAGTGAGAGAGTGAGAGAGTGAGAGAGTGAGAGAGTGAGAGAGTGAGAGAGTGAGCGAGAGACACCCCCCGATCGGTGTATTGTGACGGACTTACTGGATTGCTTCTGGCAATGCATCTGCCCAGAAAGTAAGCGACCAAGCGGGCAGTTCAACGGCACCAGAACCCCCAGAACCGCAAAAGGAATGCATCTGCAAATCACCCTGGCTTGCAAAACCCTAACGCTGGATGCCAAAACCCGTTTCTCAAGGCATGCATGACCATGTCCCAAGAAACTTGGCCCTTTAATCATGTTTTGTTTCACCAAAACTGTTCTGCATTTCTTCTTGACTAATTAATGCTGCCCAGTTCAGTTCCTTCGACACCTCGGAAACACAGGCTAAACTGTCGGGTTCCGAGCTATCCCACTAGCAAGCAAGCTTTTGCCCTCCAACCCCCCGGCAACCCCCCCCCCACCAAAATACCTCAGATGATATCCCCAACAGCACGCGGTGCTCTTTTTAGTGCTCGCACCACCTCGCAGCCCTTGCAGAACCTCGTGGAACCCTGGTAGAACCCTGGTGGAACCTTACCTCAGGGCCGCCCGGACCAATCCGGAGCCTATCTGGGCTGAGACCCCAAAGCTTTCAGCTGTTGGGAAAAAATGCCCCTATTTTGTGGACCTTAAAAGTGAGAAATGAATAATAGGCTCACGCGATATCCCCAACAGCACCACACCTTTCAGAATCCTCGCGGAACCCGCCCCGGAACCCGCCCCGGAACCCACCTCACCGGCTTTGCCGAGGATGCCGCCTTGTAACGGTATAAAGCAAAGCTAAGAGCGTTAGGCGTGACAGTAGCCAAGGTGCACGAATCCCTACCCGCTTGTGGACCTATGCAAGAAATACATCTCTTGCTGGACACTTCGACTCTTACGCCAGGTGATGACATGGACGGCGCAATCGGGGCCCGATCGGGGCCCGGGGCCCGAGCGCGGCCCGACGGTGCAATCGGGCCCCGACCGGGGCCCGATGGTCCCGTGGCGCAAGCGGGCTCCCACCAAGCCCAGCCACCCATATTATAGCTCAACGCCGGCTTTCCTTCGGATGCGGCCTTACAACTGTATCTAGCCCAGCTAGGTTGGTACAGTTCCCGATCGGGGCCCGATGGCGCAATCGGGGCCCAATCGGGCCCCGACGGTGCAATCGGGCTTTGACGGTGCAATCGGGCCCCGACCTGGGCCCGGGGAACCTCGCAAACCGTCCTCGTGGAACCCTCGTGGAACTCAGCGTGAAACTTTGTTGGGAACCTTTCCTCAGGGCTACCCCATAGCTTTTGCAGAACCGTAGTGGAACCCTCGTGGAACCTTACCTCAAACCACCCCTCCCCTTGCAGAACCTCGTAAAACCTTTGTGGAACCCTGGTGGAACCCTCGTGGAACCTTACCTCAGGGCCGCCCCGGACCACCCCGGAGCCTATCTGGGCTGAGACCCCAAAGCTTTCAGCTGGCGGGGAATTAAAAAAGATTGGGACCCCAAGGTTTGTCTTCTCTCGCTCTCTTTCCGTTCGAGCTGCGGCTTGGTGCGGAGGCAGAGCAGGTCCAAGCGCTGACGCTCCAAAACCTTCAAGTACCTCGCAGCCCCACTCGGGGTCCAGCAGATTTTTGCGGTGGCGTGCTCGAACAGTCGAACAGCGGCGAAGCATGCGGGTCTGGATGTGCTTCCTTATTCTTTGCGCATCTGTATGGGTGCAGATGTATGTGCATGTATACGCAGATATATACACACGCATATGTGTGTGTGTGTGTGAGACCCTCTCATGTGTTGCTCAACCAAAAAAATAGGATATGATCTCAAGCTGAGCTTACAATCGCTGTGTCAGGCTGCTGCCTGCAACATCCGCCTCCGTGGTCCCCGTCTTCCTTTGAACTTGGCGCCTGTCGCTTTTCTTGCTCCAGCCTCTGCGTCAAAGGGTGCTCGATGGTGTAGTAATCATTGATGAGGTCGTGGAAGTAGCACACGCCGGCCTCTCGGCTCAGCCGGGGCACCGAAACCGAAGCCGCTTGTTGAAGAACCACTTGCCCCACTGGCCATGGTGACCCCTCAATGCAGCAAGTCTGCCCAACCCCCACCCGCAACCAGGAAACCTTCAACTTGAGAATTCACGTGGGGGCCATTGGCAGGGCGATGCCATCTGGGCAAGCTGGGGAGGTCAACCCGGCAAAGGTTAACAACCTTGATTGTAAAAACGGCCGTTGTCCAAAGGATTTGAAAACAGAAGGGCCGTGACTGACAATACTGAGGAAACAAGTCCAAAGAGTCGGCTTTGGGATGGCGTTTGGGCAAGTGAGCAGTTCCTCAAGTGGCTGTGCATCAAAACTAGGCATGCCGTTGAGCAAGGCCCCAAAAATGCGGGGTGAGGCGTCGAGCTGTTACACCAGGATGGAAAAGCATCAATTTTGTGGGGGGGAGGGGAGGGGGGGCGTTTAAAGTTTAGACACGCAAACCCGACACGCCGGAAGTGGGTCCGAAGTGGCCAGGCCAGCGGGCCGCGCCTTGCTCACCTTGATCTCTGCCTGGGGGGGCATCGGAGCCGCCAGCATCTCCTCAGAGGCGATTTGCGCACTGTGCCTCGATACCCTGCCTCTTCTTGTGGGGCATCCTTTTCAAAAACAGGAAAAGGGTGGTGTCTGAAAAAGAACGACGGGTGAGCAGAAGGTGGAATCAACCCTTAGGAATGCTACCCGCAGGCAGGAAATGTGTGCAGCTAACAGTGTTGCCACGAGAAACCAATGGCAAACCAAGAACCCAATGACGATCCATTCCATTGTGGCCCCCTTTTCGGGGGAAGTCCAAAATTGAGCAGAATAGCCTGCACGGTCGAGCCAATGCACATGTGCAGCTGCCTTCTCGCCAAGGCACGCGAGCCACCCAAGAGAGTTCCGGCTCCAACTGTAGGTTGATGCCCAAGTAAGCCACGTACCTTGGCAAACGGGGCGTGCTGGACAATTCAGTGTCATCGGAGGGTCGCAACGTTTAGGATTATTTCCTAGCCCATCCAATTTTAGGACACCTTTGGGACTCCCTGCTCAAGCAAATTTTGCTGTCCGTGATTCCTTGACATGAGCGATGCTTTAAAAAGACAACTGCCCTGCCAGCTTTCCTTTGCAAGGCACCCGCCTGGAGGGTGCAAAAAAGGCCGGCCTCTCTCGGCATCATGGGGAGAAAAAAAGCAAAAACACCTTGGAAACGCCTCTGGCACCTGCAAAGCCCATTGATTTCAATCTTGGGAAACAACAGGCCTATGAAACTGACAGGTATATCGCAGCCGCCCACAAACAAGCAAATCTTCAAAAAGGGGCATGAAAAGGGGGAGCCATGTCGGCCAGGCTGGGGCACATTCTGCCAGTCATGCTGCCGACACAGCATGCCGGAAGCATGAAGTTGCGTTGATCCTCCCCTTTGCTGCTACACTAATGGCCCAAGCTTCACCTTGGTCCGAGTTGGTGGACTGGGAATTGGAAGCCCAGTGCCCAACCAGTTCAGACCATGGCTCTCAGTCGTCCAAACCCCCCCCCCCCGATCGTCTTATCGCCTTTCAAGGCATCCCTTTGTTGCGCAGTCACTCGGGTGGCGTCTTGGGGTTGGTTGCAGCTTTGCTTTGAGGGCATCGCTCACAGGTTTTGCAAATTGAGCTCACCTCTTGCAAAACGTGCCCTTTCCTCCACCTTCTCTCTTGTTTCGCTTTAGCAACAACTGTTTTTCAATTAGATTGGTATGTTGCTTGTTTTTTTCTTGAACCCCTGAGTCTTGCTGGGTGAGGGTTGGTGTTGTTGGTGTTTTTTGAGCCCCCGATTCCTTCTTGAGGGATGGGAAGAGCCACCCGTCACCAGCCCTCCGGATCCAGCGGCTCCATGGCCGTGAGCTGATCCTGGCCCGGCGGGATCTGCAGCGCCCGGCAGCTCTTCGTCTCCTCCGCCGATGGGCCGATGGGCACTGGGCACGCCAGAGTTCAGGCTGCGACTTCAAGGCATTTTCTGCGTGAATGTTCTCTCTCTCTCTCTCTCTCTCTGTGCGCCGTTGCGTCCAGAGGGTCTTGACTCTGCAAGGCAACGAAAAAGGTGCCCTCTGATATTCAGGGGACCCAAAACACTGGCAAACTGCGTCTTTTTTCTCAACTCTGTCTGTATGGCGTGATCTGCGACAAGTGGTGTGTCCCAATGAAGTTTGGGTTGAAGGTAATGAAAGAAACTCCGCAGACACCAACATCCAGCTGCCAAACAAATCATCGTCCCCACGTGTCCACTAGAACTAGCGCGGCTTGTGGCAACGTGTGTCAACTAAAAGTGCAGGTTTGGAGTAGAGCCCATATCTATATGGTGAACCTAGGCTCCTTCAGGAACTCGTCGGTGGCCTCATCCAGACGCGTGCCAATGCGCTCCGCCTCCGCCCCAAAGACCGGGCGCTTCACCTCCTCCATGGCAGGCCTCAGCTTCTCCCTTCACATTCCCCATGTTTCAGGGTGTGCGATGAATCCGTGGGGAAAACAATAAGTAAGATGATGTTGTTGCGCCAGAGTCAACCAAAACAGCATGTGTGAAGCCAATCCATTTTGCAAGGGGTCCCTGATAGCCCTTCACCCCACGCCAACCCCCCACCCACCCCCGCACCCCCCCGGGGTGCTAAAGGACATGTCCAAAAGATGAACACGAATTTTCGAGTCCCACTTGGACACGCCCATTTAGGTTTGCCTAAGGCCAAACCTCGCTCCCGAGGTGCCCAGCGAGCGCGGGCGCGATTCCCGCGCGGCCCTCGCCCCTAGGGTCCTTCTCTGGAGCCAAACGGGTGGAGAATGCGGCTGAGAAGGAGCCTGGCAACCCCCAATCCCAACACCTAGGCACCGCACATGCCTGTGTAACTGCATGCTTGGCGGCTTGCAGGTAGGAGGGCACTCGGAAAGCGATGCGGAAATCAACCCAATACTTGAAGGAGAAGGGTGGAAGTGCAATATAACTCCTGACCGCCACCCGGGGTAAAATGGAATACCAGGAGCGCGATATGGCCCACCGATTTGGTCCAGGTGTTGTCCCAGTTTTGAGAGCGTCTTGGATAGCCTGAAATGGCGCGGCTCTTGGATAGCTTTTTCATACCAAAACGACTCCCACGGCCAGCTTGCGCTTTCATTGCGCCCTACTAGTCGGAAATGGGCTCCCTTTCATGAAACTCTCTCCCAAACCTGTCCCCCCACCCCCCCCCTACACGCGCCTCTTGCAAGCGCTAAACCCCAAAACTCCCAAAGCGGAGCATCATTAGCAGTTGTGATCAATTCCCATGCTTCGTAGCCCATCATTTGTAGTTGGTGGCATCATTTACACGCGGACTGATGCCTTCCCCATTTTTGTTGAGGCTGTTCCAACCATCAAAGCCACATCATCCCGCCACCTGCACCCTGCTCGGTCCACCCAGTGCGCGCCTTGCAAGCCATGGCCCAGTTGCGGGATGTCCCTCTGCCTACGGTTTACATCTTCTCTAGCATCACCAATTTTGTTAGGGGCAAAGACGTAAACTGTTGAGCTAAAGCAAACCAAAATGAAAAAAGGCGCTGGCTTGAGACATACAAACTTGGACTTGGTGGATTCTCAACTAGCTGTGTTCGATGATGAAGCATCCTGAGAGAGCCTTGGCGAGTTTCCATCGGCCCGTGGCAGAAGCAGCGCCTCGGTCCCAATGCACATGTTCCTGCAAAGAGTAGGCGAGATGAGCGGCCGTTCCAGACCTCTCGCCCTCCGTCCCCTCTGCTGCCTGCTCGGTTCTTCTTGTGGCTTTGGTTAGAAGGCTTCTAAAAAAAAAAAAGGCTCCATCATAGCCCTGATAAACCTCTGGAGAGGGCTTCCTTGAACCCGAAGACATCTCTTCCCTTCCCACCGCGAGGGCTCTGAACTGAATGGCAGAGTGCAGGGGGAATGCACCAAAGCTCGGCGAAGCGTCCCAGGCCGGCTGGCCCCACCTCGGACAGAGACTGAGTCTTCGTAGCAGCTGTTCTACGATGGGCGCTGGCTACAGCTGCCCTCAATTGATGCTGAATGGATTGATCTCGGGGAACGTCCTGACGAATCTGATGATCTGGGACACAATTATCATGTACAGATATATATATATATATATAGAGATATAGATATAGATATAGATATAGATATCTCTATCTCTCTCTCTCTCTCTCCCTCTTCGTTTCGCATTTGAGGGCTTATGCTTTCTGTGTCCACAAAGCAATATGTTGGGGTTGTTCCCTATTTTGGTACTCAGGTGAAGAGACCTTGGATAGTCCTGCAGCGGACTTCAGCTCTTGGTGCTTCCCAAGTGCCTGGATCTATTTGAAATCTTGCTGCCCCACAAGGATATTTTCATGTGGCGACTGCAGTGTAGCCGGGGTGGCAGGCAGGCCAGCTCCAGCAGAGAGAGAGAGAGAGAGAGAGGGAAAAAAAGAGAGAGAGAGAGAGAGAGAGAGAGAGACCCTCTCGAGAAGTTAGGAGGTCGTTGGCCAACGCTGTCTTTTTCACGGGCAAAACCATCCGCGTCGGCAAAACCAGTCCAGCCCGAGTCGAGCCATGCAAAATGGTCCGCGGAGCCAGATGCCTCTCCCGCCCAAACAAAGCCTTGGAGGCCTTCAGGATAATCAAGATCTGGTGGCATCCAGCGGGAGGCCCTGAGCCTCCCCACCAACGCACTTGTCGGTGGCGCTGTCGGTGGCGCGGTCGGGGGTGCTGTCGGCGGTGCCGTCGGGGGCGCCGTGGGGGGTGCCGGCAAGCGCGGCGGTGCCTGGTAGCCTGGCGGCCAGGCGAAGCGTTTTGGGCCTTGGGGCCACTGAAGTGTCTCGTTTTTCGGGTGCAGGGCACACTTTTTTTGGTGGTTCCAAATCGAAACCACCAGGGGCACCTGACCCTGAGACATACCCCACATTTTTTGTCATGGCCTTGAATGGGTAACCTTCGATTTCCGGACCCTTTGGGGGCAAGTGAGTTTGACCGCCCGCTTCGTGAAAATAGAGGGAGCCGCCCTTCTTTCTCCAAGTAGGGTCTCCAAGGGCGAACCCTCGGCTCCCAATTTGACAGGCAGCCAGGGCTTTGACAATTGACACTTCAAAATCGATTCTATCACTCACGCTCGTGTGGCGTCCTCATCAATGTTGCTGGCACCAGGAAACATCTCAGACCTGAACGAATGAACAAATGGGCAGGTAATTAGGCAACGTCAAGGCCACCCCATCCCCTTCATGCGGCAAAGCTTTGGATTGCAAGCCTTTCAGAGAAGCAAGCGTCCCGGAAGAGGTCTGGCCCCTACCAACCGAGAGCGCCACTTCCGTTCAACAGGCCGGTCGGGAGCTGACGCGGCCCAAACCAAAGCGAGCCTCTGCCAGCATTTTGCTCTGACCTGTGCACTGGCGGGCACAAGGCACCAAGACTACCAAGCCTTTTGACCCACTGCAAAAGGCGCGATCGTTTCCTTTGTTGACTTATTTCGCCAAAGCAAGTACAGGGGCCGGCCGGCCACCTGGCTGGCAGGGAGAAAATGGAGCCGAGGTGCTCCGAACTTCTACCTTCAAGCCAGCCAGGCAAGGTCGCCAACATCACTGAAGCACAGTTGCCTGCCACAACCCTACAGAAGGTGGCGCAATCAGCGTCCACCATCAAGGTATCAGAAAAGACTAGGAGCAAAAGTGTCACTTGGGATGACATCCAATACGGGGGCAGTGGAGTACTCAGCAGGGTTCGTCAGTGAGGCCTGTGAGTCCCCGGTTTCCCCCGCAGCAAAGGCCATTGTCGGATTACACACGTCTTTCTGGGCAGGTCCAACCTCAAGATTTCAATGGAACTGCACCCATCACAAACGCATGTCCCCGTCAGAGTTGGTGTTCACACAAAAATGGGGAGCTACAAGTAGCATCTTGGAAATATTTGCCGAAACAGCCTGCTGTCGAAGCAGAATACAAGGAGAATCCTCCTGAGGGAGGCCTCTTGCTATGCCCCCGTGCAAACCGTTGGGGCCCTCACGGCGCCGGCGGTGGCGTTCGGGCCGCCCTGGGAGGCTCCGGCGAAGGGGCGGAGGCTGCCTGGCCAGCCCGGGGTGGCGCTGTTTGGTGTCCCCTTAACGTCATCATCGCAAGGATACGTGCGAAAGATGGGAATGCCCACAGCTTGAAATGCGTCTAGAACGTGAAAAGCATGAAATGAAGCTAGTCATCAGAGGAAGCTTTAACTTTGAACACATGGCTCAAATTGCTCGAAGACAGGAGACTGGTCGCTTTCAGGGGGCCAACTGGTGAAGGGATACTGCAAGGCGCCCTTTCGCTTCCGAACTGCAAGTTCTAGCCCAATTGGTAGTGCCAACTGGCGCGCATGGCCCCGCGGAAAATGGCCGCATAGAAAGGTTGCCAAGTCAACAAGTTTCCCACTCTGGCCTGCTCAAAGTCGTCAAACCTGCTTGTTCCCACTCAAACATGTGCAATGGTTGGACTTCTCTACCCCCACTCTTTGAGACCGGTGCCCAAAAGCGCCTCGCTCATGCCTGGCAACGGGCGAAAAAAGCGGGAGGCAAGTTCCCAAAGCACGGTGCATCTACCGAATACGGACATGCTCGATTCACCCCTCGCCCGTTGAGCCGCCTATACCTAGTGCAAATTTCAATGACGGCATACGGCCATAAACGCTGGGCGGGTGTCAGCTGAGACTTGTAGCCAACAAAAATCGTGTAAGATATTACAATAGGGATCCCTTGTTTCGGGGCCTTTCTCATGGGCAACACAGCCCCGTGCCATGTTGCATTTTTTGGATGTGCGTGGCCTTGAAACTTGACATGGAACCAACCTGTCCCTATGTGAGGAATCTCCTTTTGGCATGTGCCGTCATTTGGATTGGCCGAGTCGACGCCGCAAGCTGAGCGCTGATCTCAGCTGAACAAGAGTGCCAAGAGCCACAACGCGTTTGTAGACCTCTGCAGTCGTGAAACACGGCTTGCATTCTTTCACTGCCCCCGGGGAAACAAGAACCAAACCAATTGAGGGGTGGCCCGATCCTGCTCTCAAAGGCCGCATTAGAACGCCTCCTCCCGACTGACACAACGCCAAATTATGCCCCTTGCTGGTTTGCAAAGGCGGCACAATTCACCCCAAACGGTACATTTGTTGATGCAGCGTCCCAGAACTCAGAGTGAGTTCCGCTTGCTTGTCGTGCCCTTGAGTTCAAGCTAATGGTGACAGAAAGCGTTTGGAGCCCCAACCCTTTTGTGCAAAGCCAAATCTGGTTAAAAACGCGACTCGTTCTTTGTTCTACTGGGCATTGCATCTCATTCATGCAGGCTATGAGTCTGTACACACATGCTTACACCCATGCCCGCGCCTCCAGAAAACGCCACCGATTGAAGTGGCCCTTTCTTATCTATTCCTCGAAATCGCGAAAGCAAAATCCATGGCAAGTGGCATTTTGAGAGCCTGTCGGCATCTTCACGTGAATGACCAGAAACATTCACCAGGTTCCGAAAGGCCTAAAAACCGCAGAAACCAAAAATCGGCTCAAACAAAAGATGGAGCTAGTTGAAATGAGCGTCATCTTCTCCCTGTTCCCCCGGAAAAGTGTTGGAAACGCGACAGCAGCCCAAAGGCCCCAACTTGCAAAAGCCGGCGCGCCATCGCCTTCGAGGCCTGGAGGGGGGGCAACGGCTGCGTTTGCCGCGCTCCTGTCACTTTCGGAGCAACCTGTCGAACTCCAGGGAGCCAAGCAGAGGTTGCACCTACTCGTGTCTCAAAAAACCCTTTCGTTCCCAAGGGCAGGTGTTGGTTGCCACAAATTGCCAACCCAACACGGGGCCAAAGAGAGTTCTGGCTTTTCGCGCCGTCCTCGCGGACGGCTCGGCTGCGGTTTCAGGTGAGCGCGCGCAGGGCGCAAGCCACGACAGCGGCAGTTCGCCTCAGGAAAGATCAGGTGTCCCAGATCCAAAACAGCCTGCAACAAGCAGTCAACATGTTTGCCCCGCTGAGTGTGTGTGTGTTGCTTATGACAAACAGAGCGCACCGCGCCTGATGCAGATTCTCTCTTTATGTAGGTATGTGCGTGTGTATGCGTCGGATGGTCGGATGGTGGCTGTTTGTTCCACAATTCCCCCTCGCCATACCCCCAAGCAAACAGTAACCCCCGTCTGCCTGACGTCCAGGATGTTCCTTCAGCCTTCACCTGACCTCAAACAATCAAAGTGACTGTCCTACATGTTCTCGCAACCTCTGAAGAATAAAGACAGGTCCCAGAAAAAGGGGGACACCGTGCCGCATACTCGACCAGAAGTTTCTCATCCTCGGTTCTGGCTGTTTATAATCCCAGTGGTTTACAAGGCGCCTCGACCAACCGCTTCGTTTCCCCCCTTTTTAAACGGGCAAAAAACACCAAACAACACGACCCGACTGGCAGTATGCACAAGACATCCACAAGTGAAAACCAAGAACTCATCCATGCCCTGGTGGCTTCTTGCGGGCTTTGCCACCCAGCTTTCCGAGGAGGCCTTTTGCTGAACATGCTTGTGGAACCTGTGCCGGCTTAAATGGAAACCTAACCAGCCCTCCTCAGGAGTGTATGTATAAATATATATATATATATATACCCACGTCAGGGCGCGGTCACAACACATACAATGACATACGACAAAAGCATCCAGTGCTCCTTCTGTTTCTTGACCCGTGCAGACTGAAGTAGTCTGTGCCCACAATCCTGCAATCAAAAGTCGAGCTGATTAGAGAGATTGCCGAGGATGAAACGTTCTGTGGCAACCCCGTGCTGGGCGAAGAAATTGTGAAATGAATTGAAAACCAACAGCTCAAAGGCCCTCAGAAATGAACTTATTCCATGTTGACTCCAAATGTTTTTGGTGCGGCATGGTTTAAACTAGCGCTGCATCCTGGTTGGCACGTTCGTCTTCCCAACCCTTGGCATATTCTAGCACAGCGGGCCGTTCAAAATGGACGGGTGTGCCAAGATCCCATTTTTCACGAGCACTGTTGACGAACAAGCACGACAAGCCCCGCAAAACGCAGATCTGAGGCCAATATTCCAACGACTTCCCAACGGGCCCCGGCTGGTGGCATACTCGCTCTCCCACAGCAGCTCCGCCTTGTCGGCGTCTACACGTCGGACCTCGGATTCAGTAGCTCAGTAGCTGCAATTGAACACCAGGAAGTGGCTGGTCTCTCACAACCGGCGCCATGGACGCGAGCTGGCTGGCACCAAACCCACTGAAACACGCAACCTAAAGAAAATGGCTGCCAAACAAACTCGGACCCATCTACCCACGCGCCACCAAAGAAGATCTCAAGCCTCGGCCCCCTGCCCGGGCCGTGTGCCACCTCAGGAGACGGCACCAGGCCCCGGAATCTGGGGAAAACCCCGCATATTAGGATGTGGACGAGAAAACAAGAGAAAACCAGGGATTGCCCACAAAGCACTCATTCAATTGGTCTTCGTGCCTGATAAAGCCCTTTGGCCTCAGGGTTTCAATAGTGAGTTCGACCAAAATCCAAAGGGTTGGTGCATGTCACTTGTGCCCATGTCACAAGGGCAGAGATGATGGTCCCTGAAGCCCGGGCATGTAGGGGGTCTGGAATGCAGATTCATCGACTTACCTGAAGGGAAACGCACACGTCCTTCAGACTCCAGCGGCCAATTTCTACTTGTGTCAAGCCCATCCCTACACTGCGCGACCTCCTCCAGGCACGAAGTCGAAAAAGCACAGGCAAATGCCAGCCGAGGGCGCCGCTCCGTGTAGAACCAGGCAAATACGCGCTCGTTCACCTCAAAGGCCCCCCACTCACAGCACACGACTCGCGCACGCAGCTACCAGGTGGCAGGGGGGGGAGTGTCAAAACATGTTGTGTCCCAGGTTACCCTTGAAGTGTGTCGAAGATGCGAGGTGGCGCCCCCGGACGTCTTTTTGGGGAGGTTGGGCGAGCCCACTGCAAATTGACTCAAGTGAAGCCATGCTTTCAACATGCTGCCGCTTGTGGATTGCGAGGTTGCAAGAGGGCATGCATCAGGGTGTTCCCCAGGTTGCATGAAAAGGCGTGTGAGGTCTTGTACGCATATTATAGATGGTGGGGCGCTGAACCAACAGAAACCCCGCAATTTGGTTGAGTCTGTCGTCGAAACCCCTGCACTGCTTCCATCGTTGGTACGCTTGCACCACCCTGGCCTGTGGTCTCCACTGGCTCGCCTGCCGTAGCGGCTCGGTTTTGCGAGCCGCGGACAGGATGGCCTGGGGGAGGGGGAGTTCCATAGGCACATGGTACTGGGCATTATTATTGCTACTTGAAAAAATGTTGCTGTTCATTCTTGTTTTTGATTGTGCTGTTTTTCCCCGCCTTGGGGTGAGGTGGGGTGGGGGGGCAAACGGCAGTGCGCCCTCGACGATTAAACAAACCTTCTTCGCAAGGGGGTGGGCCTTTGTTCCTGAGAGACGGCCCACTCACATCCTTCAGCAACCTCTTGGGGAGATTTTGATTGCAAGCTCGAATAGCCCAGCCAAATGGCCGCAAGAAGTCAGAACTAAGCCAGAATCGCAGTCTGTTGCAAAGGTCATGCTATGTGTTTGTTGTGGGGGGGGCCAGGCGGCTTAAAAGAACCCTAGAAAATTCCACTCGTAGGACATCCTCCCCTTCTGGCAGGCTGAGCGCTGCATGCGATTCCCGTGCCGCCATCATTGCGGTGCCCAGTGCCTGGTTGCTTTATGCGAATGTTTTGGAGGGTAGGGTTGCTTGACAAGGTTGCTCCTGTTCCGCCCTCTGCTGCAAAGCTCGCCTTTGGAAAACTGGTTATGCCCCACCGCATCGAGAAGAAAAAAAGAAGAAGAAAGGAATAAAAAAAAAACGAGAAACAGAAAAGCCCGGAGGTCCCCAGGGACAATTCAGCCGAAAACCGGGCTAACCCGCTTTGACTAGCCTTGGGACTCTTAGGCAGGTGACGCAGCTGCTTGCTGCAAGACAAAAAACCGGAGATCGGCTCCTGTGGTCTACGTCAAGTCCTGACACACCCACAAAGCAGCGGAAAACGGCCCAAACCAAACTGGGCATGACAACATGCACTGTTTTTGCTCTTGAGGCACGGCCGCATGAGGCCCCTTCGATCCAGAGCACAGGGACTTTTTCCGCCCATGCCACACGCGGAGAGACTTCCCCAACCCGATGGACCCAAATCCCTGCCTCCATGGCGAGCCGGCGAGCCTCGAAACATCAGAGTCCACTTCTTGCTTGCGGCAACACAAGACCCGTTCGCCAAGCAAGCCTTCACATGCCCCCCATATAAGGACATTGATGGTTCCACAACCTTCTGGCCCGTGACCAAAACCACCCCGCCCAACCACTCGTGTTGTGCCCCGGAGACTGTCAATGGTCGAGGGGGCAGGCAAGGTCTTTCTGCCATAGCCAAAGTGGCAATCCGAGACCTCGGTGGGGCCAACGTTGGTTTGAACGCCCTGGCCATGGACCTTCGAGGGCAAACCTTGATGAGGATCTTATTTTTTCAAGGAACAGTCGGTAAACAATCTTTAAACAGGTGCGACAGCCCCACCCTGTCCAAAACTGTCTGAAACCTCCCTCAAAGGGAAACCAACAGACCGCTGCGGGCCCCGTGCTGGAAACAGAGAGCGGGAGAGAGCACAAGAAATGGGGACCTGCCGCGCAAGAGAGAAACCCCTCCCCAATAACGAGTGGCAAGGCCCTCCGAGAACTGGCTCTTTATGATGGAGTACGTTGAGGAGGGTGATTCCATAGAAAAATTTAAGCTTTGAGGCGAGTCCCTCCGAGCCTCGAGTGAGCAGCAGGCCACGCGAACGAAGCTTCCGGCACAGCTCGGGCCAAGAGGCGGAAACGTTGCACGCAATCCTCTCCCAATCCGAGGCAAACGGGGAGGTCCGTTGTGTTGTAACTTATGACCCACAGGTGATCGCCTTTTGTTATTCCCGTGTTTTGTAAACAGAACGATTCCACGCCAAGCCTTCAAAGCTTCGACCTTCTGCGTTGTCATTCTGGCTGGAAGGCCTTAGAACAAGCAAGCTTGTTGATTCTCTTTCGGCCGGCGGCCCAGCTCTATTGCTGTTCACAGCCAGGACCCCGCGCACGGGGGCTAAACCGCGCGCAGAGGAAGCCATAAAGAGGGAGGCATGGCTGGAAGTACCGCTTGGGACGCTATCCACGGGGTTGCATCCAAGGCAACCTCATGGCCAGACTCGATGGGCTCGTTTGTAACCCTGTCCAATTTTTCAAAAGATCCAGCGTTTAATGCTTGTGAGCACTTTATTCAGATCATTGAAAGGCACCCTCCTAGCCACTAGCCCATCAACAAACTTCTTTGAAAGGGAACATTGCGTAGTGACTGTGCCGGCGCAAGCTCACAAGCTTCCTGGCGAATCAGTGCGCATCACTTGTCCTCACAGCTGAGCCCGTGGAGGTGACACCCACAGGCTACTGACAGCTTGGGCGGGGGCGGGGGGGGGGGGGAGGTTCGGGTTCGGGTTCGGGTTCGGGTTGGGGTTGGGCTTCTTTTTTGTGGGGGGGGGGGGGGTTCGGGTTCGGGTTCGGGTTCGGGTTCGGGTTCGGGTTCGGGTTCGGGTTCGGGTTCGGGCTCTGGGCCGGGCCGCTTGGGGGGGGGGTTCGGGTTCGGGTTCGGGTTCGGGTTCGGGTTCCGGATCGGGTTCGGGTTCGGGTTCGGGTTGGGTTCAGGGGTTCTGGGTTCGGGTCTTTCTTTTTTGTGGGTGGGGGGGCGGGGGGAGGGGGGTTTCGGGTTCAGGGTTCGGGTTCGGGGTTAGGCGTTAGGGTTTGGGTTTGGGTTGTTGGGTTCGGGGTGGGTTCGGCTTTTTTGTTTTTGGGGGGGGGGGGGGGGGGGGTCGGGTTTGTTTTAGGTCGGCGAGTTTTGGGTTTTGGGTTCGGGTTCGGTGTTATTGGTGCGGGGGTCCAGGGTTCTTGGGGGGTGGGGGGGGGGGGGTTTGGGTTTGGGTTCGGGTTTGGCGGGTTCTTGGTGTCGGGTTCGGGTTCGGGGCCGGGTGGGGGGGGCGAGGTTTCGGGTTCGGGTTCGAGTTCGGGTTCGGGTTCGGGCTCGGGCTCTGGGCCGGGCCGGGGGAGGTTCGGGTTCGGGTTCGGGTTCGGGTTCGTTGGGCTTCATTTTTGAGGGGGGGGGGGGGGGGTTCAGGTTCAGGTTCGGGTTCGGGTTCGGGTTTGGGCTCGGCCCCCCCCAACCCCCCCGCCTATGTTTGGTGGAGCCAGACGTTCTTGGCGGTTGTTGCTCAGTTCTATCATGGGGGGGGGCTGCGCCCCCCCCAAGCTCCCCGCCTATGTTTAACGGAGCCCGACGTTCTTCGTTGTTCTTGTTCAGTTCTATAATGGGGGGGGGCTGCGCCCCCCCCAAACATAGGCGGGCTGCGCCCCGCCCAACCCCCCCGCCTCTGTTTGGCGGATCCCGGCGTTCTTCGTCGTTCTTGTTCAGCTCTATCATGAGGGGGGCCTGCGCCCCCCCCAACTCCCCCGCCTTTGTTTGGCGGAGCCAGACGTTCTTCGTCGTTCTTGTTCAGTTCCATGGGGGGAGGCTGCGCCCCCCCCCCAACCCCCCCGCTATGTTTGGCGGAGCCCGGCCTTCTTCGTCGTTCTTGTTCAGTTCAATCATGGAAAAAGGCTGCGCCCCGCCCAACCCCCCCGCCTCTGTTTGGCGAAGCCCGACGTTCTTGGTTGTTCTTGTTCAGTTCTATCATGGGGGGGCTGCGCCCACCCCACCGCCTATGTTTAACGGAGCCCGACGTTCTTCGTTGTTCTTGTTCAGTTCTATAATGGGGGGGGGCTGCGCCCCCCCAACCCCCCGCCTATGTTTGGCGGGCTGCGCCCCGCCCAACCCCCCCGCCTCTGTTTGGCGGAGCCCGGCGTTCTTCGTCGTTCTTGTTCAGTTCTATCATGGGGGGAGGCTGCGCCCCGCCCAACCCCCCCGCCTCTGTTTGGCGAAGCCCGACGCTCTTCGTCGTTCTTGTTCAGCTCTATCATGGGGGGGCTGCGCCCCGCCCAACCCCCCCGCCTATGTTTAACGGAGCCCGACGTTCTTCGTTGTTCTTGTTCAGTTCTATAATGGGGGGGGCTGCGCCCCCCCAACCCTTCCGCCTATGTTTGGCGGGCTGCGCCCCGCCCGCCTCTGTTTGGCGGAGCCCGGCGTTCTTCGTCGTTCTTGTTCAGTTCTATCATGGGGGGGGCGCACCCCCCAACCCCCCCGCCTATGTTTGGCGAGCTGCGCCCCCCCCAACGCCCCCGCCTATGTTTGACGGAGCCCGACGTTCTTCGTTTTTCTTGTTCAGTTCTATAATGGGGGGGGCTGCGCCCCCCCCAGCCCCCTCGCCTATGTTTGGCGGAGCCAGACGTTCTTCGTCGTTCTTGTTCAGTTCTATCATGGGGGGGCCCCGCCCCCCACCCCCCCGCCTATGTACGGAGCCCGACGTTCTTCGGACTCTTCAAAGCACCACATTGGTGCCCACAGCGAGGGAGGAATCCTCCCACCTCACCGGATGCCCTCCCGGCATCATGGGTGAGGAAGGAAAGTAGCGAAGATCAGCTTGATCAATTCGCTTTCGACTGAGGGGAAGACCCGGTTCTCAGTCGGAAATTGCGGGTCCGGATGAGTAAGTTCATCCGCCCATGTGTTAAAGTCGCGCTTCACATGCGACGGTCCTAACATGACCTGGTGGTCATGCAGTGTTAACACAATTTCCATGAGGATGGCCGCATTGGGCATCCTGCGAGTGGAATCGTTAAGCAGGGAGAAAACGTTTCCCTGGTTATCACTAGCAACCAGAATCCTAGTGTGAGAAACCGAGCCGGCTGCACAGAGCAGAACAGCCCTCACCAAAAGGAGGAGGCCGAAAAGCTCCAAGGCCGCTATCGCCCGCTGCGGGTCCCCAGTAGTGAAGGCCCACGGCTCGCCCTCCGGTGTGATTCTGTGTTGGAACCACTTCACTCGGGACTTGTCGGGGTTGGGCACGTCCGAGCACCAACCACCAACCCATGCATGGTCCGCCTGTTTGCCAGCTCCCGCATCAGATGCCCCCGTCCATGGAAGTGTGGGAGCAAATGGAGATGCCAATGGGAACCTCTGGTTGAAGAGCTTCCCCAGAAGGATGGCCAGAGCACGAACCAGTTTCGGTGGCCTGCCCGAAGTGGCCCCCAGGGCATTCCGTGCCTGGGGGGGTTGGGGGGAATGGGGCCCTCCGATCAGGGCCCTCGGCACCTGGGGGTGGCCCCTTTTGTGAGGGTGTTGACCGCGGAGAGACGTCCAGGCCGCCGAGGCCTCCATCATCCGCCTGCCCCTATCAGGGCCCTTGGCACCTGGGGGCGGGCTGGTGCTGTGGGGGGCCCTCTCAGGGCCCTCGGCACCTGGGGACTGCCCCTGCACCGACTGGCGAACATCCCGAGGTTCCTCATCAGTGCCCGAGGATGGGGCTCGGAGTAGATGAGGATGGTCCGCCGCTGTCCTGAGCCAATGGATGGCATGGAGGCAGTCTCCAACCATCGGTGCGGTGGTCTTCTCCTCCGTGTGAGCCTGGATGTGTGCGTTTGCTCCCCCTTTTGAGCCATCATAGATCGTCCTGATCTTGTCCGACTCATCAATCCCTGCAAGGGGGCCCGGGCAAGTTCCTCCGGTTTGCAGCGGCACCTCTCTGCCGCCTCGGAGCGAGTGAAGGGCCCGTCCACCATGTCCAAGGCTCGTTCCTCGTAAAAGGTTGATTCGATTTCCTCGGCAAAGAGTTCAGCCGTTGGGTAGTTACCATGAGCCACTGGCGGGGGGGGATCTTCCCCCAGCCAGGCTTCTCCCTTAAGCTCCTCCTTAGTGGGCCAAACTCCCGGGGAGGTCAAGGTAGGGTCCGAGACTCCCAAGGGGACCCCCTCTTTCAGTGTTAGGGGGAACTCCCAATCAGGGACACCTGAAAGGGATGCCAAGTGCGACACTAAGTCCAGGAGGAAGGGTTGTCCTGGGCATCGTTCATGGAGGTGCCTCGGTCCTAGGATAGCCCGCAGCTCCTCGAGGTCGGCTTCCTGGAAGGGGTGTGTGGTGGCACCTGATGCCAGGGACATTCGGACCTTGTCAATCCAGGGACGGGTAAGGGACATGATCAGGGCGCCCAAAGTAGCCAATGGGGAAATTCTCCGAAAAGGGGGGTTAAGCCTCCCTGAAGAGGTTTTCCCCCCCCATCCCTCAGGGGGCGTGAGCGGAAGCCCAATTGGACAATCGCCGCCCGGTCAGTGAGGTGTGGGACCCTGAAGGCGGGCAGGCATTCGGGGCGGTCCAGGACCTGGTCCCCCTGTCCCTCCTTCCCCAGTTGTTCCGCATCTCCGGCCATCGGGGGCATGGGAGATGGGAAGTCTGGGTTCATAGTTCCACGAGGGCTTACGGTGTCTGCCTCAGGGTGGAACTGCCCGTGCAGGCGGGGCTTCGGGGCGTTCTTGCCTCCGGGCTTTGAGCCCTGGTGTGATGAGGAGGGACCGCCTCCTTGACTGGGCCCCCGATTTCCCCGGAGGGAATGGCCCTCCGGGGGGTCCGACCCCCGCCCCTTAGGTGGTCCCTTGGGGTTTCCCGGAAGTTGTGAGGGGATCCGGATGTGCCCCGGCGCTGCGAGTGACACAGCGATGGCTTTGGCCAGGCCTGCCATCATATCCCAAGGGTATCTGCTAAGAGTCGAGGACACATGTGACTGATGCGTGCACCGCATTTGATCCCAGTCCTGGATCGGGAGATCCGTGGCCAGCGTAGTGGCCTTCTTGACCAGCTGGCCCAGGCGGCACTGGTCGAAGGAAATTGCTGTCAAGGAGTTCTCCTCCATCCAAAGCTGCCCCTCCTCTGTGATCCAGAAGGATGAGCATTCCTTGGCTTTGGGCAGCGAGCTGCTCACCACTGGGTCCTCCGGGTTTTCTTGCCAGGCTGGTGATGTACATCTGTCTCAGAATGAGGATGCTGTCATCATCGAGTTGAGTCTGGGCGGCCTGGTCCAGGTGTGGAAGGCCCCAGAGTGTCTCTGGAGTGCGCCCTCGCACCGGTGGGAGCCCCCGGTTTTGGTATGTGGCGCAGGATGGACCATGTCCTGCAGTTGGGTCCTCCTCCAATGAAGACCACTCGGCCATGCTTTGCTGCCGTGGAGCATATCGTGGTCCCCCTTGGGTCCAGACCGTAGGATGTCTACCGCCACCACCATGCTGGAAAGGTGTGGGTAGTTGGCGTGAAGACAGCTGTCCAAGGAAGTAGGGTCCTCCTTGCCTGCATAGAGCAGGACAATGATGGGCCCACTGGATGGAACTTTGGGCGATGTGCCCTGTGTCCATCTCAACCGCTGTACCAGACGCTCAGGGATGTTCTCCATCCACGGGAAGATGTCCAATCCCGGCGACGGCTCCGTTGGACTTGTC